GAGACTATATGTAGCTCATTTTGTTCTGGGTTGCATACTGAAAGCACCACTGCTTGGTGTAGTATTATTTGATTTAAGTTAAAAATCAGACTTGAGTACAAATACTGAAGGAAGCGCCTCATAAATCTACCAAACACCCCCATTCACTGGCTTTGCAAGCGTTCTCCACAGTCTTGTTCAGTATTATGTGTACTACCCTTGACGACCAGGATTAGAATTGGCCTTTTTCAACCGATGCTTGTCTCAAGAGGCAACTATGCTTGTCACAGGAGGCGACTAATCGGATCGGGTGGTCAGACTCGCTGACTTGGTTCTTCATTTTTCAATTGCCAATTGCTATGGTACCTTATTTTTGACGGCCTTGTTAAAAGCAAACCATTTGCGGATTAGAATATGGAGGTTGGAAATTGGTTTAGTACACTCTGGGAAACTGTGGCACACGCCAATTTGGTAGCGGCAATGTCCTGAAAACGGTGACTATCTTTTGACGGAGTTGGTACAAGCAAACCATATGCGGATTCGAACATGGTCGAAGTCAAACATGGGTTAAGAACACACTGGGACACATGTGGTGATGTCTCACAAGCGGTTTATTACATTTGATGGCGTTGGTACAACCAAACCATTTGGAGATTCGAACATGGTCGTAGTCGGACATGGGTTAAGAACACACTGGGACACATGTGGTGATGTCTCACAAGCGGTTTATTACATTTGACGACGTTGGTACAAGCAAACCATATGCGGATTCGAACATGGTCGAAGTCAAACATGGATTGAGAACACACTGGGACACATGTGATGATGTCTCACAAGCGCTTCCTTACATTTGATGGCGTTGGTACAAGCAAACCATTTGAGGATTCGAACATGGTCGAAGTTGGAAATTGGTTAAAACACCCAGGCACATGTCAATTTAGTGGTGGTGATGTCTCACAAGAGGTTCCTTACATTTGACGGCATTGGTACAGGTAAACCCTTTCAGGATTCGAATATATGAACGAGGTGGGAAACAAGTTTAGCACTTTATCTCAGCAATGCGACAGGAACCTGGGGCCCCGACGAACGCAGAACGCTAATCCGTTTGACTGGAGCCCAACTGACAAAGAAGTTACGGCCTGTTAAAGAGTAACCAAGCTCGATTTTGTTCACATTTTGTGTGTGTATGTGGACCGTCGGGTACTAGTGCCCGCCAAAAACCCAAGGACGTAGACCTAAAAGCCAAGGGCAGATAACTAAAAGAACAGAATATTTTGAAGATGTATTTCGCCCTATTGCTCCGCAACCGCTTATCCGATTACTTTGAAACCTTGCATGTATCTGCTGCTTGAGCTGCTTGACTTTTTTTGTTCTTTGACTTTGGTCATTGGTCACATGGTTTGGCAGCCATATTGGATTGAAGGTTTTCATAGTGTTTTGGGGGTACCTGTCTTCAAATGCAAACAACTTTGAATCCACTGCATGAAATGCTTTCAAACTTTCTGAGAATTGTCTCCATACATACATGTAACACATCAAACTTTAATAGCCGATTTCGGAATTCTTTTTTAGTTAGGGCCATATTGGATTTTGATTTTGATAATTTTGTTCAACGAAATTTTGCTTTAAAGATCATATCTTGTAAGGTTCTCCACAGAAACTATTGCAAGTTTACATGAAGTTAGTGTGCCATATGGATCTCATTTTTTGTTATTGGTTGTATGCTAAAAGTAACACCGCTTGGTGGTAATATTTGATTTATATTTGGGACACCCCTGGAACACGCCAATTTCGTAGCGGCGATTTACGGTGACTATCTTTTGACAGAGTTGGCACAAGCAAACCTTTTATGGATTCGAACATGATTGAAGTCGGAAATGGTTTAAGAACAGACCTGGACCCGCTGGCACACGCCAATTTCCTAGCGACGATACCCTGCAAGTGGTGCCTACATTTGACGGATTTGGTTCAAGGAAACCCTTTGAGGATTCGAACATGGACGTTTGGGCACAGTGTTACTTGGAGCCCGCCATTGCTGCTTGCAGCTTTAATTTACATTGCAGTGCTTTCATCAATTTCGCCTTCTTATTTCCGTCTGAGGTGTGTACTATATCAGAGGCCTCTGATCGTATCAAATGAAATCTTATCAATGTGCACTTTTCAATTAATTAGAAGTGACAGTTCATTATACAACAACTATTGCTCCAGGTTCACCCTCTTGTTTAATTAGCAACAATTAAGTCATTTATTTCACACAGAAGGCGGCATGCAGCCAGAAAATGTTTGCGAGTAACTGGAAGTTGAAAAGACTGTTGACATTCACGATGTTTAAGAGTTCTATTTGAATGATTAAGTCACAGTTATCAATTTTTATGGACAAATTTGGAAGCAAACGTATCATAGTATATATTCTAAAAAATCGAATTCCAACTTGCTGTTGGGACACTAGAAATAGTTCAAAATTTGTAATTCACGCACGGTGGCCATTCTTGCACGAGGGTATGTTCATGAAAACTCTTCCACTGGTGCCGTCACTGGCTATGGGAATCTCATCTAAATTACGATTGTTTCTGATCTGCAATTTGTAGATTATTATGGAGAAATGTATGTTGTATGTATATTCATTTAGTTTTTCTCTTGATTTCTGCACGAACGCACATACATGTAGATCAACGTCTTTGATTTCTGCTAGGATTTAAGTCTTTAAAAAATATGATTAATGACTTGGATTTGTAGATCACGGAATAAGATTGTAAGCTTGTAAGTTTTTTATTGACATTTTTATGTACCGTAGATAAATTTATTCAAGCAATACGCAATTTAGGTTTTTGTTGGGGAAAATGAGTGTTAATGAAAAATTATTGAAAGCTCTACGCGATTTTCAATCGCGCTAATTGAATGTTGATGCGATATCTACGACAACAATGCGAGAATATCGCGTAATCGTGGGCTATGTCAATCCCTGCATGTAGTGCAGATGATGTGATGTTATCAATTTGTGGTCTCGTCATGAACAATGGAGAATGTCATATCATGTGGTTGTAAGATATCATTGCTTCAACTGACCACTGATCAGTTTTGAGAATCTCTATAGGGCCTTTGGAAATATGGGTAAGAATCTTTGCACCCATATGTACCGGTATATTGTATATTGATCCGAGCAATAGCGTCCTTAAACATGCTCAGAGAATTCTAATTTGATTTTACACATGGCCTCCATGCTGGCCCAAATGTCATTTTTGACCATTACAGGGTAATTTTTGTTGTATCATTATGAAGTTTGATACAGTAATCCCTCGCTACAACGCTACCTTTCGGGTCCAAATAATTGATGAGCGTTACAGACAATCAGCGGTTTAACTGAGGACAAGTCATAGAGGGTAGATGACCAACACAACAGTACACGCTCTGCCTACCTAACATGATCTACGCTGCATGTTTCAGAGTTTAAAACAAAAATTACAATTGTAGTTTTTTATGATGCATAGTGTAAAAAAAAAATTATCTAGTGTTATGCGCTTTCCAAAAAACACATCTATTCCTTCAGCGATTTAAGGTGAACAAACAGGTATAACAAACTTGGTCAATAAAAATATGAAATTTGATTGTAAACATCACCAGACATAAGGATTTACCATGTAAATTGTATTTCCTGCTCTCCAAGGCTTTGGTTTACATTCGCTCGTCACGCTGAAGACCCGGGTTCGATTCCCGACATGGGTACAATGTGTGAAGCCCATTTCTGGTGTCCCCCCGCCGTGATATTGCTGGAATATTGCTAAAAGCGGCGTAAAACCATACTCACTCACTTTGTTTTACATGCAGAGATTAAGATTACCGTGTGTATTTTCTTGTAAACTATGCCGGATAAAAACAGTTAGTGTGTGGTATGTGGAATCACATATGCTTTTGGCATATATTTTGGCAATAAAATGCCATTAAACTCAGTTATCTCAAATTGATGGGGACTAGAGAAATAATTTGACACATCCAGGGTTCTACACATCTGTCTTGACCTTATTGCGGTCTGACCTTGCCAACAGACACCAGAAAGCAAAAGGTGTATAAGAACATTCAACAGAAGCATTTGTGATATTCATCTTTATGAATTATGCATTTTATTCATAACACTGGATTCTCATGACATTGACAGTAATAACTACATATATTGTGTTTTTCAAAATTTTGAGTTCAACTTATGAGGGTAAGTTAATACATATATTTAACTCTTGGGGTTGAGGCAACTGGGAATTCGACATAGCCAGGCCTAGTCTGTGAGTTGGACCCAACTGGGGATTCACTAAATCCAAGATAGACACAAACAGGCTCGACTGTTAAACATTCATGCTTTGACAAAGTAGACACAATTTCAATTTCTTTATTCAACGTACTGAGGAGGCCACAGGCCTATAGTACAATCATGATTACAGGAGCAATTGGTACAATCATATAATTTCCAAACTTGATTTTCTTTGTATAAAAGCATGATATATGTACATAGAAAGATTTCTTATGGTTTCAATGTTGCTTGTGGTCAGTACACAATTTGTGGATAACAACTTGCTCGGTCTTGCCTGACAACGGAATAAGGATCTATACCAAAACGTTGCCTTTACAGTATGAAAGAAGTTATCCATAAATTGTGTCTACTTTGTCATCCGTCAACTTCAAAGTAATGCGTATCAAACAATTCAATTATGCTTTGTTGTTAACACTGCTGTCTTTAATGTATCTGTGTTTTGTTGCCTTTTGTTAGGTTCTGATGTTGCAAATATTCCAGACAGAGCGGGGCGGTCGGGTAGCCTAGTGGTTGAAGCGTTTGCACGTCACGCCGAAGACCCGGGTTCGATTCCGACATGGGTACAATGTGTGAAGCCCATTTCTGGTGTCCCCCGCCTTGATATTGCTGGAATATTGCTAAAAGCTGTGTAAAACCATACTCACTCACTCACTCCAGACAGAGCAGGTGAGCTACAGTCTTGAAGCTATGTTTTTCTATGTGTTTGCACATTGTGTTGCAGGTAGTTGTGCGGTATATAGTACAGCACCTCTCCCAGAATTCCCAGCTCACAGCTACAAGCCTCCCTCGTACCAGGTGAGGTAACTCCTCAATCACAATAATACAAAATATATATTAATATGTGCTCTTTGAATTGTAACATTCGTCTGTAACATCTGTTGTTTTGGAGCAACTCAGATCATACTGATCCGGCAAATAACAGTGTGAATGGAATTCCAGTTATATGATTTCCTAGTATTTTGTTTTGTTTTTAGAGTGTGTTACCTTTGGTTACCATGGTTACTATGAACATTATGTAGGTCTCTTTCTTTGGCTAATTTGTTTCAAAACCTGAGGGGCACTATAGCTGCCGAGAGGTAAACTTGCTTATTTATCTGTCTAGTTGACGACCTAGGTTTGATTTCACGCACATTTGAATCCACTCTTGGTGTCACCTGCAAAGCAGGCAGTCGGGTAGCCTTGTGGTTAAAGCATTCGCTCATCACACCGAAGACCTGGGTTCGATGCCCATTATAAGTACAATGCATGAAGCCTATTTCTGGTGTCCCCAGCCGTGATATTGCTGAAATATTGCTAAAAGCAGCAGAAACCAAAGTCACTCACTCACTGCTGCAATGCTATTAGACATGTTTTGAGTGATTTAAAAAACCCTCACTTTCTCATTCACTCTTTTAGAATATATATTGTCGTTTGAAGTTCTCTTTGTATTTCTTCCCTCGGGATTCCATTCTGTCCTGATGTCATGATCAATATTTTCAACTGTAAATCCTGCTGATATCAGGGATTCAGTGAGGAGAAGACGAAGGATGTCCGGAAGAAGAATCTGAGCCCGGGGCTGGTGACGTACTACAGGAAACCAGTGATGATCCATCATGGCAACATGCAGTACCTGTACGACACGGACAACAGGCCCTACCTTGACTTGTTTGCCGGCATCGTCACTGTCAGTGTGGGACATTGTCACCCGTGAGTGTACAATTCTGTTTTAAATATGCTGTGAGAAGGTCAAAGGTCAAGGTCATGAAAAAAAATGAAAAAATAGAAAAAATCTCACTCAAAGTTTGCAGTTACACTTTCTCATTAAACTTGGTATGTACCTTTTCTTGGATGGAGACTTGCTTTGAAAAGGTTTAGGTCTAAATAAGTCATAGGTCAAGGTCAGGATTCAGCTTTCTGTGAAACATGGTTACCTATCTACAGGCATGAAAATATGTGCATATATCTTACAAGTCCTATCACATCTAATGTTTGTGCTTTATCAATCAGTTGCCATAAAAGGCGACTATGCTTGTCATAAGAAAGATCGGGTGGTCAGGCTCGCCGACTTGGTTGATGCATGTCATCATATCCCAGTTCATGATATCAATCACTGGATTGTCTAACCCAGACTCGATTATTTACAGACAGCCATCGTGAAGCTGGAATATTGCTGTGTGTGGTGTTATCTATCAGAGGTCAGGGTCATCTTTGAGGTTATTCTGAAACATGCTTTTATCATTTATCACTTTTTACTTTTTACTTGTACAATCCTGACACTTGGGCAATGTTAGATCTTTTGAAGTTTTCTTGATTAAGGCCAAGCCCTGGAAGTAATGTTTTTGGACTGGAAGTACCAGGTGCTACATAAAGGCTTTAACTTTGAGGAGCTGTCACTGACAGGGCTGCTTCTGTTTTCTTAAGTACATGCAATCACCTAGTTTATTCACAGATTTTATAGAGTATTTGTGTTTGGTGTAAAACAACATTCACTCACTCACTCACTCTAGGCGGACAGTGGAGGCAGCGACGGAGCAGCTGGGCAAGAGTTTGTTCACAGATTTTATTGATTAAGCCTTAATATTTCTGACTGGTGTAAAATACTCACTCACTCACTCACTCACTCAATCACCCACTCACTCACTCACTCACTCACTCAAAACCCACCCACTCACTCACTCACACACTCAAAACCCACCCACTCACCCACCCACCCACCCACTCACTCACTCACTCACTCACTCACTCACTCACTCACTCTCTCATTCACTCACTCACTCACTCACTCTCTCATTCACTCACTCACTCACTCACTCTAGGCGGACAGTGAAGGCAGCGACGGAGCAGCTGGGCAAGCTGTGGCACACCACCAACATCTACCTCCACCCCAAGATACACGAGTACGCAGAGAAGCTCGTAGCCAAGATGCCAGGCAACCTGAAGGTTAGGCAGCGATGCTGGGCAGTGTTCTAAATATACTTGATGTTTCGACCCATTAAGATCCGGGGTAGAATTATTGCCGTAAAAGGCAACCATGCTTGTCGTAAGAGATGACTAACGGGATCGATGAATTGGTTGTTGCATGTCATCGTATCCCAATTGCGTGGATCAATGCTCAACATACAAACAAATCTTGATGTTTCATTCTGCTGTATTCTAGGCCAGACCAGATGAACTATGCTACTCAAAAGAAGTTAAAGAAGACAGGATTTTTTTTTCAACTATGGTTAATCTGTCATGGCTATTTAAAGGTATTCTTTAACTTCCCTTGAGTCGTATATATTAGTTGCCCATGGATTATTTCAATTCAGATCTCTTGTAGCAGAGAAATGAAATTGTCGTCAAAAACAACTTGAACGTAAGGAAGTGTGAGTAAGTGAAACAAGATTATGCAAATTGGATTGTTTGTATTGTTTTATAAGTGCATTTTGATTGTTACATGATGTTTTTATTGTTTTTGACACATTTGAGCAAGGCTACCCAATAAATGTAGTTTATTCATTCACTCATTCATTAAATGGATTGTTGTTTCTGTTAGATTTGATTTAGTTTATGGATTGTTGTTTCTGTTAGATTTGATCAGTTTATGGATTGTTGTTTCTGTTAGATTTGATCAGTTTATGGATTACCCTTTAAAATAGTAGTGTGCCTTGTAAAATGCTTCACATCTAGAAGCAGATGAAGCTAGAGATTAGTTTATTCATTTTGCAGTCAAGTAGATAGTGTGATTACCCATCCCATCAAAGTCAGGGCTTTGATTCCCCATGTGTTCAATGTAAATATTCTATTCCTTATTGTCCCTATTAATAAACCTGCCAACTTCACGAACTAACTCAATGATAAATGCCTAAACCACTGCCGAGAAGTAAAGCCAGTCGTTTGATTTGCAGGTGGTTTGTTTTACCAACAGTGGTTCCGAGGCGAACGACCTTGCCCTTCATATGGCTCGTTTGTACACTGGTGTGTATGACACCATATCACTGAGGTAGCGTACAGTGTACAAATGATATAAAGAGACTGTAAAACCTGAAAAATCTTGTGGTTAAAAGAGTGAAAAAAATAATGATGAAATATCCACAAAGCAAAACTGAAAACAGTTGCACACAGTTGTATATTTGTATACCAACCTGACAGGACCAACACTGTAGCTGTCCTAGAGGTCAGAGTTAGAACTGCTCCCTTTGGCCTCTTGGCTGTCGTACGAGCTGTCCTAGAGGTCAGAGTTAGAACTGTTCCCTTTGGCCTCTTGGCTGTCGTACGAGCTGTCCTAGAGGTCAGAGTTAGAACTGTTCCCTTTGGCCTCTTGGCTGTCGTACGAGCTGTCCTAGAGGTCAGAGTTAGAACTGCTCCCTTTGGCCTCTTGGCTGTCGTACGAGCTGTCCTAGAGGTCAGAGTTAGAACTGTTCCCTTTGGCCTCTTGGCTGTCGTACGAGCTGTCCTAGAGGTCAGAGTTAGAACTGTCCCCTTTGGCCTCTTGGCTGTCGTACGAGCTGTTCTAGAGGTCAGAGTTAGAACTGCTCCCTTTGGCCTCTTGGCTGTCGTACAAGCTGTCCTAGAGGTCAGAGTTAGAACTGTTCCCTTTGGCCTCTTGGCTGTCGTACGAGCTGTCCTAGAAGTCAGTTAGAACTGTTCCCTTTGGCCTCTTGGCTGTCGTACGAGCGGACTCGACACGGGTCATTGTGCCCCAGTGGCATTGGCGGTTTCTCGTGCTATCAGTCACTGGTCTGCCTGGTCAGACTCCGTCTTTTACAGCACCCTCACCCCCTCCCACCCCTACATAATATTGCTGGAATATTGCTGACTGCAGCTTTAAAAACTATATGCCTCCGAAAATATTAAATTCAGTCACATCAGGACATCAGGGCCTCCCATATCTTTTTAAAAATATTACTTATTTTTGTTCTGGCCAACTCGTGAACTTTATGTGTTCGTGTTGATTCCTTCCAGGAACGCCTACCACGGGATGAGCCCCTACCTGATGGGTCTGACGGCCATATCCACCTGGCGCTACAACACCCCTACAGGATTCGGCATCCACCAGGTGAGGGGACCATCAAACAGTCTGAATAGTGGAGCAGGGTGAATAGTGAGACCAGTGTGAATAGTGGAACTGTGTGAATAGTGAGAACTGTGTGAATAGTGAGACCTGTTTGAATAGTGAGACCAGTGTGAATAGTGAGAACTGTGTGAATAGTGAGAACTGTGTGAATAGTGAGACCTGTTTGAATAGTGAGACCAGTGTGAATAGTGGAACTGTGTGAATAGTGAGAACTGTGTGAATAGTGAGAACTGTGTGAATAGTGAGAACTGTGTGAATTGTGGAACTGTGTGAATAGTGAGACCAGTGTGTATAGTGAAACTGTGTGAATAGTGGAACTGTGTGAATAGTGGAACTGTGTGAATAGTGAGAACTGTGTGAATAGTGAGTACAGTGAATAGTGGAACAGTGTGACTAGTGGAACAGTGCAAATGGTGAGAACTGTGTGAATAGTGAGACCAGTGTTTATAGTGGAACTGTGTGAATAGTGAGTACAGTGAATAGTGGAACAGTGTGACTAGTGGAACAGTGCAAATAGTGAGAACTATGAGAATAGTGTGAATAGTTAGAACAGTGAATTGTGGAGCAGTGTGAATAGTGGAACAGTGCAAATGGTGAGAACTGTGGGAACATTGTGAATAGTGAGAATGGTGTGAATAGTGGAACAATGTGAATAGTGGAACAGCAAATGGTGAGAACTGTGTGAATAGTGAGAACTGTGAATAGTGGAACAGTGCAAATAGTGAGAACTGTGTGAATAGTGAGAACTGTGAATAGTGGAACAGTGCAAATAGCAAGAACTGTGTGAATAGTGGAACAGTGCAAATAGTGAGAACTGTGTGAATAGTGAGAATTGTGTGAATAGTGGAACAGTGCAAATAGTGAGAACTGTGTGAAAACAGTGAATGAAAATCAGAAGGACGAAGTATTTTTTCCCAACTGACCTGCCAGCATGGCCAAGGGCACTGAGGGATCTAAGATATATCCCTGGCTTCACACAAGTCTGACAAACATACAGCAATTAAGGCTGTTCCTTGTTCAACAGGCAATGAACCCTGATCCATTCCGAGGGCCGTGGGGCGGTGCCAGGTGTCGGGACTCTCCATCGCAGGTAGGTTGGAATACTGCCCTGAAGACTAATTATTGTTAACAAAATATTGCAACTGATTCTGTGGCTAACCAAGCAATTTTTTTTGGTAATAAAGTTTCCATAGAGCAAATCATTTTAGGCCACACCTATTAACAGACTACTGTTTCCTGATTGGCTGATAATACAAGGAGCAGGGCTTGTGTTGCATTGTTGTGCTGAACGATGTCGCTGATGTTGTATTGTTGTCTACAGTTTTTTGTGTTAATGATTAAAAAAGCAGTCTGAAGATATTATTGTTGATAGAATTGACACTCTGTATTCTACTTTTTGAACTGTATGACATTGTACCTGTTGACCTGGGCCATTCCAGTCAAGTCGGGAGTGGATGGAGATCCTGGATAGAATAGGTCTTCAGCAACCCATGCTTGCCATAAGAGGCGATTATGCTTGTTGTAAGAGGCGACTAACGGGATCAGGTGATCAGGCTCGCTGACTTGGTTGAAGCATGTAATGCTATCCCAATTGCATGGATGATGCTCATGATGTCAATCACTGTATTGTCTGGTACAGATTCAATTTACAGACTTACAGGTCCAGAGACTCCAGACTTCAGACTGCCGTCATATAGCTGGAATATTGCTGAGTGCGGCGTTCAACAACAAACCAACCAGTCAGCAAATCACGAATTGCTCCTAAATTAATGGAATGATACAGTATTATCATAAGGCTGTTTTAAATAAGTGATTTCAATCATGTAGTTGTTATGTTCAGCTGTGACTCTGCCGAATAATGTATAACTGTGTGTAACAGTGAAAAACTGAATAAATATCTGTGCGATTGTATATTAATGTATAATGGTGTGTAACAGCAGGGTGACATGATATTATCATGATAGAACATTTATACTAAGTTTTCCTATCATAATAAGATCCACATCAAGTGCTTTTATGAGTTATCATGGTGTAATATTTATACATCATTTCATATAATTATAGTTTAGCAAGTAATACTTATCATCAGGTAAAATGCATATATAAAATATCAGTAGTTTCAGTTTGGCTTTTTAGATAGATGCTAGCCTAAGGTAACGGGAGCGCATCTCCTAGACATACTATTCAATAAGACAAGCGTTATGTCTACATAGTTTAATAGATTTGAAGCTTGTAGATAGATGCTAGCCTAAGGTAACGGGAGCGCATCTCCTAGACATACTATTCAATAAGACAAGTGTTATGTCTACATAGTTTAATAGATTTGAAGCTTGTAGATAGATGCTAGCCTAAGGTAACGGGAGCGCATCTCCTAGACATACTATTCAATAAGACAAGCGTTATGTCTACATAGTTTAATAGATTTGAAGCTTGTAGATAGATGCTAGCCTAAGGTAACGGGAGCGCATCTCCTAGACATACTATTCAATAAGACAAGCGTTATGTCTACATAGTTTAATAGATTTGAAGCTTGTAGATAAATGCTAGCCTAAGGTAACGGGAGCGCATCTCCTAGACATACTATTCAATAAGACAAGCGTTATGTCTACATAGTTTAATAGATTTGAAGCTTGTAGATAGATGCTAGCCTAAGGTAACGGGAGCGCATCTCCTAGACATACTATTCAATAAGACAAGCGTTATGTCTACATAGTTTAATAGATTTGAAGCTTGTAGATAGATGCTAGCCTAAGGTAATGCAGAGTTCCCGCTGGCTTTTGAACGTGCCAGTCCTTGTGGACTGGCAACTCTAAAATTAACCAGTCCTCCCTAGCTTGTGCCAGTCCCAACTTTCAACAAATTAAAAAACATATGAAAATTCTTTGGTTTCAATTCTTTCAACATCATGTTCAGTGCAAAGATGTCATCTCCTAAGTAACTTAGTTAATGATCTATACGTCATTCACACAAACTTCAGTCACAATTTTCTCTCTTTGTTTTTAATATTTCGAGACGCAGTCGCTACAAATGGATAATTAACCTAGAAATAGACAAGGGGAAACCCTGATGGTAACAGACAAGCTGACTTTGTTCGGAAATATGTACTTATATCAGTATCACCAATGTGTTGTTAAACATCAAAGATTTATAAGGTACTTTATTTGCCGGTCCACAGGGACTGTCAGTCACATGAATTACCGGTCCAAGCCTAATTTTACCGGTAAAAAACTGGTAATTACCGGTAAACGGGAACACTGGTAATGGGAGCGCATCTCCTAGACATACTATTCAATAAGACAAGAGTTATGACTACATAGTTTAATAGATTTGAAGCTTGTAGATAAATGCTAGCCTAAGGTATCAAGATCCCATCTCCCAGACAAAAGATATGTCTACATAGTCTTATAGATTGCCTTTAACTATTTTATTTAAGTAAATCTGTCATCACCTATATTAGAATAACATTCAGCAATTACTTCAATTTAGACTCATTAAGGATTAGCCCCCATACAAGCTCGTCTATAGTGATACCATAATCTCTTTCCAAGCACCCAGTAAATATGTCAACAAGATTAGTGCCAACAGGATGAACAGGATTAAGTATTCACCTCTGTCTAGCCATTCATTTAGTATAGGGCACAACCCATCGTGTATCAACCAATCATATTCCTTTTTATAATTAGAAATGGGTTCCATGCGTGCGTCCGTCCGTCCGTCCGTCCGTCCGTCCGTCACGTTTCGTTTCCGGAGCATAACTCAGAAACCTTTCAATATTTTTTCATGAAACTTTGCAGGTTTGTCAGGTACATGCTGAACTGGTGCCTTTTCCTATTTAGAAATTTTAGAAATTTGTATTTTTTTACGTTTCCATGGCAGTAAGATGGACTTAGGTTCCAAACTCTTCTTTTTTTCACAATTTCCATGACAAGTTCCACCTCAGTTAAAAAAGGTTAGGGTTTGTTTAGATTTTATTATGTCATAAATTCTGCAACAGGGGCGGGGGGATATAGCCACGTATAGTGGCAAACTCTTGTTTATTTTCATTGTTTATGTAATCAGAATATTATGGTTATAAGAGTTATAAATACCAAAGTATTTTCAGGTTGGTTTTCCACTTAGTAACATACCTCCGTTTTTGAAGTTTTGTACACGTACGAAGATTCATTTTTGTTTGGTACCATTTAATTTTCCTGCTGTTTTACAAATTCTACAGCACAAAACATCACCCATTATGTCATTTTCCCAACTTACATTCTCAGACATGTGTCACTACCATTGAGAGCGTTCTTCCAGTCACTCTGCAACTTTCTCATTTTTTACTTAGTTTTAGCCAGATGTAGAATTCTTCTTGTTAGACGTTTTGTCACTATGTATTGTGTCTTTACCACAAGCATCTTCCCCATTTTGATTTTGTTAGCCTACCGTATTCGACGTAATAAGCGCCCTGGGCGCTCTCAAAATTAGAAATGGGGGGCTATTATAAGAATATTATTTTGGTGAAAAAAACAGAGTTGAAACATAAATTTCATGGTTTATGCTGACAGCCTGAAATGTTTGTGTACGACAGAAAGATAGTGTTTTTCCAGAATTTAATTGCCCATAATTAAGGTTGCATATAACACATGAGTGCGTTCTATACGCGCATAAATAAGTCTTGTGTACATTGATCAATCGGAAGGGGTGCTTATTGGGATTGTTCACTGGCCAATATGTTTGCAAATGTCGCCGTGGCCGCTTATTAGAGCGGGGCGCTTATTACGTCGAATACGGTAACAACAAAGCACTATGTCAATGTTCACGTTTTGGTTACAAGACTATCATGTGACTTGGCATTTCCCTGCCTCTTGCAATATAGAACATTGTTTTGTTTTAAGGCAGTGTTTATGCATAAATGTACATCGAAATTTAGTCAAGATTTCTGTTTTAATATAATAATGTCATATTTACTGCCGGTCCAGTGCAACAATAGGGTTCAATTGTCCACAACCTATTTAACCAGAAAATGGAAACACTTGTGACCGTGGAATGGTAACATACCTCTCGGTCGTGTTTGTAGACAATCCGGTCATGTGACTGTGCGGAGGGTGAGTGCGAGGCTTCGGACCTGTACTTCGAACAACTGGAGGACACAGTCCGCTTCTCCATGCCTAAGGACAGAGTGGGGGCTTTCTTCGCAGAGTCGGTGCAGGTACGGTCATGCAAAACATAGGAAAAAAATCATTTGGTTTTGATTCCACCAACTGGAGCAAGCAGAATGTACAAATATACTGACAAATTCCCCGACTAAGAAACATGTATCTTGTGACATACCATGTTGGATGTGACCCATGAAGATCTGGGGTAGAATAGGTCTTCTGCAACCCATGCTTGCCGTAACATACGACTATGCTTGTCGTAAGAGGCGACTAACGGGATCGGCTGGTCAGACTCGCTGACTTGGTTAATCCATGTCATCGTATTCCAATTGCGTGGATCGATGCTCGTGATGTCAATCTCTGGATTGTCTGGTTCAGACTCGATTATTTACAGACCGCCATCATACAGCTGGAATATTGCTGAGCGTGGAGTTAAACCACAAACAAACAAACAAACAAACAAACCAAACCATGTTGGATGTATTAAGACCCCGGGATGGTAGAGTAGTTCAAACAGTGGGCTGCAGCTGAAGACGACCTATTCCACTTTGTTTTAACATGAGAGAATCTTGTGCTGGGTCAGAGAGCAAGTTAGGAGCTTGTCTGTAAGGATCCTTATTTGAGGTTGCCGTATTTTCTTGAGTATAGTGCATACTTTTTTTAAAAAAAACACAGCTGTGTAGAAGGGTGTGTGCATTATACACGAATTAATGAGTTTTGATGTTTTTTCCCCCATGGTAATTCTCGCGATCGCGCGATCACGTGCACGGGAGCCTTGACGGTGACTGGTCAGACTGGTTCCATGTAAAAAATAATACCCGGCAATAGCAATCAGCTGCTTCGCTTAGGGTTATTATTATTTTAAATATGTTTAGTAAAGCTGCATCTAAATTAACAAGATATTAGAATATATTATTCCTGATATAAAAAAAGTTTCAGATACAATTTTTGCCGATCCTTGCATTAAAATCCTGTAAAGTTATATCATTGGGTGTGTCTTGACCGAATCACCGGTAGATTCCAAGAAAATGTGTGTACAGCTGATTGCTGTGTCCGGCTTAGTTTTGCGAGAAAATACACAAGGTAATCTTAATCCCTGGATATAAAACAATGCTTAGCAGAACAAAAAATACAATTTAAACGGTAAATCAACATGTCTGGTGATTTTTTATCTCAAATTTCGAATTTGTACTGACCAAGTTTCTCATCACCCGTTTGTTTGCCGGACTTTGCTAAAGGGGTACGGTGTAATTTTTTTTCTGCTCTTGGTATTCGAATTTTTCTTTCTCCAAAATATTGAATCCGCTAGAGGGGGGTGCGCACTATACTCAAGAAAATACGGTAATTTGGAACACGTTCTTCCTGGGATTGGCTGTAAAATTATTTTGGCATAAAGCTATGTGTGTCATCAGTATGGAAGGTTGTTTTGGATGGAAGGGAAGGGATTATGGATGGCCGAATGGTTGCGGCACCAAGTAGTGTCCCTTAGTGTCCCTTAATTGTGCCAGTATCTGATGATCATGGGTTCAAATCCTCCTTCTCCTCCCTGATCCTTGGTTTGTTGGCTCCATAGTCATCAGTTGTCCCCATTCTGCATCACTTCAGACATTCATGGACCACCTCCGTGAGTGTCTGCCTGGAGAGTGGAATATCCAGATTCGATCCCTGGCCGTGTTATAACAAAAGACGTTAATAGATGGTACTTGTTGTTACCCTGGTTGGCGCTCGGCATTACGGGTCTACAACAAGCATTGGTTGGCTCAGAATCAATATACTGTGTCTGTTTGGGGTATTCATGTTAAACTGCATCATGCATCAAGCAGCCACACGCACATGTCGCTTTATAAGTGCAATAATCTTGGATGCGACGTTAAACCCCATTTCACCTCACCTCAAACCTTCATCCCAGTTAGCTGACCTGCGTGATATAACTGACTCAACTTTACTTCACTCACTGTTTTGTTCAACTTCAGACACAGAAGCTCTTGTAACTTCACTGTAAGGTAGGGGCACGGGTGGCCCAGTCGTCTAAGGCGCCGCGATTCGCTGTGCAGAGTTGCGTCCCTTGGACACGCCAGAAACCTATGATTGTGGGTTCGAATCCCGGTTCACCCCGATTATGTTTCTAGGTTTGTCAGCACCATACCAGTGCTCGTGGGTTTCACCGAAGTGGTTAACGTCTGAGACCTGCATCACTTCGGGCTTTCCTCCCGCATTAAGCTGACACGCCGCGATATAACTTGAATACTGTTAAAAGCGGCGTTAAACCCAACTCACTCACTCACTGTAAGGTGACTTCAATATCATTCTTCTCAATGTTCAAATCAAGCTGCAGTTAAAATTAACTTTACTTACATTATTTCAGGGTGTCGGTGGTGCCGTACAATTTCCAAAGGACTACTTGAAAAAAGCATTTGATCTGATTCGATCCAAAGGGGGACTCTGTGTGTCTGATGAGGTGAGCTTTCACACTTCAAATGGTGCTTTCAGAGAATGAGCTCGATCATGTTGATACTGACTCAAAGTATAGTTAATTTGTGTTCAAACCCGTGAAGATTCCGGGGGAGAATAGGTCTTCAGCAACCCATGCTTGCCGTAAAGGGTGACTATGCTTGTCGTAAAAGGCGACTAACGGGATCGGGTGGTCAGGCTCGCTGACTTGGTTGATGCATGTCATCGATCCCAATTGCGTGGATCGATGCTCATGATATTAATCACTGGATTGTCTGGTCCAGACTCGATTATTTACAGACCGCCGTCATATAGCTGGAATATTGCTGAGTGCGACGTTAAACAACAAACCAACCAACTAATTTGTGTTCAAGTTGTCCTGTTTATCAATGAAGGGCCCACAGTAACATGTTTCACTAGGTAGGTGTATATTTCCTTTCAGCAGAGCATTGTGAACATGCAGACCAGTATTTTGGAGTATTTGACATTTCTTGTTTCATGTATAACAGGTTTAGGGATGGTTTGTTTGTAAATTTCCAAGAAACATACAGTTTTCCTATTCACAATATTTGTACCATATTGTGTATGGCATCACTGCACATTTATGACATCATCAGCTGAAGAAATTGAAAGAAATATTTGAATGAGGCAAAGTTTATCCATTTATTAAAAGGATCTTCACACTAACATATGGGATTTATAATAATTTTCTATCCCTGGGTGGTATATATTGATTTGAATAAATAATTGGTATTATTTTGTCAGAACACAAAGGGAACACAGGAGCTAAATATATTTGGAAAATATGCAAAGTAAAATACATAATTACATACCAAACAAATCCTAACCACTGGTGGGGCGGTCAGGTAGCCTAGTGGTTAAAGCGTTCGCTCGTCACGCCAAAGACCCGGGTTCGATTCCCGACATGGGTGCAATGTGTGAAGCCAATTTCTGGTGTCCCATGCCGTGATATTGCTGGAATATTGCTAAAAGCGGTGTAAAACCATACTCACTCACCTAACCACTGGTAACAGTGTGTCAGGGATTTAGTTACATGCAGGTAGGAAGCCCATGGGACGTTATTCCCCTGCTGTGATCGATGTTGGAGTAGTGGCAGCTCTCACTGTTTGTACTGTGTTTCTCACTGTTCTGTCTGATGTACTTGACATTCTGATGACCACGTAATATAAAAGCCTTTCCTTTAAAATATGTCACACGAAATTTGATCTGTTTATGTAGGTGCAGACAGGCTTTGGTCGAATGGGCAGCCATTACTGGGGCTTTGAGACGCATGGTGTTATCCCAGACATGGGTAATAATGTCACATGTTGCCCTCCATAATAAGTCATATTCCCTAGCTTAGCATGTAGGGGTGGGTGAACTGTGCGAGTGTCCCTTTTGATGACAAATGGCAAGCTCCTCACAGCAATAGCCGTTTCACGGAGCTCTCTGTACTATCACTGCCACCAGTCAAAGCTCCCCACTGTGATGGGAGGCTACAACCATGCTTGGAGTTGAACTCGCAACCGACTGACCATTATGTTTACAAACAAGTGATGACAGTTGTGATGCTGAATACTCTTAGCCCAGTTTAATTATTTTCTTTGTTTGTCAATTTCAGTTTCTATTTCATTTTAACTATCATGTAATTGGTATAGTAAGGGGGAGTTGGGTGATTTTCTGTTTGTCTGCAATTTCAAAGCAATCTGATAAAATGAACAAATCGGTAAATTGATCTGCGAAATATGGTCGGTCGTAAACCTTTTTAAAAAATTGCTATGATGGCATTCCCAAAGACGTTAACAAAAATTTAAACGTTACTACAGTTGGAGTTGGAGGGCAATCTTCAAGAGTCTTGTAATGGCCCACACTGACGGCAGCGATGTTACGAGGATGGGAATGATTTTGGACTAGTGCATGCACCATCGATTTTGAAGTATTTTAGTTCACCAGGCCTACATTTGAACCATAGTTGTGGCAATAAATGCATTTGCCATACTTTTCACACTTTCCTCTTGGGGCACGGGTGGCCCAGTCGTGTAAGGCGCCGCGATTCAATGTGCTGCGATTCCATGTGCAGAGCCGCATCCCTTGAGAATGCCAGAAACCCATGATTGTGGGTTCGAATCACGGTTTGCCCCGAATATGTTTCCAGGTTTGTCAGCACCACACCCATGCTCATGGGTTTCACCGAAGTGGTAAACGTCCGAGACCTGCACCACATTAAGCTGACATGCCTTGATATAACTGGAATACTGTTAAAAGCGGCGTTAAAGCCAACTCACTCATTTCAACTTCTAAAGCTGTGGAACTGAATATTAGCCTCGTGTTTTGGTGCCAGTCAATTGAAACAAAAGTCACCTTTTTAGTCCCGAAGTCTGTGTGTGTTTTGATGACATTCCTCCTGTTCCAGTAACAATAGCTAAGGGCATGGGAAACGGCTTCCCCATGGGCGCTGTGATTACAACTCCGGAGATCGCTGCCACGCTGGGGAAGGCACTTCACTTCAACACGTACGGCGGCAACCCAGTTGCATGTGCAGTCGGTTCAGAAGTCCTCGATGTAAGATGATGCAGTGGAACCCGCTTGGTCCAATCTCATTAAAATCAGATCTTAGTTCTGGCTACCGCCAAACAAAGATCTGAGGACATCCCATTACGGGTCACATCAGAACGACCTTTCATCCGACCAATCAGAGTGTCGCTTACCAGATCATGAAAGTGACATTCAGAATGTAATTTCTGATAATGCAACCTCGAAAACTTTAACACGGGATATACGATAGTTACGGGTTTAACGACTGAATCCGTACAATGTAGACCATCTATTAGCCATTCCAGAATGTTTTTTTGTTCAGGTTTCAAATTTGTAATCGAGAATTTGTCAAAATATGTTTTGAAGCGTAGTCGCCAATTTGAAATTGGTGCCGTTAAGCACGAGAAAGCTGCCCTCTGATTGGCTAATGTCGACTTCTTGTCAGTCCTTCTATCAGTCGGTCAAAGTTTGCGCAAGGTCGGTCTGACATGAGCCGTATTGGGATGTCCTCAGATCTTTGTTTAGCTGTAGCGAGAACTAAGATCTGATTTGAATAAGATTGCCACTTAGTCCAAAACCCTGTCTATCTACTGATTGAGTTTGGAACATAACTTTCTCTCTCGATTTCTCTAGCTCTACACACACAGAGAAACACGAAACAACATGACTGTTCTTCTGATTTGTAAATCCAGAATGTTGTTAGATAAACACAGTTAAAAGAGGTCTTCAGCAATCCATGCTTGCCGTTAAAGGCGACTGTGCTGGTCGTAACCGGATTAGGTGGGCAGGTTCACTGACTTGGTTGATGCATGTTATCGTATACCAACTGCATGGATTGATGCTCATGATGTCAATCACTGGATTGTCTGGTCCAGATTCGATCATATACAGACTTATCATCGTATAGCTGGAATATTGCTGAGTGCGGCATGAAACAAAACGCAAACAAACAAATCCAATGTAAGGTGGTAACGCTACATCTGACAAAACATGATTCTGGTTTGGTTTTGACACAAAGGTGATAGAGGATGAGAAAAGACAGGAGCACTGTGCCGTTGTGGGAACCCGCCTCATCCACAAGTTGCAGGGGCTACAGGAGGAGTTCGATTTCATTGGTGATGTGCGAGGCAAAGGACTGATGATTGGAGTGGAAATGGTCACGGACAAGGTGAGTTTGACTGGAATGGGGGCGGTGGGGTAGCCTAGTGGTTAAAGCGTCGCTCGTCACGCCAAAGGCCCGGGTTCGTTTCCCCACATGTGTACAATGTTTTGAAGCCTTGTTATTGCTGGAATATTGCTAAAAGCGGCATTAAACCATACTCATGCACTCACTCCACTGGAGTGAGGGAGTGCCTTGGTTTAAAGCAGTATTTACTTCTTTAATCAGTATTTTAGTGACATCATGGCATGACAGCTTAATGTGAGGACCCGTGAAGATTTGGGGGAGAATAGGTCTTCAGCAACCCATGCTTGCCGTAAAAGGCGACTATGCTTGTCGTAAGAGGAGACTAACGTGATCAGGTGGTCAGGCTCGCTGACTTGGTTGATGCATGTCATAGTTTCCTAATTGCATGGATCGATGCTCATGTCAATCACTTGATTGTCTGATCCAGACTTGATTATTTACAGACTGCCATCATATAGCATGAGGTACTTGGGACCATCTCTCACCTGGAACCCCCACAGGTGTTTCAATACTGGATAAGGTTGAAACCGTCATGAATGCATTGTGACATTTATGGATCTGATGTATTGTTTTTTCACATGTACATAGTCCAAAACTTGTAGCAGTATATTGCCATATATCTGCACTTGTATGCATATGTCTTTGTGCTTTCATGTGCAGTTGTCTCATTAAGACGTTAGCCAAGCTAGTAAACCATAAACTTGGTTGTGATGTCTTGAACAGTGGATGACAACATCTTCATTAGCAACAATCATAATGCATTCATGTAAAGTGCCGTAGCCAGCCGGGGAGTCAGGGGGGACTGTTGCCCCCCCTCAATTATTTATAAGAAACAGTTTTATTTGAATCAAGTTGGGGACAAGTGATACTTGTACAAATATTTGCCGCCCCTGTCAAAAAAAGGTTAACTACGGCCTTGATGTGATGTCATGCTGCTATGGGACTCTTTGCAAATAATGAAATCAAGTTGGACAATTTTAACAAACTGCAAATCAGCATAAAGCAAAACATACAGCTGAGTGGGAATTACTGGAAATAATATCACAGATATTCAACCTCTATGAGTAATATGTGTATTAATTGGAGTTGATGTTATGTTGCAGAAGTCGCGGAAGCCGATGTCGGGAGAGGACATAGGGGACATCTGGGAGGACACCAAGGACATGGGCATCCTGCTGGGGAAGGGAGGACTGTACGGGAATGTAAGACCATTGATCCCTCATGACAGCCCCAGCTATGTAGGAGAAACAGCCTTTACTCACTTGTTTGTCATTCATTAATAGTTAGGGGCGGTCGGGTAGCCTAGTGGTTAAAGCGTTCACTTGTTATGCCGAAAACCCGGGTTCGATTCCCGACATGGGTACAATGTGTGAAGCCCCTTTCTGGTGTCCCCCGCCGTGATATTGCTAGAATATTGCTAAGAACGGTGTAAAATCATACTCACTCACTCATTAATAGTTAATAAAAGCGACAAAACCATTCCCCAATCATAATCCTCTACTTAAGCAGAGTCTGTTGTACCATCCTGACTATATCATTGCCATGTGTTTTTTGGGGCGGTCGGGTAGCCTAGTGGTTAAAGCGTTCGCTCGTCACGCCGAAGACCCGGGTTCGATTCCCGACATGGGTACAATGTGTGAAGCCCATTTCTGGTGTCCCCCGCCGTGATATTGCTGGAATATTGCTAAAAGCGGCGTAAAACCATACTCACTCACTCACTCACCCATGTGTTTTTTTGGAATCACTATCAAATGGTAATGACACCAGATGTTTGCAAACAGGTGAGCATGTCGGACCCCACTGGTGGCATCCGTCACAAACACATGTTAAGGCAAAATAGGGAATTGCATCTGAGATCCTTTTGATCATCAGGGCTTCAAATGTGGAAATGTCCTCCAAATGTCTATCATTTAATCCTGATAGAAAGTCTGGGTGGTCGATTAGCCTTGTGGTTAAAGTGTTTGCTCATCATGCCGAAGACCTGTGTTTGATTCCCGACATGGGTACAGTGTGTGAAGCCCATTTCTGGTGTCCCCGCAGTGATGTTGCTGGAATATTGCTAAAAGCGGTGTAAAACCACACTCACTCACTCACTCACTCACTCACTCACTCACTCACTCACTCACTCACATGAGAGCCAAACAAATAGAGACATGAATTTGACTCATCTTTGTAAATTGTTTCAGACCTTCCGTATCAAGCCCCCGATGTGTATCACAGATGAAGATGTAGATTATGCGGTTGCCGTCATGAGAAAAGCTTTTGAGAATTTTGCTGTCCGACGAAAGTAAATAGTCGACATGTGCGAGAGAATATGTCAGTATTTTATCCCTGTCACTGATCTGATAAAATGGTCCTCAGGAACCCACAAAGCAAGAAGCGCTTTGTCTACTTTACATTCAATGGATTTCTGTACTGCTGAAATAGTCCCCGTGAAAACTGAAGAATCTTTGGAGTACACTTTTCAATAAATGGAGGTCATTTTACAACCTCAATCCTACTGCTATGTCAGGCGTTACCTGATGTTACATTTATTCTGCACCTCATGCTATGTTGAATAGCATGGCCTTTTAATCTATGATGATTCTCTGTTATAGTAGTTGTCTATGAAGAATGTCTACAGGTATCTTTTTGTGTTCACCATGTTCATGTTTTAGCCTATGATGTCACTGCATTGTTGCCTCAATGAGTGATGTCATAGCCAGCTTCCTGAGGCAAGGGAGTCAACTGACTGTAAAAGTCCACTTTCCACCTTTGCCAAACTAGACCAGAATTTCTGGGTTTGATCGTAGTGCACCAGTGCTTATTACGAGTTATGTCCCTCCTATGCCCCTGCTATTGACCAATCAGATTCCACCTCTGATATCATTTGTATTTGCTTCAATAATCTGAATAATCAATATCGATATTGTAATAAAACGTGTCTTTCTTCGCAATGTGCATCAAATTTACGTGAACACCTTGATAAAAAACCTGAAAAGATTTGGAAAATATCTTTTGACACTGTTAACGGTATACATGTTTTGCAAATGTTGCAATAGACCTAAATCTGCATGGCAGTTTACGAAGCGGATGTTGATTTCGTTAAACGATTTTCACGATAGACTCGTTAGTCCAGCCAAAATGAAACTCCGAACCATATTTCCAGTCTAGTTCAACAAGGGTGAAAAATTTACTTTTATAGTCAGTTAACTCCCTTGCCTGAGAAAGATGTGTCAATGCAATCTATGATGTCTTCCATTGTTTGTATAAACTACACTTTAAAACTTTAGGGATATGTATAGTTTTAGATATACTGTAAATCTTGAAATTAACGCGAGCATGAATTAAATGCAAAAAATGCAAGTGGTCTTTGATTGCATTAATTAACTTCGCATTTAAGTCAAAAATGACTATCAACAATAAGATGGCCTCACTGCACACATTGGATAGCGGAAATACCAACTTGAATACTAACACAAAGACAGTTTATTGAGCAGCAGTTGTAACAAGTATATAACAATGTCATTCAAAAAATAGTATTACACAATGGGTAACCAGTGAGTTATCACTGCTGTAGTCAAGAGTTCTACCCACTCGTGCCAAGCTTGTTGACACGCATACCAATCAGTAAACTGTTGTTGATTCAATTATTTTATTGCCTTTGAACTTCCTTAATGCCGGTCAACAGAGTAAACATATAAACAGTGTGTTGCTTTTAGGAAAACACTGTTTATTGTTTTTACGGAAGTGCCCTACTAAGTAATAAGCGCTGCTATTTGCTGTTTGATTGGATTAAGGTAAGGATATGTATCATTCCACTGGGCTGGGGTGGGGGAGTCGCATTGATTTTGAGTTGCATTTGTGGCTAGGGGTCAGCAGTCGTATTAGTTTGGAGACGCATTAATTTCCAGATTTACAGTATACTATTATGATGTTGAAATGTAAATTTTTATTCGTGCCCTAGCACAAGAAAATTCACAGTGACTACCTTGTTTTCATTTGGAGAGTTTGATTTGGTCGTTTAGATTTTTTAGATACCTAGCATTTACAGATGTTTACAGATATCAACAAGTCAGTAGTCAGTTTGTGGAGTATGTAAACACATATTACTCAGGAACAACAGCTGTTAGGATGACATGTAATCTACTGGCAACTAGTTTAACCCAGGGCCATTCTGCTTCAGAAAAATGTTCCACAAGGAATTAACAAATATGCATAAGTCATGGAAAAGTTGAGACTTTTATGGTGAAATATGAGTAAATTTTCCTTTTGTATTCATGTTATTGAAACACCCCATGCAAAGTAACCTGCCTTGTCAAAGTTGACAAGGCAAGAGAAATAAGAAAGGCATATGTTGGGTTCAAGGTCATAGGTGTGGCAGGACTTGTGGGCTGCCCTAAGCTATTATTATAATGAATTAGATTTGGCAACTTGAGTTACCAGCAAGCAGCAAGCAGCCGCAGCAAGCAGCAAGCAGCAAGCAGCAAGCAGCAGCAGCAAGCAGCAGCAGCAGCAGCAATGGGCAACTATGTTGCCAGCAGCAAAATACTAAGTTTCAGCTGAAAAGCAGACATGAATTAAGTTAAGCCTAAAGGTTCCCATCTGCTGAGAAGCAGAGGGACTGAACAGATTCCCGCTGAAGAGCAGGGACCTGATAATTTTGATGATTACTTGGTGATTAAGTAAGTATTTACATTTGTAGCCCACAAGAACCACGCCCACCTATAACATTTATTGAATAAATAAGCAATATACATAGTTTGCCCTGAGCCATATATGTACACAAGATTGATTAGAGAGAATATGAATGTGGCAGGCTAGGGGTAGGGTGGGTGGGAACCAAAAGTTGAGAATTGCTGTACAAAACATGGTACAGAAAATTTTGACAGAACTAACAGATGATGGTGATGAAGATGGTGATTACACAAGAGAAAGTTTGATGACATCATAGGAAGTAGAATTATGACGTAAGTGGCGGGAGATTGTAAGAGGAAGTGCATAAGGAGATAAACAAAGAGGTGCATTATGGTTTCAATAAACCCATTTAGTGAGAAGCACTAAATGAAATTATGATTCCATTGTCATACTAACTCTTATTAACTTTTGATTATTATTTTTAATGATCTTTGACGCACAATATTCCTAACTTGAAGATGATGATTATGTGTGTGTTTTCAATTACACTCTGCTTTGGGCAACTAGGACTATGTCCTGATGTCTCACTGCCGTGGTTCACGCCGTCCATGTATTTCTCAGCTTGTAGATATAGGTATGTAATCTCGCTCGGACATCCAACAAATGTTCAGCTTTTTTTTTATAAGTTCATTGTTATGTTAGGTGCTGAATTTTTACCAGTATTTACAGGTGCTTCTTAAATGTTGTCATGCTTCACAAGCATCTCATCATTAAGCCCTGTTGGCTGCATGATGTCGAGGCATAGTACGTTGTTTTGATCATACTGCTGTATGCGTAAGAGCTTTAATATGATATGGAATAATAAATTATACAGGACACGTTCGTTTACCTGTGTTCTTTAATGCTTACTGCAGCACTAAACAACACACACACACACACACACACACACACACACACATGCATTTGCATACATGTACATGCTCACTCATTAGTCAGGTATGTCTTTATAGTGAGTGAGTTGTGTTTAACACCACTTTTAACAGTATTCATGGTGTGTCAGCTTAATGTGGGAGGAAGGCTCGAAGTGATGTAAGTCTAAGACGTTTACCACTTTGGTGAAACCCCCAAGCATGGTAATGGTGCTGACAAACCTAGAAACATAATCGGGGCAAACCGGGATTTGAACCCACAATCATAGGTTTCTGGCGTGCCAAAGGGACGCAACTCTGCACAGCGAATCGCACCGCCTCAGACGACTGGGCCACCCGTGACCCCCTATGTCTTTTTAGATTAATTCGGTATTGTAAGGATGATTACCTGTAAGTATTATTACATTTGGTAGAGACTGGTGTATGTTTGCAAAGGGATAGAAATTACTTGTTTAATCAGGGCATTTGTAAATCTGGGATTTCACTGAGAACTGTACACTTCAGGTTAACAGGGATTCTTTTACATGCTTGAAGCAGGTTTTGTTGTTTGGAGGAAGTTAAAGTTTTATCTGGTCATTATAAAAATGCATAGATCTTCTCATAAAACATGTTGTAAGATTTTTTATGATCTTGACCTTGTGGACATCCACTGGTGATTTTGACCTTGTGGACATCCACTGGTGATGTTGACCTTGTGGACATCCACTGGTGATGTTGACCTTGTGGACATCCACTGGTGATCTGCAGATAAATGAATATTATTGTGTGTCCCTTGGGACGCAGTATGTCTTTTTCTGTATCCATTGTTTACAAATGTATATACAGGACGCACATTTGTGTGTCACTTAAAACCCTGAAGAACATTCTTGGACGCACACACAGATGAGAACATCTTGGATGCACACACAACAGAGAATATCTTGGATGCACAGAAAGCTGAGAATGTTTTCGATGCACACACTTCATAACGTCTTCATGGTGGGGATGATCAGAAGAGTTTGGATGCACATTCTTTGGATAAACATCCTGGACAAGATCATTTTGGATGCATACCACACGGGAATATCTAGGATGCACACACAGACAAGAACATTTTGGATGCATACTAGACGGAAATATCTAGGATGCACACACAGACAAGAACATTTTGGATGCATACTAGACGGGAATATCTAGGATGTACACACAGACAAGATCATTTTGGATGCATACTAGATGAGAATATCTAGGATGCACACACAGACAAGAACATTTTGGATGCATACTAGACGGAAATATCTAGGATGCACACACAGACAAGAACATTTTGGATGCATACTAGATGGGAATATCTAGGATGTACACACCGACAAGATCATTTTGGATGCATACCACACGGGAATATCTAGGATGCACACACAGACAAGAACATTTTGGATGCATACTAGACGGAAATATCTAGGATGCACACACAGGCAAGAACATTTTGGATGCATACTAGACGGGAATATCTAGGATGCACACACAGACAAGATCATTTTGGATGCATACTAGACGGAAATATCTAGGATGCACACACAGACAAAATCATTTTGGATGCATCCATTAACAGGAATATCTAGGATGTACACACAGACAAAAACATTTTGGATGCATACTAGACGGGAATATCTAGGATGCACACACAGACAAAATCATTTTGGATGCATACTAGACGGGAATATCTAGGATGCACACACAGACAAGAACATTTTGGATGCATACTAGACGGGAATATCTAGGATGCACACACAGACAAAAACATTTTGGATGCATACTAGACGGGAATATCTAGGATGCACACACAGACAAAATCATTTTGGATGCATCCATTAACAGGAATATCTAGGATGTACACACAGACAAAAACATTTTGGATGCATACTAGACGGGAATATCTAGGATGCACACACGGACAAAAACATTTTGGATGCATACTAGACGGGAATATCTAGGATGCACACACAGACAAAAACATTTTGGATGCATACTAGATGGGAATATCTAGGATGCACACACAGACAAGAACATTTTGGATGCATACTAGACTGGAATATCTAGGATGCACACACCGACAAGAACATTTTGGATGCATACTAGACGGAAATATCTAGGATGCACACACAGACAAAAACATTTTGGATGCATCCATTAACAGGAATATCTAGGATGCACACACAGACAAGAACATTTTGGATGAATATATATGGACGGCAATATGTAGGATGCACACACAGACAAGAACATTTTGGATGAATATATATGGAAGGCAATATGTAGGATGCACACGTACCAAAGCGTGTTAACATTGATACACTCATCCTGATCCAATTAAACACAGAACTAAACATGTTGCGGTTTTGTGTGTGTGCATTTTCACCCGTTCCATTCCTCCCGTTCAATAACAGAAATGAAAATTAAAAACGTCAACCCAGAATTATCAAACCTTAATAACCCCACCGAAACAGATTACATAAGGCATAAAAAGCAAATTATTTATAAAAAATATAAGAATGGATCACTGAAAGTCAGGTGTGTCACGTGATGTTGTAAAAGCCATTCTTTCCTGGTCTGTTTGTTCATGTAGAATCATGTCCATGTTGAGAAATAGATTATTTCGGAATATATTCTAAAGAACCTATTTTAGTCAACAACCATTGGGATTTCACTTTGAAAAAAGCGACAAAATCATGTCCACAATCATAAGACGTGCTAGAATCGCAGTCCGTTGTACAATTCCGACTAGATCAAGAGCATGAGGTTATGAGTTCGCTACTGGTAGGGCAGGACCAGTTCATAGGGAAGCCAGGTACTGCTTCCAGTCTACTCTAAGCTTGGCTGATCCTATGTAGATATGGGAATAGCATCATGAAGCTCAGTACCCCTTAACCTTCCTGATGTCTGGTTATGTTAATATTAATGCTTATTTGTTAAGCGTCGTATGTTATATTTTGGAACAGGTGTTTGAATAACAATTTTGGTTTCTTTTAATTCCATCAACTGGAGTGTGTGGGTGTGTGTCAGCGAGTATGGCTTTAGCAATATTCCAGCAATATCACGGTGGGGGACACCAGAAATGGGCTTTCCACATTGTACCCATGTGGGGCGTGACGAACGAACGCTTTAACCACCAGGCTCTCTCTCTCTCTCTCTCTCTCTCTCTCTCTCTCTCTCTCTCTCTCTCTTTTACACACACACACATGGCCCGTGAAGACCCGGAGTAGACTAGGTCGAATATGCTTTTCGTAAGAGGCGACTAATGGGATCGGGTGGTCAGGCTCGCTGACTTGGTTGATGCATGTCATCGAACCCAATTGGATCGATGCTCATGATATCGATGACGGGATTGTCTGGTCCAGACTCGATTATTTACAGACCGCTGTCACATAGCTGGAATATTGCTGAGTGTGGCGTTAAACAACAAACAAACAGACAGACAGACGCACGCATGCACACGCACACACACACATCAGTCAGAACTCAGCACTGAGTCTATTTTATAGAGCCAATGGACACATTTACAACAAAAGAAAAATAATAACAGTAATTGATGGTAATTGATGGTAATGAAGACATTTAAAGAATTAATTACAAAAGTATTTCAAATTATAAAAAAAAACTGTCGATGAGTAGTATACAACTAAAATGAAAAAAAAATAAAGAAGTTAATCATGTTATTTGTATGCATTAAACCAAGTAAATGACAATAGGCATATACACGCATGACTTGTATCAATTTCTGCTGTGATACACGACTCACAAAGCATACATTCTAATCTGCATGGATATTTAAAGCAGGACACTCGTACACTCGGTTTTCAACAGCTGCTTCCACGCAACAATCGTCAAGGGCAGGTAATTCTGATTGATGACTGAGTGCAAAACATGTGACAACAAGAACGAGGTGTCATGTCAACAAGATCAGAGAAGTGTCGACACTGGGCACTGTAGCAAGAAATCACGTATACTTATATCAAATCCTTGACTAGTGAGTAAGTGGGAATAGTTGAGGCTGCAGCATGTCTTTGTAGCATTTCGGTGGCCTACGTGATCACCGATAGTCAGAATGTCAATACCGTGAACACGGAAGTAGATATCTAGCTGTTTCTCTGTTGTCATGGTCAGTGGTATATTTGCTATTTCCGGCTTAGATTACGAGAAAACACACACGGTAATCTTAATCTCTGCATATAAAACAATGCCTTGGAGAGCAGGAAATACAATTTAAATGGTAGATCATCATGTCTAGTGATATTTTATTTCAAATGTAAGATTTTTATTGACCAAGTTTGTTATACCTGTTCGTTCACCTGAATTCGCTGAAGGGATACGATGTGTTTTTTTGAAAGCGCATAACACTTGATAAGTTTTTTTTACATTTTGAATCATAAACAACTACTATTCTAATATTTTTTTTAAACTCTGAAACGTAGATCGAGTTAGGTAGGCAGAGCTACCCACTCCACCTCGGTAAACCCGATCGTCTATTACTCTCATAAAATATTTGGACGCCCAAAGGTAGCGTTGTAGCGAGGGATCCCCGTGTATATATACAACATCATGGACGCTTTTATCAAAATAATGTTACCTCAGTCTGAATGAATGGATGGAATGGTCGGATGGATGGATGAATGGATGAATGTATCCAGTAGTCACTGGGTCCATATCAGATAATGACAGTGAACTTGTGGTACTATGTAGACATGGGTAAATAATATTAGGAGTATACCCAGGCCCTTGATATGTGGTCTCTGGAGTTAGTGATCCACTCCCCTTAAAACTAGCCAGCTTTGAATGGTAATTAGCAAGGCCGTAGTTAACTTTTTTTGACAGGGGGTGGGGGGGCAAATAAGATTATTCATTTCTTATTCAAGTTAACTTTCACAAGGAAAAATGTTTTCTATAAAAAATCCAGGGGGGCAACTGCTGCCCCCCGGCCGCCTACGGCACTGATTAGTATTCAAGTGACAATGATAATTAATATACTATGGGAGTAGTACTTAACAAATTCTTCATATGAACATTAATTTTAAATTTTACTTTTTATATTTAGAAACAAATTGTACATGTTTGTTCTGTATGTAGATCGATGTAGATTGAGAGATCTATGTTGACAAGTAGCTTGGCTACTTTGGACCAATCAATGATTTATTATAGTCACAACTAATATTCTCTGTTTTACTTTGTTTGTTCAAGAAAATACCAACGTTTCCAGCAGGTATTGATAGGTGGAAATTAAAAGAATATATTCATAACGTGCTGTAAGTATTTATACAGATTAAAGCTAGTATTAGTTATACAACCATAAATTTTGAAAATTTGAACGAAATCAGTCAGAGGTTTTCACTGCTAATATTGCAGAAAATTAGGGCTGGGATGGGTAACTTGCACTTGGGTACTGGGGTCGAGTAATAGGGGACTTGTACCCAGGTAGGGTCAAGAAATAGGGGGCGGGTACCCAGATAGGGTCAAGTAATAGGGGGCGGGTACCCGTCTAGGGTCGAGTAATAGGGGGCGGGTACCCGGGCAGGGTCGAGTAATAGGTGGGGATGGGTACCTGGGTAGACTCGGGTAGTAGGGGTAGGTACCCGGATAGGGTTGAGTAATAGGGGGGCGGGTACCTGGGTAGGGTCGTGTAATAGGGTGTGTGGGTGGGTGGGGGGGGTGGTACCCGGGGGTGGGTGGGGGGTGGGGGTGGTACCCGGGTAGCGTCGAGTAATAGGGGGTCAGGTACCCAGGTAGGGTCAAATAATAGGGGGAGGGTACATGAGTAGGTTCGGGTAATAGGGGGGTGGGTACCTGGGTAGGGTTGAGTAATAGGGGGGCGAGTACCCGAGTAGGGAAGGGTAATAGGGGGTGGGTACCTGGGTAGGGTCGAGTAATAGGGGGTTGGGTACCCCAGTAGGGAAGGGTAATAGGGGGTGGGTACCTGGGTAGGGTCGAGTAATAGGGGGTTGGGTACCCAGGTAGGGAAGGGTAATAGAGGGTGGGTACCGAGGTAAGGTCGGGTAATAGGGGGTTGGGTACCCCAGTAGGGAAGGGTAATAGGGGGTGGGTACCCTGGTAGGGTCGAGTAATAGGGGGTTGGGTACCCAGGTAGGGAAGGGTAATAGAGGGGGTGGGTACCTGGGTAGGGTCGGGTAATAGGGGGTTGGGTACCCCAGTAGGGAAGGGTAATAGGGGGTGGGTACCCGGGTAGGGTCGAGTAATAGGGGGTTGGGTACCCAGGTAGGGAAGGGTAATAGAGGGTGGGTACCTGGGTAGGGTCGAGTAATAGGGGGTTGGGTACCCAGGTAGGGAAGGGTAATAGAGGGTGGGTACCGAGGTAAGGTCGGGTAATAGGGGGTTGGGTACCCCAGTAGGGAAGGGTAATAGGGGGTGGGTACCCTGGTAGGGTCGAGTAATAGGGGGTTGGGTACCCAGGTAGGGAAGGGTAATAGAGGGGGTGGGTACCTGGGTAGGGTCGGGTAATAGGGGGTTGGGTACCCCAGTAGGGAAGGGTAATAGGGGGTGGGTACCCGGGTAGGGTCGAGTAATAGGGGGTTGGGTACCCAGGTAGGGAAGGGTAATAGAGGGTGGGTACCTGGGTAGGTGCGGGTACCCCAGTGGGTTTGAGTAATAGGGGGACAGGTACCCGGGTAGGGACGAGGAGGGGGCTTGTACCTGGATATGATCGAGTAATAGGGGGCAGGTACCTGGATAGGGTCGGGTAATAGGGTTGGGTACCCTGGAAGGGTCTTGTATTAGAGGGGGGGCAGGTAATGACCATATGTACAACTGTAGGCTACAAAATGCAGAGTTGCGGTACTGCAGTAATCTCAGCATGTGTGGCAGTATATTTTGTCAGGAAACACAACAGAAATCACCAAAGAGAGGTATTTCAAGTTTGGGACAACACAGAGCTTGGAATTTGCACTTTTCTGCATCCAACTAGGTGTGACGTCATATCTTTGTGTCACAACAAGCAATGTGACGACATAATAGTTATGTGTTAGTAGAATGAAAACTTGCAAGGCTTGTGTTTGTTTTGTCATGGTACGATGGAGATAAACATGCTGCACATATGGTTCCAAATTCAATTCAGGTAGCCTGGCTCAATGTTCAGATTTTTCCTATTTGTAACATAGTTTGATACTGTAATGTGTAAGTAGAGGGTAATTACCAAACAAATAGTGATTATTTTAATTTGGTAGTTTGTTTTAATACTGCCATAAGCAATATTCCAGCTGTATCAATGTTTCTAGATAATCGAGCCTGGATTACGTAAACCAGTACTGTCGAGGTACGATGTCACATAATCAACCGAGTCACAGAGCCTGGCCACCTGATACACTTAGTCCTACTAGGGGCATAGGTTCCTTTAGACTGGAAGTTTGAAGTTTACATGATATACAGCTTTTCCACATGATCGTGAAATTGAAGTTCCTGAGTGCAAGCTCCGACGTTCTTACAGTTTGGCTTTCACTCCATGAAGGTTCATACTCCAATGAACTCACACAAAGTGAAAGTCAATTCTTAAATAAAGTACACAAATCTCAGATATATAGAGGATACGCCACTTGTGTAAATATCTCCTTTCCACCCATCACCCGATGAGAGAAACATGATATTTCACGAGACTCATGGAATATCCTATCTATTATATACTTTTTGTGTTGTTGTCTACCGGAAAAGGAAATTATTTCATTACAAATGTAAAACCTTGCAATGTAAATTATCCCTGCCTAACACACAGGGACAGGTCACCACCCCTTGTATTTGTGAATGAAAAAAAGTAGTTTCATGTTTGCCAAATCCTAAAACAATATAAACAAAAGTAACACAAAATATTTAGGGTCACCAGAATTCTGCATCACACATAAAGATATGATTTTATGCAAAATCAACTGTAACGGAAAATATTCTTGAAAACTTTGAGACAGTTGTTGGAAGCGAAAGAATACATGCTGGTTAAGTCACAAAAATTGGCGCTTTGTGAAACGAACTGTCATGATTGCGGGTTAAGTGAGAATTTTACAGTTTATAATTGCATATTTTCAAGAGAATAACAAATGGCATGAAGCGATATTAACTCCATACATGACCATCTGTCATTACTTGGCCTTGTCAATTTGGGACTAACATAAAAAGGAAGTTAACAGTTTCTGAACGGACCAGACACTTACAATAAAGGGAGACAATTTGAGGGGAGGTCACTCTTGTATGACAATAGTTCGGTCAAAGTGTCATGTTCACAGCTATGAAAATATCACTTTTCTCAACTTCAGAAAACTCAGTCTTTCACACTTAAGTGTATAATAAAAAAAAAATTCCTCATCCCCCATGTATGCATAAAAACCTCTTTTATCAATTTTGTAACCATATTTTGAATAATTTATTTTGGGTTGCACCAGTGTTATACCAAATATAACATTTGTTACATGTTGCGTTTTGTTTGTTTTCTTGTTTAAGATTATTTGAGGCATGTAATTGTTACTGAATTAAAACAGAGACTTCTCCAGTCAAAGGTTTCTGGACTGCCTCCGTGGTCAAGTGGTAGAGTATCCGCTTAGAGAGCAGAAGGTCTGGGTTCGATCCCCTGCCATGTCATACCAAAATACGTTAAAAGATGGTACTTGTTGTTACCCTGTCTGGCGCTCGGCATTAAGGGGCTAAAACAAAGACTGGTTGGCTCGGAGTCAGTATACTGTGTCTGAGTAGGGTATTCATGTTAAACTGCGGTATCTCAGTGGGCAGGCACTATAAATCGGCATCAGCCTGGACTAGTACAAGCAGCCACACACACAAATGCATATGCACGTCGCTATATAAGTGCAATAATCTTGGATGTGACATTAAACCCCATTTCACCTCTTTTGACTCACCTGATAGATTACTCAGGATTGTTGACTTGGTTGATGCATGTCATTGTATCCTAATTGCGTTGATTGATGCTCATGATGTCAATCTGTGGATTGCCAGGTCCAGGCTCAATTACTGTATTCGACGTAATAAGCCCAGGGCGCTCTCAAAATAAGAAATAGGGGGCTCTTATTAGGATATTATTTTGGTTGAAAAAACAGAGTTGAAAGATAGGTTTTCGTGGTTTATGCTGACAGACTGAAATGTTCATATGCGACAGATATATTTTTCCAAAATTTAATTCCCCGTAATAAAGTGTGCATGTAACACACGAGTGTGTATTATACGTGAATATATAAGTCTTGTGTACATTGATCAATCAGAAGGGGTGCTAATTGGGATTGTTCACTAGCCAATAAATTAGCAAATATTGCTGTGGGCGCTTATTAAAGCGGGGTGCTTATTATGTCGAATACGGTATTTACAGACTGCTGTCATATAGGTGGAATACTGCTGAGTGCAGCGTTAAACAGCAAACAAACAAACAAATCACACACACTGGATGAAACTGCTGCATTAAGTTGCGATGATTTTTATCTCACTCACAATCCTCAGTGAGTTTACAGCCTCTTTTTCAAACTAAAACACAAAAGGTTCTTTTTCAGGAATAAAACAGCACATTTCAAACCAGTTGTTGCGATGTTGTACAAGAACACCTTCCCGGGATGGGGACCAGCCCAGTTGGTATGTGAAGAATGTTTTCTGCTAGCCGAAGTCCTCGTCCACCCATGTTTGTGGAGCCTGTCAAGTCTCCTGTCCTTGTACAAGCCGACCACAAAGGAACAAGCACACCCAGGACGTGTGCTGTTCAACAAAACAATATGGACAGTGCCCTTCCTGGTGTCACACATTTGTACGTCCCCAATTGCCTTGGTCGGCGGACTTCTACGTCTGCCACTGCTTGGTATCAGAAGAAAATATACATACGTCCATAAGCCCAGCGCTGCTCAGCCTGCACCAATCCAGGAAAGCTACACCATCGCTTCAATTAATGTGTGTCTTTTCCAAGAATTTCCCAGTCGTATCAGCAATCTAGACGACCCTTATCGACGGGCAAAGCAAATTGGTGAGCGAATTATCATTGACCAAGATTTCTCCAAAGATTTCCTCCAAAGAAACGGTCCACAGAGTCCGGAATCAAGGTACAGCCTGAGATCCAGAAATCCAGAACGAGTGCCAGAAAGAGACGTAGAAGTCAGCATTGAGGCCCATTTCCCCCAGCTAGACTTCATCTGTTTCCAGGAAGTGTGGCAACGTTGTTACTCACGTCTGTTGATAGCGGAGCTGCAGAAGGTGTTCCCATACGTCATCCATGACGCCGGTCACTGGAGCCTCGGCTGCAACTACTTCATGTTCAACAGTGGTCTTCTGTTTGCAAGTCGTTATGAAATATTAGACGTAGACTTTAAACCCTTCTTGAACAGTTGCAAGTTTGAAGTGATAAATTCCAAAGGGCTGTTGATGGTGAAGGTAATCATTAGAATTAGAAGCCTTTCTTCATTAAGCAAGTTGTGTCAGCCTAATGTAGGAGGAAAGCCTGAAGTGATGCAGGTGGTGGATGTGTACCAGTTTGGTGAAATCCACGATCATGGGTATGGTGCTGACAAACCTAGACAAACAAAATCAGGGTGAATCTGGGATTCAAACCCATGATCAGAAGTTCTCGCATGCTTGAAGGCCAAGGGGAGACACAGTTGGTCAAATCCTACTAGTCCGCACCTCATTTCAGACTAGGGTTATGTAACATAACAAGACTTTGGAAGAACAAAATTAGTCCCTTCAGATTTGTAATGCTGTGCCTTAGACAGCGGGACCATGCCATACCCATGAATCACTTGAATATGTTAAATGACTTAAAACATGTCTGTGACATTGTTTATTCATGCACAATCTAATTAAAATCAGACCTTACTTCTGGCTACTGCTAAACAAAGATCTGAGGACATCCCATCAGAACGACCTTTCATCTCGACCAATCAGAGCGTCGCTTACCAGATCATGAATGTGACAGACGGAATGTGATTTCTGATGATGCAGCCTTTGAAAACGTTAAAACGGGGTATTCCGAATGATAGTTACAGGCTCAACGATTCTATACAATCTAGACCATATTTTAGCCATTCTAGAACGTTCTTTTGTTCAGGTTTCAAAATTTTGAGCGAGAATTTGTCAAAATATGTTTCGAAGCCAATTTGAAATTAGTGCCGTAAAGCACGAGAAAACTGCCTTCTGATTGGCTAATGTCGACTTCTTGTCAGTAATTCCATTGGTCGGTCAGTGTTTGCGAAAGGTCCTCAGATCTTTGTTTAGCGGCAGCGAGAACTAAGATCTGATTTTAATGAGATTGATTCATGCATAATGTGTTAGTCATGCTTTGTGTGGGGCGACGAGGCATTCGCTCGTCATGCCAAAGACCTGGGTTCGATTCCCCACATGGGTACAATGTGTGAAGCCCATTTCTGTTGGCCCACGCCGTGATATTGCTGGAATATTGCTGAAAGCGGCGTAAGACCATATACACTCATGCTTTGAGTTGCCTAGTTGAGATGAGTCGAGTCATGTTATGGTGTCTGTATGTAGAAAACTGTCTGCAGGTGCTGCTCGGCAAGACCGGTGCAGACAAGCGGGATGTAGGCTACATTTTCTGCACACACCTTCAAGCAAACCAAGGTGAGTGTCTGGAGTGTATATTCTTTCACATAGAATTTTCATAGTCATCATACTCAATCTCATTAAAATCAGATCTTAGTTCTCGCTACCGCTAAACAAAGATCTGAAGACATCCCATTAGGGGTCACGTCAGAATGACCTTTCATCCGACCAATCAGTGCGTCGCTAACCAGATTATGAAAGTGACAGTCGGAATGTGATTTCTAATCATGCAATCAAGAAAAATATGAATATGGGGTATTCCGAACAATAGTTACGGGCTTAAGGACTGAATCCTTACAATCTAGACCATCTATTAGCCATTCCAGAATGTTTTTTAGTGCAGGTTTCAAATTTGTAATCGAGAATTTGTCCAAATATATTTCGAATCGTAGTCGCCAATTTGAAATTTGTGCCGTAAAGCACGAGAAAGCTGCCTTCTGGTTGGTCATTCCATTGGTCGGTCAAAGTTCGCGCAAGGTCAATCTGACGTGACCCATAATGGGATGTCCTCAGATCATACCAGTCTCATTAACTTTGTGCTCATACTTCTCCAATAGACTCCAGGTCCTTCAACATGTATGGTGAGGTGAAATGGGGTTTAATGTCGTGTTCATGATTGCACTTACATAGCAATGTGCATGCATGTGTGTATGTGAGTGAGTGAGCATGGTTTTATGCCGCTTTTAGCAATATACCAGCAATATCACGGTGGGGGACACCAGAAATGGGCTTCATGTATTGTAGCATGTTTGTATGTGTTTGTGGCTGATATGAATTAACCGCATGTGGAGAACAGATAATAAATAGTCCCTAGATTACATTGAAAGAATAGTGGCTAGTTTCCAGGGGCCAGATCTCCAACAGATGCTTGTCATCAGTATGTCCAGATTTGTGGCAGCCTCTTATCCTGGACTGTTCCTCTGCTGTGCGCCTCATTCCATTTGTCTAGCTGACTGTCGGGTGGTGGGGCAGAAGCATTCACTAGTCACGCTGAAGACCCCGGTTGATTCCCCACATGGGTTCAATGGGTTCTTGTGTCCCTCACCATGATATTGCTGAAAATATTGCTAAAAGGGGCGTAAAACCACACTCACTCACTCAAACTCTTCTGAATCTCCTTTAATGTCAGAGGGGCGGTGGGACAGCCTAGTGGTTAAAGCATTTCCCACATGGGTACAATGTGTGAAGCCCATTTCTGGTGTACCTCGCTGTGATATTGCTGGAATATTGCAAAAAGCAGTGTTAAACCATACTTTCCCACTCCTTTAGCATCAAACATCCCTCACACAAAGGCAGAGCCAAGGATAGGGATTTTATTTCATTTCATTTTTAGGATTAGAGGGTATTTACAAGTCGAGTGACAGATGTATGAGGGGTTGTCTCCCTTGTTAAAGAAAACATTCTCAGAGACTGCAACATGAGTTGCCGAACACAACTGTCCAAGTCTAGTCACAAACAGAACTTTCTTTACAGTAGTGTATTGTTGACATAAGAGATGTGCTTGTGATTTGACTTGATTTTGTGGAAGAACGTCATTGAAATCCTTTAGGGAGCCAATTTGTCGAGTATTACGTTTCTGATTTCAAATATTGTGTTCAGGAGATGAAAAGGTGACGGACAAGCAGCTGGATGATATCTTACGATGGACAGAAGCGTTCCGGCAGGAAACAACGTCTGAACATGACAATGTCAAGTTGGACTGTATCAGTGGTGACTTCAACTTTGACAACATGTCACCATGTAGGTTCTTCATTGATTCTCCCGATGCAACAGTGTCACTAGTGTTGTACAACACTGTCCTATAATGATATATGTGGTAGAAACTTGTAGTCATTATGTAGTTGGTATCATGTTAGTGTTGTACAACACTGTCCTATAATGATGTATGTGGTAGAAACTTGTAGTCATTATGTAGTTGGTATCATGTTAGTGTTGTTATACAACACTGTCCTATAATGATATATGTGGTAGAAACTTGTAGTCATTATGTAGTTGGTATCATGTTAGTATTGTTATACAACACTGTCCTATAATGATATATGTGGTAGAAACTTGTAGTTAGTCATTATGTAGTTGGTATCATGTTAGTATTGTTATACAACACCGTAGTTGTATTCATTGTACGCCCTGATAAACATATTTGTTGTACAACCCTGTCATATATATATATATACATTATAACATTGTTGTAATTTTCATTGTTCAACCTTGTAGTATTATTCTCAATGGCTTGATTCTGTAGTATTCATGTGAGAGGAGTGAGTGTTGTTTAACCCTGCAGTCAGTATTATTCCAGCTGTAATACACTGGCCTGTAAATCATTGAAAACATAGTGATTGTTATACCCCTCATCAAGGTCAACTGTAAATTCCAGGACTACCCCCCCCCCCCCCCCCCCCAAAAAAAAAAAAGAAATTGCCAGAATATGAAAAAGCAACAAAAAACATTTCCATAATCGTAAGAAATCTCAACTGAAAGCTGACTCCATTGTCCTAAGCATGCATGTGTTTATGAGTCATTATCAAATAGTGATGTGTAACAAAGTATAGAGATATGTGGCCCTTCACCAAATATCACATAGTGCCATGTTTCTGTAGGGTGGTTAGAGTGACCTGCCCTTGATTCGTTGAACAGAACAAGTATGTTTTGGTCCTTGTGCCAACTTTTCCATGTGGCTTCCTTGAATGTTACCCAGGTGACCATGAGCTGTCCAGCCATCCGCTGTTTGACCAGTACGAGGACCCCTGCAGAGAAAGGCAGGGTCTGGACATGCCCTGGACTGTTGGTAGGTGCAACGGGTCAATAAGAGGTATTAATAGTTGACTGTGGATTTATATCTGCTTGTATCCTTCTGAAATGTGTTATCAATCCCTATGTGGTATGTATAAACTCATGTATGTAAGCTGTATGTAGTGCGGGTCGTGGACAATGGTCCCCAGCCTCTTATGGATGGTCATGCCCTGTGACCTTTCACATTGCATGCTGTCATCATACCTCAATAGTTGCTCTTAATATTCACCATGAAATGGCATGGGTGCATCATTGTTTACTGCAGCATTAAACGACCTTACTCTAACTCTTCTCTGGTCATCCTGAAGGTCCCTAGTTCCCTCAGAAGAACAAGTATAGTTACAACATATTTTAAAAACTCTGTTTGATTCCTGGGCAGAATAGGCAGTCATAAGTGAGGATTGGATGGTTGCAATGTTTTCTGTGGTTGTCAGGAGAGCTGACTAGGAAGAATTGGATGGTTACAATATGTCCAGTGGTTGTCAGGAGAGCTGATTAGTGTGGATTGGATGGTTACAATGTGTTCTGTGGTTGTCAGGAGAGCTGACTAGTGAGGATTGGATGGTTACAATATGTCCAGTGGTTGTCAGGAGAGCTGATTAGTGTGGATTGGATGGTTACAATGTGTTCTGTGGTTGTCAGGAGAGCTGACTAGTGAGGATTGGATGGTAACAATGTGTTCTGTGGTTGTCAGGAGAGCTGACTAGTGAGGATTGGATGGTTACAATGTGTGTTGTGGTTGTCAGGAGAGCTGACTAGTGAGGATTGGATTGTTACAATGTGTCCAGTGGTTGTCAGGAGAGCTGACTAGTGAGGATTGGATGGTTACAATGTGTGTTGTGGTTGTCAGGAGAGCTGACTAGTGTGGATTGGATGGTTACAATGTGTGTTGTGGTTGTCAGGATAGCTGACTTGTGAGGATTGGATGGTTACAATGTGTTCTGCGGTTGTCAGGAGAGCTGACTAGTGAGGATTGGATGGTTACAATGTGTGTTGTGGTTGTCAGGATAGCTGACTTGTGAGGATTGGATGGTTACAATGTGTTCTGTGGTTGTCAGGAGAGCTGACTAGTGAGGATTGGATGGTTACAATGTGTGTTGTGGTTGTCAGGAGAGCTGATTTTTGAGAATTGGATGGTTACAATGTGTTCTGTGGTTGTCAGGAGAGCTGACTAGTGAGGATTGGATGGTTACAATGTGTGTTGTGGTTGTCAGGAGAGCTGACTAGTGTGGATTGGATGGTTACAATGTGTTCTGTGGTTGTCAGGAGAGCTGACTAGTGAGGATTGGATGGTTACAATGTGTCCAATGGTTGTCAGAAGAGCTGTCTTGTGAGGATTGGGTGGTAACGATGTGTCCTTTGGGATTCAGTTACTGTGGCGAGAATGTTGTTCATGCTGTCAACCACTGGTTTGCCTGGCCCAAGTCGTTGATTGACATGTCACTGTCGTATAACCAGAACATTTCTGACAGCTGTGTAAAACATCATCTCATCTGTCAACATTGTTTGAGGTCACAGGCTGATTGAATTTGATGAATAACATGTTGAATGATATATGTCTGAACACCTAACAGATATAGGAGGACATGGTTGATACCCAATGATGACTCCATTCTTACTGGGCGGTGGGGTAACCTGGTGGTTAAAGTGTTGGCTAGTCATGCAGATGTTTGGGTTTCAATTCCCCACATTGGTACAATTTGTGAAGCCTATTTCTGGTATCCCCCGATATTAATATTGCTGGAATATGGCGAAAAGTTGTGTGAAAACATGCCCATTCACTCACGCGCTCCCTGTTTTTAGGAACATTGCTCCAGCACAACCGACTGTGGGACCAGGAAGTGTCAACTCCGGAGGGCCTGTGTTCAGTACTGAAGGATCCACTCCAGCGGCAACGCTACATGGTGGACGCGGACCTCCAGACCAGCACACCTGACTCCACTGACAATGCCGCATGTAAATTTGATCACCATGGCAACGTCATTCCATCACCTCTCGGAGGAAAGCGAAGAGTGGATTATATAATTCACCGTAAAAATGTTTCTGTAAGTTGGATCATGATGAAGTGTAGAACTTGCCTCCATTCATTTCATAGGCAGCTAAATAAGGCCTATCTTACTAAAAATATTTGTGATCCTGTCATCAATATATTTGTCAGTAATCTGACATCTGCCTGCCTATTTGACCATCCATCCATCATAATTGTTTGAATAAGTGTTTTTTATGTTGTTATGTCCAACATGTGTTCCTGCTTTTCGTGGTATCAGAACTTCTATTACCTGTTTTGGCATTGTCTTGTTTACCATGTGTACTCTCTCAACAACAAGGGGGTCATGGGTGGCCCAGTCGTCTAGGGCGCTGCAATTCGCTGTGCAGAGTTGTGTCCCTTGGGCATGCCAGAAACCTATGATTGTGTGTTTGAATCCCGCTTCACCCCAATTATGTTTCTAGGTTTGTCAGCACCATACCTGTGCTCGTGGGTTTCACCGAAGTGGTAAACGTCTGAGACCTGCATCACTTCAGGCTTTCCTCCCACATTAAGCTGACACACTGCATATAACTGGAATACTGTTAAAAGCGGCGTTAAACCCAACTCACTCACTCTCAACAATGACATTATATTCTATGTTTTGCTGTTATTCCATATTTATTTTCACCACTATCTTTTTCCAGAGAGCATCGAAGTTCAAATTTGTAAGCAGGTTGGCCACCTTGACTGACCATATACAAGTAGCTCTGACCTTGGAAACTTGACCTTGGAAACTTGACCTTGGAAACTTGTCCATTGACTGCCCTCACTTTGCTGGCATAGATATGTGTAGCGGTCCATGTCTGCAGTGTGATTGATTCTTGTTGATGTCACAATGGTGTTTAGTCTTTGTTGAATTTCTGATATTCCTCAGTCCAGTGAGATGACATCATTGCTGGGTTCTGCCACAGTGAAAGATTCCACCACACAAAGCACATACACACTGACACTAAATAATGGGTCAATAATGAGCCAAGAGGACTGGGATAGTAAGGGATGCAACTACGCACACCTAATTGAGTTGCTTCCGTCCATTGGGCCATGCTTGCCTCCCATCCAAGACTCTTTAAATATGCATGTCCACAATGGCCTTTAGAATAGTTAGGATAGGATCATTGCTGGGTTCAGATAATTTCAGCTTCATTAAGTGGAAATGAAAACATCCTATCCCAAAGACCACGGTTGGCATGCAGGTCATTCGAGGCTCAAACATAAAAATGGCACACAAAATGTCTGGTTCAAGGTACACAAGTGATACATTTTTGTTTGTTTATTTGTTGTTTAACGCTGCACTCGGCAATATTCAAGCTATATCATGGCGGTCTGTAAATAATTTAGTCTGGACCAGAATATCCAGTGATTGACATCTTGAACATCAACGCAATTTGGATCGATGACATGCATCAACCAAGTCGCAAGTCTGACCACCCGATCCCGTTAGTCGTTAGTCGCCTCTTAAGACAAGCATAGTCACCTTTTACGGTAAGCATGGGTTGCTGAAGACTTGTTCTACCCTGGATCTTCGCGGGTCCAGTTATACATGAATACACACGTCAATGGGCCAAAGGGTACATTCTAAACAGCCGTTACCATTCAAATAAAGCAAAGGTATCTGCTGGAAATACAAACGGAAACTGAATAAGTGGCTTCAAGGGAAAATTCAAAAACTCGTTTTCACTCGTTATTCCCGCCAGTGAAGAATCAGCCTCGGTTATCCAGTGAAACAGATTCCAACGGGCGTGACAGGAAAACCAGCAGTGAAATTGAATAAATGGGTCACTGAAAAGACTAAGCCTTGCACATATACTTGGGGAACATATACACAAGTTAAAACGAGGTACAATATGTCGATTTCAAAATTATTGCATTTCTTATTTTGAAGCCTCACGCTTCCAGAAACGTGACTTTTTGTAGATGAGACTATTGACATGAAGACATGCTGAGGTGGCCCGAGGAATGTTACAGCGAAGTCAGAAACGTGATTTTTGGCATTCATAAACGTTCCTTTTGACCAGACTCATCACATTGCCCATCCAGAAACATGACAATAACATGCCCCTTGTAACGTGTTGGTTTCGCGCATATGCAGTCATCGTTGTCGCCTTTTTTTTCCGTGCAAAAGATATATTTCACAATACATATTTACACTCTTGTATTTCTTAACATTGTCAACATTACAACTGAGATTTGTTGGTGCCCTAAAACATGTCGTTGTCATTGCATTTGATGACTGTGATCACGCTTTGTCATTGTCCGAGAGAGCAAAATGGCGCACATGTAAAATTTGCAAAAGTGCAGATTGTGATTTTCAATAACGGCGACGAATTCGCAATGAAAGTCCTTAGTTACCGTGGTGTATAAAAAGGAGATATGTTAAAATTAGTTTAGTGCCATTAACAAATTTAGGGCGGTTGCTAAATTTCTGATTTTGACTCCAGAAATGCGACTAAATCTGATTTTTTCCGAAATAATTACACCACAACTCTTAATTTTCAGATGCTTTCAGACGAATGTGTTCCTATTATCGGGTCTGACATAAATATATTTACATTCATCACAATTTCCCCTTTTGCAAAGTTATTTTGGTACGATCGGTAGTTATGTTTGTTTGATTTTTGGCGCAAACCCATATTTACGTCATATATTGCCATGTAGCAGACGTCATAACATGCATTTTGTCTGTGATTATCGTCCGAATATATCTTTTGAAACATTCTACAAATTGTCTTATTTTTTATGATGTTAGAATTATTTTTGTAAGATCTGTATTTTTTAACATTGTTTTCGCCATTTCTTCGTCAGTTGAGCTTCTAACACATATTGCGCTCGAGAAAACTACATATATTGACGATGTTTTATATGTGTTATCTTCTGTTGATTTTGTATTTATTAATCATGACTACATTTAATTTTTTATTTATTTCATGCCGTGTAAATATTAATTTTGAGCTATATGATCTGGGCCTAAACACATTCATAATAATGTTTGTTTGTTGTTTAACGCCGCACTCAGCAATATTCCAGCTTTATGACGGCGGTCTGTAAATAATCGAGCCTGGACCAGAAAATCCAGTGATTGATATCATGAACATCGATCCACGCAATTGGGATCGATAACATGCATCAACCAAGTTAGCGAGCCTGACCACCCGATCCCGTTAATCGCCTCTTACGACAAGCATAGTTGCCTTTTACGACAAGAATGCATAATAATGTAAATATGATGAAGGTACTACTTACTTTGTGTATTTACATAACATCGAAAACATCATACAAACATAAAAATCCGTTATATAAAATATTTGTATTATGAAATTATCATTTGCTTTGTAAATGCCAAAAAAGAAGAAGGATTATATCAGCAGTCGTCGGGGGAGAAGTTAGAGACAACTAGGTCGAAGGTGTCATTCATCAAAATAAATAGATGGTCTATTGTCCTTTTCTGTGATAAATACATCTACATATGTTAGAGTTTGTGATGTTTTGTTTTAATAGCAATAGTTGCATGCCTCGTTCCAGATTAGAGTTTACAGTTTGTTTTTCATTGATCAGATATCAATAGAAAACCCATCTTCCCGAGGCAAGAGAGTTAACTGACTATAAAAGCCCAGTTACTACAAACGTTATTACAGTTTACGATATACCAGTATGTATCTTGTACCATGCTTGTTGAAGCTAAACTGTTATACCTGAAATACCTAATTATTTGTATGCTGAAATATCAAACTATATTATTAATATTAATATTAAATAACAATTGTTAAATTACAATCGTCCTCTCTTCGTCGGAATTTAACAGTAGCCGCCCTTTGAAAAAACATATATCGCTCCGGCAAACCCTATTATCACTGCTAGCCCCAAACTGGCATTAACCAATAACATTTGATTACTTGTCGGACACATCGAAAAATCATGTAACAACGCTTTAATGTGTATTTTTAATTCATTGGAACTATTAGCATTATAAAATAGTCGCGAATTTACATGAAATAAAGACATTAATATGGCGTCATTTTATTCTGACTAATAGTAAAGCATTTACACCAGCATTTTTGCAAGTAAATCTAACCTGGGTTTATTTATTATATGATATGAAGATAATTTGGAGATATATTTTGTGAACATCGGGAATATGGTGATCTGTTACAAGTGTCTTCTATAAACGTCTGGATGAGTTTTATTTACACTTCCTGAGTTCCTGTGCAATTTACCGGATCGTAGTTTTCTGTGGCGTTCTTAGTAGATTTGGTATATTTGTTTATTTATAATAGTTATACAATTGTAGCATAAAATTAGATGTATTAACTTATTTTTAAAACAAATAGAATAAGTAATAAAATACTTTTGATATCGGATCGGCCTTTTCTTCACACGCCCTCGACAACCTACGCTCGTAAACAGCCCTCATATTTTCATTTCCTATCTTTTTTCTTTGAGTGAAACTTTTTGGAAGTATTACCGATGGCTTGGTAGCGGTAACATCAGTGTCATTCTATTCAGACCAAGAGTCATCCGAAACCAACCCCTGGTCGTAGAGTGGGAAATTTTCAAGTGTTATTTCTAGGTCCAAGACGAAATCGTCCCAGTCGTACATGGTTGTGACGAATTTAAATTGAAATAAATGTCGCGGAAGACACATGTTCAGCAAATAATTTGCAGCCAACTGACATGTGTTAATGAGAGATATGATAAAACATCATTATATGGTCTCTGATTTTACCAAAGACGTATTATAACAATAATATATATATTATGTCTTGCATCTAAAAATATACCCAAGATAGTTAAGTGTTCAATCATACTATATACTACCGCATATCCCGATGTGCTTTAAATTGCATCCGAAATTATATAATATATGGGGAAATATACGTGAATTATGACGCACCGAGTTGACAATTCTTTTAGATACGTCCCTATGCGGTTAGAGACCCGTGAAGATTCCAGGGTAGAATAGGTCTTCAGCAACCCATTCTTGCCGTAAAAGGTGACTATGCTTGTCGTAAAAGGCGACTAACGGGATCGGGTGGTCAGGCTCGCTGACTTGGTTGATGCATGTCATCGATCCCAATTGCGTGGATCGATGCTCATGATATTAATCACTGGATTGTCTGGTCCAGACTCGATTATTTACAGACCGCCGTCATATAGCTGTAATATTGCTGAGTGCGGCGTTAAACAACAAACCAACCAACCAACTATGCGGTTAGACGGAACCCGGTGGCAACCCGGGCACGAGTCGCTTTTCGGCTTGTCCCGGAATAAGACGAGTTGGTCACAAGCGTTAAGCAACCGCACACCTTTGCGCGGCCTTCCTTCAATCAATCAGCGTTCACAGAACGTTCAACCTTCGTGCAACTTACAGCGTTCACGCACCCTGCTACTTTCACGACAACCACAATTCGTTACGCAAGGTACTGTACCAACACGGCTACTGATACAGATTTAGTAGTTAATGTTACAGAACAAGTATTAATGGCCAATGCAACAACAAAGGTTTAACAACCTATGCCGACTTCACACAATACGAGGTTTATAAACCTCCGGTGACGTCATCCTATTGTTCTCCAGTCGGGTTAAATCTCATAAACAGGGACGTTGTAATATCCCTGGGATTTTATAGGATATTCAAGTCATATTTGCTATATAATGTGTTATAATATCCAAGGGATTTTATATAATGTCCTGGGTATTTTATTAATATAACTTCCGTTCAGATTGTAACATGTAATGAAATGTAAAATCAAATGACAAAAGTTTTCTTTAAATTCCCGAGGATCGAACTCGCAACCCTCATATCTGTAGCCTAGTGAGTGTACTACAAGGCTACAGAGGTGTTGATAGGCTGCACTGCTTTTAAGAATGTCCTTTTCAAGATCCGTACGCCAGCAACAGATATTTTACGCCCCTTTCCTAAGGTTCATGGAAAGTATGTTCGAAACATAAAAATGTTGATAAATGTTGTTTTAAGGTTCAAAATCGGTTTATAAGTAAGAGAAAACACTCTAAGTATAGGATAAAACACTTCCCCTCGGGTTGTTATGATATTTAAAACCTTTTCCCTCGAAAAATTTAATCCCTCGGGATGCGGGTTTTAAATATCATAACAACCCTCGGACGTGTTTTATCCTATACTTAGAGGATACATCTCAAGATATTTATCCCTCAATATGAGGATTATTAAGTAATTACGTGGATTACGAACATACTGCCGACATTATCGCCATCAAGGGATTTTTCTCCCATATACGGTCTCTGGTACCATACATCATTTAAATGACACGTAAAACCTACTTTGAAAATAGTTAGTGCGAGTTATAGGTGGCGTTATGCTATTCGAATGGGTTCGACAGTAGCAACACGGCTATTGTAGCATTAACAGAAACTCTACTTGAAATATCAAGTGTTTTACATGGAAATATACTACAGAATAATACTCCAAAATGTACTATGATCAATTATGGATATCAAGAAATTGCACATGAATTATAATAAATGTATTTTGAGTGAAAAGCATTTCATTGTAACATTACAGTACAATTGAAGCGCCCTGCAAATCACTAAACAAGACAATCAGAGTTGTCTCCCATACCCCTGGGACTGATTCCATTAAAATGACTATGGAAAGTTAACTTGATATACCTAATGATAGAGAGGGGAAACCTAACAACATGTGTACAACAACCAGGGAGGTAGTTCATATTTAGTACTATTGTCATACAAGAGTTACTTCCCCTTTAATTGTCTCCCTTTGTTGTAAGTGACAAGCCCGCAAGTGTTGACGTCCTTTTCACGTTAGTTCCACATTGACAAGACAAAATAATGACAGATGGTCGTTTATGCAGTTAATATCACTTTTTGCCATTTGTTATTCTCTCGAAATTGTTTCGTTGTAAACTGTTAATTTCTCATTGAACTCGTCAATCGAGAGTGTTCGTTTCGCAAAGCGCCATTTTCGTTACTTGACCAGCTTGATTCTTTCGCTTCCAACAGCGGTCTCCTAGTTTTCAAGAATATTTTTTTGTTTAAGTTGATTTTGTATATAATCATATCGAAATGTATGACAAAGAATTTTCGTGACCCTAAATATTTTGTTGATACTTTTGTTTACATTTTTAAGATTTTGCAAACACGAAACTACTTTTTTACTCGCAAATACAAGGGGTAGTGAACCGTGCCTGTGTATTAGGTAGGGAGAATTAACGTTTCAAGGTTTTACATTTGTAATGAAATAATTTAATTTTCCGGGTGTAAACTACACAAAAAGTATATAATAAAAAGGATATCAATATTTCTTCATCAAACTTGGCACATAGTTTGGTCTAGTGGTAAACTGGTATGTTTTGATGAACACACAATTTTAGCAACAAAAACGCATAGGATGAGATGACTAGAATGCGGAATGAAAGATTGCTCACCTGGAAACGCCCTCGAACAGTCATGGTGATGGACTCAAGGTGGCTCAATTGATTGTTCGATCACTCAGTGCTCATTTTGAAGATGTGAAGAATGAAAGGTTTGTCGGTGTGGTTCGTGTTTTTTTGTTTTCACAGAAACTCACATTAATGGTTACTGTGAAAGAGACTTCCAATAATATCCCACATTAAGCTGACACGCCGTGATATAACTGGAATACTGTTAAAAGCGGCGTTAAACCGAACTCACTCACTCACTTACTGATTTCATGCAGGAACTTCAGGATCTCTCCGAGCACCACTTCCTAGTAACAGAACGTTTCAACTGTGATCTGGGTGAAAAACTGAAATTTAAGATTTCCTTGATGTGCAGAAAATGACTCAACTCATTTACTCTCCAACTCACTGTCTGGGTGCTACACTGGACTTGTTGTTTACTGATCATGCCAGTGCTGTGGCATTCCAGTCATCAGTCTACTACTCAGATCATCAGATGATTGGTGAACATAGTTCACAGTGGCTAATGGCTGCACACAACTGGACATGTCATACTGGCGGGGGATATGAGTGTTTCATGCTTGTTTGTTATTACACCGCACAATCAGAACATTTCATTTAGGATCAGAAACGTGGCCTTCATTCAGAAACAGTACACTGCCCAGAGATGTGGTCAGCTAAGTACTTTTCAAAGCAACGTGAACCCAACTCAAAGCATGTTATTTTTGGCAGTAACAATACACATTACAGTAAACTACGGTTATAACGAACACGCTTATAACGAACTGACGGTTAAAACGAACTTACTTTTTTGGTCCCGACTATTTGCTGTAGTTATGCTGTATATATGCTTATAACGAACTACGGTTATAACGAACTAAAATTAGTAGTCCTTGTGAGTTCGTTATGACCGTACTTCACTGTACTATGCTCAGTCAGCAACGCTAGAGAAAGTTTGCGCTGAGTTGGTGAAAGACTAAGAGAGATGGAAATAGTGACATTACTTCTGACACAAAGGTTTGATGGAAATATACATTATTGTGGATTCTTAATCAGTATGACACCCATGTGAGTGGAATCATTTCTTTATTACGCATTATTTCTTAATCCTTTTGAGCTCCCCTTGAGAAAAATGCACTGATCACCACCGCAGTCCTAGAAAACCACAATTTGTCGAATGACGTCAACAATCCTCAGCTTTGACGTCGTTTCCAGTGTTACGTCAACAATGCCGTTCGGATGATGGAAATAGTGCACTGGTGAGTGAGAAGTGATATTTGCAGAAGTGAACATACGGTTTTTATGAACTAACCCTTTGGGTAATAAAAATGTGATATAATATTAGTGTTTATGTCATACAATGTTTACGACACAAGTGTCTAAATTCCGGTACACTCGGGACAGATAATCCGCCATTCCTCGTAAATTATTGTCTATATAGTGTAGCAAATGTTATATTTGGGATAACACTTTCTGAGTAAAGTTCAGATTCTCGTACTAAAGTCCCGTCCGGGATTCGAACCCACACTGACAGGGTGAGGCACCTAATCGCCAGCACACAAAGTCAGCGATCTAACCCACTCAGCCACCGAGGCTTCCACATGTTGAAAGTCCGACAACTGGTAGTCTAGATCAGGTACTTTATGTACCCCTCTAGTCCTGCACCATGACCGTGGAATATATTTATTTTATGAAAAAAAACATAATCTAGAAATGCATAGAAGCAAGTCTAGCCAGCTCAAGCTAGCTCTATTCCTCTGAAATCAGCATAGGGAATTTTTAAAAATTTTTTAGAGTCAAGAAGGATATTGTGTAATATAAGATTTCAGAGACTAAATGTTAGTCTAGTACCCCTCTGACAAGTGTAATTTGGCACGGCTCCCACAGCCGAAAGCTATGAATACAATGCCATTTAGAAAGTGGTCAAATGTAATAAATGTTATATTTGGGATAATTAACACTTTTTGAGTAAAGTAAATATTCTCGTACTTTTTTGGGTTGAGTTCCGTCCGGGATTCGAACCCACACTGCCAGAGTGAGGCACGTAATCGCCTCAGCGATCAGGTTATTTGTTTTCACATGGAACAATTTGACCAGTCACCGTAGCACGTGATCGCGAGAACTACATGTTGACATAGAATCGTCAAACTACAACAAATATGACATTTAACGAGTCGATGCATGTCATTTATGATATATATGTATCCATTCTATGTCAACTAAAGTTCGTTTCAAGGCGTCAGTAGCGATAATCTGACCGTGGTTGCTGTTAATAACGGTGAGTTGTGCGATCCGATTGTTTCACACACAGGGCCACGGATAGCCATACTATACCATACTGACTGTACTGATTACATTACAAATTTTTTAATGTAATCAGTACAGTCAATATAGTATGGCTATCCGTGGCCCTGTGGTTTCACACACGATTTCGCCGAAATTAATTAAAACAATATTAAAAGGAATTTTGAATGAAATTAATGAAATAAGATACAAACATAAGTCCAGATATACAAAGGACTCTTTTTATAACCAGACAGTGTAATTACATGATTAATTTTCTGTGGTAACTTCTGTGGTTAACTAAAGCCTTGTTTGTTGACACGGTATTTCTGGTGTCACGTGCTCGCGGTAATGTCTTTGCGTTGGGGAAAAAAACATCAAAACTCATTATGGCGTGTAGATCTATAATGCGGTAGATCTACCTGTAATTAAGTGTTTTTCTTATTTTCCTGACTTTCCTCCACATGCCAAGATCCGGCAAGCCAAACAAAAATGTAAACATGTTTCATGTTTGATAATCAAAACTGTTAAATTATAAGTTACAACAAAATATATATTCCAAATAAGCATATTTTTAACAATGTGAAATATGCATGAGAGGAAACAGAGAAAGACATATGATTCCTGGAGTACACAAATCATAAAGATAACATTCAACCTTTGATCGATGTCGAGTGTGTGAATACTAGGCCTAAATACTGATCACTGCAGAAACACTGACAGGAAGTTAACTTGACCTGACAGCACTCCCCTCAACTCAGGTACGTGAAGTGGTCTCATTGTTGTACATTGTCACACATTTAGCCATGGTAAAGACAATAACACAGAATAGTGATCTGAAATCATGGATGGTGTTATGTTATAAACCTGTGCTATCTCCAGGCTGCTTTGGTCATGGGGACATATAGCTGTCATATCGCCGACATGGGCAATAATGCTATTCCTTTAAGACCAATATTCCTGTGAAAATCACAGAAAGTATGTGAAAATAGTAATCTAATATCCTGCCTTAGCTCTTTTACCCATAACTCTGTCCTAATAGCAGGTTCTACATTGACATGAACCTTAAATCTATAGAGGGGGCACGGGTGGCCCAGTTGTCTAAGGCGCCGCGATTCGCTGTGCAAAGTTGCGTCCCTTGGGCACTCAAGAAACCTATGATTGTGGGTTCGAATCGCGTTTCACCCCGATTATGTTTCTAGGTTTGTCAGCACCATACCCATGCTCGTGGGTTTCACTGAAGTGGTTAAACGTCTGAGACCTGCATCACTTCGGCCTTTCCTCCCACATTAAGCTGACACGCCGCGATATAACTGGAAAACTGTTAAAAGCGGCGTTAAACCCAACTTACTCACTCACTTAAATCTATAGAGGAAACAGCGTAATGACATGTAGACTCTTCGTGTGAGACTAATAACTCAGAGAGAGAGAGAGAGATCAACTTAGACTTGCCCAAGTCTCTAAGGCAATATATTTATTAGTTTTAAATCATAATTTCTTGATTATATATATAATAATAACAAGTTGTCCCTATAAGAGATTGGCGTTGCCAGGAGGTGGAAGGGGGGAATACAGCTGGCCATGTCCGATTCTGAAAATACAGACGGTGAAACTCAGGATTTCACAACACACACAAGGTTGTACTGTTCACATATCTAGACTTGCCTATTATAAGAATAGAATTACTATACACCAATGGACTCACCATTCAGTATGGCCTTGTAGCAAGGCTATCTGTTCCATTTACAGCCAGTGCCTGTCACAGTCATTGAGCAGTGTATGCTTGCCAGTAGAGGCGACTAACGGGATCAGGTGGACAAGCTCACTTACTTGGTTGATGCAGGTCATGTTTGAGCAGATTTTTCAAGGGATTACAGTAGGTTTGTGATATAGACTTAGTTCCTCTGGCCAGTCACTTGATGTGTTTGTTTATAGTTGTATGATACTGCCTGGGGTCAAGCTAACTGCACAGCACTGGCCTACTGGCAGTTTCATTATAGAACAAGGCACTTCTGGATAGTAATATTTTCAGTGCATTGCACTGGAGTAAGTATATCCTTCTAATAACTGTCTATGGGTCAAATGGGTTTCCTTCTTCCTGTTATAACCTGCTGTGGTGGGGTAGACTTGCACAAGTCTGTAAGGAAATAATTATTGGTTTAAATCATTATTCCTAGATTATATATATATTAAGAATAAGTTGTCCCTATAATTGACTGGCGTACTGTCAGCTTATCTAGACTTGCCTATTATTAGGATAAAATTATACATCTTTGAACTCATAATTCTGTACAGCCTTAGAGCAAGGCTAGTTGTGGACTAGTGTTAGGGGAGAAGTTCTTTAGGTGATTTGGTTATTAGGTGTTTGGATCTAGGAATTTCTTAGCATTTGAAGGACTGGCTGACTTTCGATTTTAGCACTGTTATGGCATTGGTTTGTCATCACAAAGAGTTCCATTCACCACATGGGTCCGATGTCCTGTTGTGTTCTCAGCTGTTATATGGATTATAGCTGGGACGAGTCCGAGATTATTAACCGGGTACCCAAACCCCTATTACTCTACTCTACCCTACTTGAATACCCGCTGTAGCGTTCAAGAGACTGGTACAAAATGTCAATTGGGAATAGTTGGACCATAGCCCTGGTAAAATGTTTTTAGATCCATGAATAAAACGATCTGGTCATGCATACACTAAAGTTGACTGAAGTTTATTCAAAGATATTAAGGTAAGAAGGAATGGGTGTATAGTCAGAAAGAAATGCAAACATTAGTGACTTGTAGTGTAACCATGGAGTTCTAGATAGTTTTAATCATGAAACAATGTATCATGTGACTAACCACGGTCCGGGTCCTACTCAGTACCTGCCCGACCTGAGTACCAGTGTTACCCACCTCAGCCCAAATATGGTCTTAATAATTGGATGGAATATTCCAAAACACATTCAGATACTCTGGACGCCTGTGAAGATCCTGGTTAGAATTGGTCTTCAGCTACCCCTGTTGTAGTGGGCAACTAACAGGATCGGTTGGTCAGGTGTCCTGACTTGTTTGATGCAATTGCAAAGATTTATGCTCATGATGTCAATCACTGATTGTCTGCTCTAGACTTGATTATTACAGACCTCTATCATATAGCTGGACTATTGCTGAGTGCAGCGTTAAACAACACGCAACCAAATCATACAGAGCAAACTTAAATACTGATGCAGCAAGTTGTGATGATTTTCATCTCACCCACTATTAGAGATAAGAAGAGTTCAGACTTCATGATCCCAAGAGAAATTCACATTGCACAGTTGGTTAGCACTAAAATATAAAAAAAATGTATATGATATTCAAATATGTACATAAGAATATAAGACACTTATTCATATAACCACGAGTAAAAAATTAAACACTAGAACACTCCCCAGTGAGGGCAGCCACTTTTCAAACTAAAACACAAATGGTTCTTTTTCAGGAATAAGACAGCACATTTCAAACCAGTTGTTGCGATGTTGTACAAGAACACCTTCCCGGGATGGGGACCAGCCCAGTTGGTATGTGAAGTATTATTCCTGATAGCCGAAGTCCTCGTCCACCCCTGTTTGTGGAGCCTGTCCTGTCTGTTGTCCTTGTACATGCCGATCACAAAGGAACAAGCACACCCAGGACGTGTGCTGTTCAACAAAACAATATGGACTGTTCCATTTCTGGTGTGGCACATTTGCATGTACCCCATTGCCTTTGTCGGCGGAATTCTACGTCTGCTGCTGCTTGGTATCAGAAGAAAATATATATACGTCCATAAGCCCAACACTGCTCAGCCTGTACCAATACAGAGAAACTACAGCATCGCTTCAATTAATGTGTGTCTTTTCCAAGAATTCCCCAGTCGTATCAATAATCTGGATGATCCTTATCGACGGGCAAAGCAAATTGGTGAGCGAATTATCATTGACCAATATTTCTACAAAGATTTCCAACAAAGAAACGGTCCACAGAGTCCGGAATCAAGGTACAGCCTGAGATCCAGAAATCACATCATTCAGGAAGGAGTGCCAGAAAGAAGAGACGTTCAAGCCAGCGTTGAGGCCCACTTCCCCCAGCTAGACTTCATCTGTTTCCAGGAAGTGTGGCAACGTTGTTACTCACGTCTGTTGATAGCGGAGCTGCAGAAGGTGTTCCCATACGTCATCCATGACGCCGGTCACTGGAGCCTAGGCTGCAACTACTTCATGTTCAACAGTGGTCTTCTGTTTGCAAGTCGATATGAAATATTAGACGTAGACTTTAAACCTTTCTTGAACAGTTGCAAGTTTTGTGTGATAAATTCCAAAGGGCTGTTGATGGTGAAGGTAAGAATAAGAATTAGAAGTCTATTTTTCAGGACCCAGTAAGTGAGTTGTGACAGCCCGATGTGGGAGGAAAGCCCAAAGTGATGCAGGATTTTCCCACTTTGATGAAATCCACGATCATGGGTATGGTCACACAATGCCACTTAGAAAATGGTCAGATGTAACAAATTTTACTTTTAGGATAACACCTTCTTAATAAAGTTCAGTTTCTAGTACTTACTTGGGTGGAATCCCATTCAGGATTCGAACCCACACTGCCAGTGTGAGGCACCCAACTTACGTGATCTAAACTACCAGTTGTCAGACTTTCATTTTTGTGGAAGCCTCAGTGGCTGAGTGGGTTAGATCGCTGACTTTGTGTGCTGGCGATTAGGTTCCACTCTCTGGCAGTGTGGGTTTGAATCCAGGATGGAACTCAACCCCCAAAAGTAGTAGAATCTGTACTTTATTGAGAAAGTGTTATCCCAAATATAACATTTATTACATGGGTATGGTGCTGACAAACCTAGATACATAATCAGGGTGATTCTTGGATTCAAACCCATGATCTTAGCTTCTCACATGCCTAAAGGCCAAGGGTAGACAAGAGTGGTTACGTAAAATAACTAAATTTTAGTAGAAAACAAGAATTCCCTATTCACTAATCTCTGACTAACAGTGTATTGATGTGCCTTGGACAGTTGGGCCACAATGCCACCACTATGAATCACAGGATGTAACATAATTTGCACATGTTAAATACTGTTCAGAAATGTCTGTGACATGGTTTATTCATGCATCATGTGTAGTCATGCTTTGTTGGGGCGGTGGGGTAGCCTAGTAGTTACAGCGTTCGCCCGTCATGCTGAAGATGCAGGTTCGATACCCCACATGGGTACATTGTGTGAAGCCCATTTCTGGTGTCCCCCGCCTTGATATTGCTGGACTATTGCTAAAAGCGGCGTAAAACCATTTATCATATAATGGGTAGGTTTCTCGGCAGGATAAAGCCAACGGATAAAAACGATATCCGTTGGGGTCATATGCGGATAGAGATGCAAATATCAAAGGTCAAGTAAGGACTACTTTCAGTGTTTATTAACAAAATATGGCGTTGCCCTTGTCATTCGGCAATCGAGTCAGAATTAACCATCGGGAATCTGGATAAACTACAGGGATAATTGCTATCATTATCAAAAGAACAGTTTAATATACTGAAAATCAGTGTCTAACTGTGACGTAGCTAAGGCATTTTATAAGTTTGGGCAACTTTGGAGATATAAATTTCAAAACAATTTTGCGAGGACACTAGGCCTAGCCAAGTGGGATCAGGAGCCATATCTATGCTTGTAGACCTCTGTGGCTTGAAACCTTTTCCACAAATTAAAATAGAAACTGTTGGATTTGGCCGAAATATGTTTGAATTGTTACCTTGTATCGTTTTGTCGCTGTGACTGCACTTCTTAACGTCATGACAGGATAGGCCGACTTGTATAAGAAACAGATTTCAGTTGGAACTATATTGGCTACTGTCACTGTCCAACTGACACATCACTTACCCTGTGACGTAATAAATATTAATGAGCGCATTCCAGGAAAACTCGCAATGTTTAGGTAATGTTTGTGAAAGAGGGAAAGCGATTTTCAAGCACAGAATTAAAGGATGACATTATATGATAAAGAGGTTATCATGCTTGTGTGTTTGGGGATGGTAAATATCGTGTATTAGGACTAAACACTATGTATTTAGCTTGCCAAGGCTTGCTAAATACAATGTTTATTCCTAATGCAGGATATTTACCATCCCCAAACACACTCGCGTGATAACCTCTGTACACACTTACTCATGCTTTGTGAAAGTAATCATGTTGAGTTGCCTAGTTGAGATGAGTCGAGTCATGTTATGGTGTCTGTATGTAGAAAACTGTCTGCAGGTGCTGCTCGGCAAGACAGGTGCACACAAACGGGATGTAGGCTACATGTTCTGCACACATCTACAGGCGTACCAAGGTGAGGCAAGCTAGAGTGTGTCTGTAGGGAGTAGAACTCCCCAGGCCCAGCTTCACAAAGAGATATTAGCACTGTGGTTATCAGGGGGTGTCACAATAAATCGAAATATTGCTATTGGTAAGCACTTAAAGTCAATAAATCAATTGTTAAATCAGTTTATCATCCAAACTGGAGATATCGCTTTGGTGATGCTATTGTGATGTCATTGGTTACCATGACGTCACAATCAAATGACATCACTAATGGCCCTGCTACTGAAGCTGTTAGCAGTATTTTTTTACACTTAAGATACTGCTTATGTGTACAAACTGAAAAAGTTGAAGGAATGATGTTGGATGATAGAGAATCTCACACGAGTTTCTTTTGATATCAAAGGACACTTTGGTGAGATTTTATTTATTTCAGATCAATAGTATTGATTTCAGTTAGGAATATCGATAGTTTCAATTGTATTTACCATATCATGCGATTGAGTCACCGAAACACGCTCGCAAATGCAGCAGAGTGAGGATTAGAATTAACTGCCCTTGATGCTTAGCAACCGGTCTTTCTTAAAGTAAAATGGCAGAGAGTGACAGTAAAGTGGAGTTTGTGACAAACTTGGCTGGAAAATCGAGTGTTTGGAAGTCTTACGGTTATCACATTCTAAGGAAACTTCATTTCCAAAGTTGAATTCATCTCTAAAATCAATCTAAAATGATACACTGAAAACTAACGATTTTTATCACAATAGTTGCTTGGAATATCAATAGTTATTGCAATAGTTTCTTTCAATATCAATATTTATCGCAATAGTGATTTCCAGACCAATAGTCGCCCCTAGTGGCTATATTGGCTTCTATTCATCCACAGGGGTGGTCGGGTAGCCTAGTGGTTAAAGTGTTTGCTCATCACGCTGAAGCCACATGGGCAAAATGTGTGAAGCTCATTTCCGGTGTAACCCGAGGTAATATTGCTGGAATTTTGCTTCTGTCTGGTGGTGGGGTAGAAGCATTCACTCGTCACGCTGAAGACCCAGGTTGATCTCCCACATGGGTTCAATGGGTTCTTGTGTCCCTAACCATGATATTGCTGAAAATAGGCATAAAACCACACTCACTCACTCACACACTTATCTGAATCTCCTTTTATGTCAGAGGGGTGGTGGGGTAGCCTGGTGGTTAAAGCATATGCTCGTCATGACGAAGACCAGGGTTCGAATTCCCACATGGGTACAATGTGTGAAGCTCATTTCTGGTGTACCCTGCCGTGATATTGCTGGAATATTGCAAAAAGCTGCGTATAACCATACTCACTCACTCACTCACTCACTCACTCACTCACTCACTCACTCACTCACTCACAGGCATAGGCAAAGATGGGTTTTTAGTACTTTTCATCTTGAGGGTTACTGGGTATTTACAAATCGAGTAGGACAGATGTTCGAGTGGTGATCTCCCATGATAAAGAAAACATTCTCAGAGACCATGACATTAGACTAGTCAAACAGTACTTTCTTTACAGCAGTATATTGTTGACAAGATGTGCTTGTGATTTTGTTGAAGAACGTCATTGAAATCCTTTAGGGCTCTTTAGGGAGACAATTTGTCAAGCATTACGTTTCTGATTTCAAATATTGTGTTCAGGAGATCAGAAGGTGACAGACAAGCAGCTGGATGATATATTACGATGGACAGAAGAGTTCCGGCAGGAAACAGCATCTAAACATGACAGTGTCAAGTTGGACTGTATCAGTGGCGACTTCAACTTTGACAACATGTCACCATGTAGGTTCTACATTGATTCTCCTGTGGCAACAGTGTCACTAATGTTGTACAACACTGTCCTATAACGATATATATGTGGTAGAAACTTGTAGTCATTATGTAGTTGGTATCATGTTAGTATTGTTATACAACACTGTCCTATAATGATATATGTGGTAGAAACTTGTAGTCATTATGTAGTTGGTATCATGTTAGTGTTGTACAACACTGTCCTATAACGATATATGTGGTAGAAACTTGTAGTCATTATGTAGTTGGTAACATGTTAGTGTTGTTATACAACACTGTCCTATAATGATATATGTGGTAGAAACTTGTAGTCATTATGTAGTTGTGATCATGTTAGTATTGTTATACAACACTGTCCTATAATGATATATGTGGTAGAAACTTGTAGTCATTATGTAGTTGGTATCATGTTAGTGTTGTTATACAACACTGTCCTATAATGATATATGTGGTAGAAACTTGTAGTCATTATGTAGTTGGTATCATGTTAGTGTTGTTATACAACACTGTAGTTGTATTCATTATACACCCTGATAAACATATTTGTTGTACAACCATGTCATATATTAAAGTTGTAGCAGGATCACGAGGGTACATGGGGTTTAACCCTGAAGTCAGTATTATTCCAGCTTTGATACACTGGCCTGTGCATATTAGTACGAGGCATTAATGAATACCGGTAGTGATTTTATACCCCCTCACCAAGGTCAACTGTAAATTCCTTGACTACCACCCCCAAAATTGTATATAAAAAAACAACAACAAACGATTCCATAATCGTAAGAAATCTCAACTGAAAATCTGAGTCCATTTTGGATTCCAGCTATGTCTTAAGCATGTGTTTATGAGTCATTATCAAATAGTGATGGTACCATGTGTAACAAAGTATAGAGATATGTGGCCCTTCACCAAATATCACATAGTGCCATGTCACTGTAGTGTGGTTAGAGTGACCTGCCCTTGATCAGTGATTGATTGAAACAGCACCTGATTCGTTGAATAGAACAAGTACTTTTTGGACCTTTTCCATTACTTGAATGTTACCAGGTGACCATGAGCTGTCCAGCCACCCACTGTTTGACCAGTACGAGGACCCCTGCAGGGAGAGACAAGGCATGGACAAGCCCTGGACTGTTGGTAGGTACATACTGTTACAGGTTAGACCCTTGAAGATCCTGGGTAGAATAGGTCTGCGGTAACCAAGGCTTGCCATAAAAAGCGACTAAGCTTGTCGTGAGAGGCGACACAGGATTGTTCTTCAGGCTCACTGACTTGGTTGATGCATGTCGTCAGATTCCAATTGCATGGATCGATGCTCATGATGTCAATCAGTGGATTGTCTGGTCCACACTCGATTATTTACAGACACAGTTTTATAGCTGGAATATTGCTGAGAGCTGCGTTAAACAATACACAAATAAACAAACAAACAAACCCTATGTGGTAAGTATAAACTCAAATCTAAGCTGTATGTATTCACGGGTGGGCGATGTGTTCAGTGGTTGTCAAGAGAGCTGACTAGTGAGGAATGGATGGTTACATTGTTTTCTGTGGTTGTCAGGAGAGCCGACTAGTGAGGATTGGATGGTTACAATGTTTTCTGTGGTTGTCAAGAGAGCCGACTAGTGAGGATTAGATGGTTACAATGTTTTCTGTGGTTGTCAAGAGAGCCGACTTGTGAGGATTGGATGGTTGCAATGTTTTCTGTGGTTGTCAGGAGAGCCGACTACTGAGGATTGGATGGTTACAATGTTTTCTGTGTTTGTCAGAAGAGCTGACTAGTGAGGATTGGATGGTTACAATGTTTTCTGTGTTTGTCAGAAGAGCTGACTGGTGAGGATTGAATGGATACAATGTTTTCTGTGGTTGTCAAGAGAGCCGACTAGTGAGGATTGGATGGTTACAATGTTTTTACAGTTGTCAGGCCACTGTCATATAACTAGAACATGTCTTTACACCTAACAGATTTAGGAGGACATGGTTGATACCTGATGATGTAGGACACCATCCTTACTGGGCGGTGGGGTAACCTTGTGGTTAAAGTGTTCGCTAGTCACTCAGAATTCACCATTTGGGTAAAATTTGTGAAGCTTATTTCTGGTATCCACTGATATTAATATTGCTGGTATATGGCTAAAAATGGTCTAAGAACATGCCCATTCACTCACTCACTCAACTCATTCACTCCCTGGTTTCCATTAGGAACGGAGTTCCGGCAGAACCTACTTTGGGACCAGGAAGTGTCAACTCCGGAGGGCCTGTGTTCTGTGCTGAAGGATCCACTCCAGCGGCAGCGCTACATGGTGGACGCGGACCTCCAGACCAGCACACTAGACTCCATTGTCAATGCCTCGTGTAAAGTTGATCAACATGGCAACGTCATTCCGTCACCTCGCGGGGGGAAGCGAAGAGTGGACTACGTAATTCACCGTAAAAATGTTTCTGTGAGTTTGGTCATGATGAAGTGTAGAACTTGCCTCCATTAATTTTAAAAAGGCTTCCCCCAACTGATCTTCATACTGCTGATCTTCTGTCATGGCACTTTGTCAGTTATCCGACATCTGCCTGCCTGTTTGACTATTCATCCGTCATTAGTGCGAAAAACCATTTCACTCACTCCCTCACTCACTCACCCACCCACTAACTCACTCACCCACCCACCCACCCACCCACTCACTCACTCACTCACTCACTCACTCACTCACCGTCCGTAATGATTTCCTTTTCTTGGGCAGAACTCGAAAACCATTCAGTGTATTTGATTGAAACTTGGCAAATCTATCAGAAGTGGTGATTTTTGCTATTTAGGAATTGTCAAATTTTTAGTTTTTTTATGTTTCCATGGCAACCTTTTTGATTTAAGTTTTAGATGACTTCCTTGACTATACGCTTGTTTAGTTATTGTTTCTTGTAATTTGTCATTTATTTGCATAAAAAAACCCAACAGAAACACACTTGTTTCACTTTCCATTTCATATGGATGCCACTATGGTGGATCTTTTGTGGGTAAACAATTTATGCTTCTTAAAAACATTCAACTCTTGACTCATTACATACAGAATTGCACATTTACTTGTGGTTACTTTACAGACAGCTGCCGGGGGATATGTCATCTTTCTGATGACTTTTGTTGAAGGGGCAGTCGGGTAGCCTAGTGGTTAAAGTGTTCGCTCGTCACACCAATGACCCGGCTTCAATTTCCAACAAGGGTAAAATATGTGAAGCCCATTTTGGTGTCCCCCGCCGTGATATTGCTGGAATATTGCTAATAGCGGTGTTAAACCATACTCACACACTCATTCACTCCTGCTTTTTGTGGTATCAGAACTTCTATTACCTGTTTTGGCATTGTCTTGTTTACCATGTGTACTTTCTCATATATTACATTCTAATTTTGCTGTTATTCCATATTTATTTTTACTACTATCTTTTTCCAGAGAGCATCAAAGTACAAGTTTGTAAGCAGGTTGGCCACCTTGACTGACCATATACCAGTAGCTCTGACCTTGGAAACTTGACCTTGGAAACTTGTCTGTGGACTGCCCTCACTTTGCTGGCATAGATATGTATAGCGGTCCATGTCTGCAGTGTGATTGTTTCTTGTTGATGTCACAATGGTAATTTCTACTTAAGAATCTTTTACCTCTTGAATTGCAGTGTTGTTTGTTTACATATTGTACTGGCTAAGTTTGATGTGTTAAATGATTGATGTATAGGTGAGTGAGGGATTTTGAGGAAGTGGAGGAGGAGGATTCGATTCGATTCCTTATTTAGCTCTCCTGAGGTTAATGTTAGCTTACAGGACCTACCCTTTGATAATCTTTGGGTTTTACAAATATTATATTTGTTTAGCTTGATATGCTGCATGTCACGAAAAAAATGCATGAAAAACAATAAACCTGTTTGGCTCCTATCAATGAAAAGAATAGCGTGTTTTGAAGCAGTGTTAGAATTATGCCGTCTCTAAACTAACTCCCAGGCCTCCACCTGCAGATGTTTAAATGGCGTGTGATGTCTCTTGTTTGAAAGTGTGAAACATCGGACATTCCTGTCATACAAAACTTGACCCCTTCCCCCCTGAAAGACAGGGTAGGATTATGGCCCTTTTTGGCCCACAGGATCTGCATGATTTAAGAATTGAGCAAAATAAATTGAAATACGTAGGTAAGGATAAAAGATGTGTCAAAAAGGCTGATTGTAGAGGTTGTCATGAAGGGTTCTTCTAAGATTTGAACATGACCAAGTCTTTGACCCAAGCTCAATTTCATGTACATTAAAAACATTACAATCATATGGTGAAACTGGGGCGGTCGAGTAGCCTAGTGGTTAAAGCGTTCGCTCTTCATGCCGAAGACCCGGGTTCGATTCCCGACATGGGTACAATGTGTGAAGCCCATTTCTGGTGTCCCCTGCCGTGATATTGCTGGGATACTGCTTAAAGCGGCGTAAAACCATACTCACTCACTATGGTAAAACAATTATTATTATTATTATTATTTTTAATTTATTTATTTATTTTTATTTATTTTTATTATTATATTATACATAAATGTATCGCATGTATCCAGGTACTAGCATCTGCTCAAATGCGTTTTTATTTGTTCCCCGACCATTCACATTCCAGTTATCATCCTCAACTCCATGGGGAGTATACAACCCAAGCTGCCCAGGGGTGCCAGAAGGTTTTAACATCCACCTCACAAATTCGGGTACCCTTTCCCTGCTGGGTGATCAGAGGCACATTTGAACTAAGTCACTTGTCCAGGGTGACACCACAAGTTTTGACACTTGTGTTTCAGGTGTATGAATGTATTCGTGTTTCCATCATCTGGTCATCTACCATCGGACGAGTGGGTTCTTTTGAGTGCACAGGGTGACTGTACTGTACACTAGGGGTAGTGGCAACACTTAAAGGGCCTGTAAACATTGTTGGTCCCAAAGCTAAATAACAACCCGGTCATCAGCGGGATACGATCCCAGCATCTGGCGCTTGTTAGCCTGGCACTTTTGACAGCTTCCCCACTCATCTAAGTTTTTCATTGGAAGTTCTAAAAATCGGCCTTTTTAACTCATAGCCATATTTGTTGTCCAAAAAGGGCTACCTATAGTTGTCAGACATTTGAACATGTTAACTTTCATAGCAATATTCAAAGTTTTCCTCTATTTTAATATTTGACATTTCCAGCGTGCCAAAAAGGGTCCTTATAAACATGTGGGCAACCACATAAAAAGATCTCTTACTCTGTGATTCGACACCTCTCCAGAGAGCTGTGGGAGCAGAGTTAGTGATCTGATGTTAATGAGATCCCATGTATGGGTGTATAGCACTCAGAGTCATCAGTTGCTGGTCACCAAGTCTTATGGCTTGCATATGGTTGTCACCTGCTAGACTTAGCAGTTTCATTGGTTTATGATCACATTTTGTATGACTTTATTCATTCAGATTCTTTGTTTATATCTATACACATATATATTTTTTTGATGATAAAAAGAAAACCCATGATTAAAAAAAGAAAAATGGTGTTTAGTCTTTGTTGAATTTCTGATATTCTTAAGACCAGTGAAATGACATCATTGCAGGGTTCTTCCATAATGAAGGATTCCACCACACAAAGCACATACACACTGACACTAAATATTGGACCGCCTCCGTGGTCTAGTGGTAGATCCCAAAAGACGTTAAAAGATGATAGTAGTTGTTACCCTGTCTGGCGCTCGGCATTAAAGGGCTTAAACAAGGACTGGTCGGCTCGGAGTCAGTATACTGTGTCTGAGTGGGGTATCCATGTTAAACTGCGGCATGATATCTTAGTGTGCTAGCACTATAAATCGGCATCAGTCCGGACTAGTACAAGCAGTCACACACATACATGTGCATGCACGTCGCTATATAAGCGCAATAATCTTGGACGCGACGTTAAACCCAATTTCACCTAACCTCACTAAATGATGGTAAAATAATGAGCCAAGAGGAGTGAGTGAGTGAGTAAGGGAAGCAAGTATGCACACCTGATTGAGGTGCTTTGTTCCATTGGGCTATGGACCACCTCCGAGCTCCAGTGGTAGAGCATTCAGCCAGAGAGCGAAAGCTTTAGGGCTCGATCCCAACCGCCTCATACCAAAAGACTTTAAGAGGTGATACTTGGTGTTACCTGGTCTGTCACTCAGCATTAGTAAGCGAGTAAGTGAGTGAGTTGGGTTTAACGCAGCGTGTCAGCTTGATATGGGAAGAAAGCCCGAAGTGATGCAGGTCTTGTAAGTTTACCACCTCGGTGAAATCCACCAGCACGGTACGGTGCTGGTAAACCTAGAAACATAATCGGGGCGAAACAGGATTCGAACCCACATCTGGGCCACCCGTGCTCCCCGCTTGGCATTAATTAAGGGGCTAAAACAAGGACTGGTCCGCTCGGAGTCAATATACTGTCTGAGTAGGGTATTCATGTAATCTGTGGCATGGTATCTCAGTGGGCTGGCACATTAGTCCGGACTAGTACAATCACTCAAACACACACACTCTCTCCACCTTAAACACCATTTCGCCTCATCTCACTATTGGGCTATGCTTGACACCCCCGCGCCCCAGCCCCCATCCAAGACTTTTTAAATATGCATGTCGACAATGGCCTTTAGAATAAATTAGAAGCGGTAGAAACTAACAGTTTTCGTCCACTAGTCCTTATAATGATAACATAGCAAAACTCTTAAAAAGGGCAAATTTCTAGTCCTTATGATACCTTAACCATTGGGCAGTTTGGCAAGGACTACAGGACCAGTGCCAATTTCTAACGCTGGTTAGGTTAGGATCATTGCTGGGATCGTGTTCAGAGAATTTCAACATGGAAGTGGAAATGAAAACATCCTATCCCAGCCACCATGGTTTGCATGTCGGTCATTCGAGGCTCAAATGTCAAAGAATACAAGAATACACAGGTCAGTAGGTCATAGGATACATCCTAAACAGTCCTTATGATACCTGCTAGAAATACAAACGGAAACTAGTGGCTTCAGTGGAAATTCGAAAACTCGTTTAACTAGTTATTTACACCAGAGAAGAACCAGTCTCGATTATCGGGCAAAACGGATTCCACTGGACGTGACCGACAAACTAGCGGTGAAATTGTATGGATCGCTGAAAAGTCTAAGCCTTGCACATAGGGGAACATATACGTCGATTTCAGAATTATTGCATTTCTTTTTTAGAAGCCTTACGCTTCTAGTAAAGTGACCTTTAGTAGATGTGACATTGACATAAGGAAATGCTGAGGTTGCCCTTGTGTTGAGAAATGTAACATAGCGCAGTCAGAAACGTGACCTTTGGCATTCAAAAACGTTCCTTTTGGGGACATTCTTTATGAAATTGCGTGCTCAGTCTTCACAACATCACTTCGGGCTTTCATCCCACATTAAGCTGACGCGCCGTGATATGACTGGAATGCTGTCAAAACGGGATTAAATCCATGTCACTCACACTTACAAGCGGCAACCTGCCATTCTATGAGTGAGGTACTGAATTAGTATATCATATAGACCCTGAAACAAATATATCCGAAAACATCAAACTTAGTCCATAATACCAGCAAGGCTCGCTTACCCTTGGAGGGGATCACTGTTCACACTATTGACCACAGTGGTCGCAGTTGGCTTGAGATCAAATCAACTGGAGTGAGTGAGTTCGGTTTTACGCCGCTTTACCAATATTCCAGCAATATCAAGGCGGGGAACACCAGAAATGGCTTCACACATCGTACCCATGTCGGAAATCGATCCGGGGTAGAATAGGTCTTCAACAACCCATGCTTGTCGTAAAAGGTGACTATGCTTGTCGTAAAAGGCGACTAAGGGGATCGGGTGGTCAGGCTCGCTGACTTGGTTGATACATGTCATTGATCCCAATTGCGTGGATCGATGCTCATGATATCAATCACTGGATTTCTGGTCCAGACTCGATTATTTACAGACCGCCGTCATATAGCTGTAATATTGCGGTGTTAAACAACCAACCAAGCAACCAACCAAGCAACCAACCAACAAACCAACCAACCAACCAGGGTCTTCGGCGTGATGAGCGAACACTTTAACCACTAGGCTACCCGACCGCCTCCATCTCAGTTGGAATACCACTGAGTAGCAGTCTATTCTGTCGACAGGAAAGTCACATTTCTGTTTGAAGTTTAACGCGACAGATTTGGTGGGGGTCAGTTATAGTTTGAAATCAATGGAGACTCGCACCGAAAGGGGTACTTCTAACTTGCCAACTGCAGTCCTTGAGGTCACGTGATATTCTGTGAGGTACTTGATTGGTCTCTCACACAGACCCTGATACAATATATCAGAAAACACCCCAGCAAGTCTACAGTACTAGCAAGTCTAGATTTCCTCAGTTTCAGAACGTTATGTTTTACATAATATTTAGTTAACACAATGACTTACACTCAAAATTACATAAGTGAGTGAGTGAGTATGTTTTACGCCGCTTTGAGTAATATTCCCGCAATAGCACTGCTGAGGACACCATGAATAATTCAACCACCCATCTGGTCCACGGCCTCCAATATTACAAGCCTTTGTTCATTTGTTTCACCAGGGCGTTAAAGGGATGGGATGCTTATTAACCCTTGTTGCGCTTTATTGGCATCTCATAAAAAATACTTGATGATGAGTGTATATTTAATTCAAATCTGAAATGAATCGGAACAGGATGAACCATCTCAGTGAATACGTACAATTGAATACAATGGCGGTACTTTAGTAGAGCAAGTCTTCGAGGTCATTGTACGTGTTTCCTGAAATAATTACTTTATTTGTTTGTTTTTAAATACCCCCTTCTGCAATGTGGGGGTTCGTTGACAACCCAGGTCACCTGATCCGACCCATCAAGTCGTCAATCTCATTAAAATCTGATCTTTCACTCTCATACATACCTGCGTCACGGAATGACAGATCTCATATCCACTCACTTGTGCCACCTACCCGGGACATGGATTGTCTCCCCCTTCTGAGGCTCAACAATTCGCTGTACAGAGTTGCATCCCTTAGACATGCAAGAAACCTGCTATCGCGTGTTCAATCGTAATAAAATTAGATCTTAGATCTTAGATCTCGCTACCGCTAAACGAATAGCGGTTGACAGAACTAAGATCTGATTTTAATGAGATCAATTCCAAATCCAGTCCATATATCTATGTCTGCCAGTACCACTGCTCGCTGGTTTCGTGGTGAACATTTTGACGGGTTCCTCCCACGTCACGGAGTCAAAGAGTGAGTCGGGACCCTGCATCAGTACATGCTATCCATTAAGTTTCTTGTATACGACCAGCAAAGGTGGCTTGGGACCGATCCTAGCCCGGAAATATCACGGGGTTCCTCAATGCTTGGCATTCAGTGCATGCCGCAAGCCAATACCATTCATCATTCACGTTCACCCAGGAACATTCTATCACCAAACACTGATGTGTTCGGGTCTTAATGCAGGTGCGAAGACAAGGCGCCGATATTGCTCCATGCATTATTATTTCATGCAATTCACAGTTCAGCTCAGGAACCGGGGAATGAAAAGCGACGTTTCTTTGTCAGACGAATGCATCTAATACGTGTACATCCTTCATCTATTCTTCATCTATTACGTGTATATCTTTATTTATTCTTCATCTATTACGTGTACATCTTTATTTATTACGTGTATATCCTTAATCTGTCTGTATATCTTCATCTATTATTTATAGTGCTAGCCCACTGTTATACCATGACGCAGTTTAACATGAATACCCCACCCAGACGCAGTAGACTGACTTGACTCCTAGCCGTCCAGTCCTTGTTTTAGCCCCTTAAAGCCGAGCGCCAGGCAGGATAACAACAAGTAACCTCGTGTGTTTCCACGTTGACAATATCACTCGGAACACACTAGGTAATAATCTCTATTGATATGAGAGTGCATGTTGAGGTGCTTTTTTCAGTTTGTGTTAGACAGAGTTTTAGTCTGTCTTACAGACCCTGATACAAATATATATCAAATACAGCCCATGCAAGTCTATAATGTTTGGCAAGTCTAGATAACTGCAGTATCTGAAAATGAAGAGATTCTCTGGGCTCCCTTTTATTATATTTTTATTAAGATAATTGAACAACTGTTTTTTTCTGTACGATATGTTCATTTCAGAGACTAGATGTTAGTCTACAAGAGTTTAAGTTTACGCGACAAGCTTACAAAAATAATTGTTTTGGGTGGCCTCTAGTCACATCCATGAACCTGAAGGACAAGTGTTGAGCTTCTCTTTCACCATGACCATGGACAATCCAGAATTATATTCTGGTTCTCTATCTTCAAGAGGACCGCCTCCACGGTCGAGAGCATAGAGCGTCTGCCCGGAGAGCGGAAGGTCAGTGGTCCGATCCCCGGCAGCGTCTCTTATAGTAATATAGTATATCAAAAGACAACTATTAAGTTACTTATACGGATGGTTTGTTTGAAAAGCAAAGGTTTTTCTTTTGGATAAATAAACATTTTTATTCCAATGGAATATCTGTCACACTTCCACAAAAATCACACACTTCACTGTCTTGTATCTTATTGAAGTATCGGGAGCACGGGTGGCCCAGTTGTCTAAAGGCGCCGCCATTCGCTGTGCAGAGTTACGTCACTTGGGCACCCCAGAAACCTATGATTGTGGGTTCGAATCCAGGTTCGCCCCGATTATGTTTCTAGGTTAGTCAGCACCATACCCGTGCTCGTGGGTTTCACCGAAGTGGTAAACGTCCGAGACCTGCATCACTTCGGGCTTTCCTCCCACATTAAGCTGACACGCTGCGATATAACTGGAATACTGTTAAAAGCGGCGTTAAGCCAAACTCACTCATTATTGAGGTATACATTACACGAAGTAATTGAATGCAGTATCTTACATTGGGGTTGTGTATCTTTCAGTGGTATTCCTCCGAGTAGTTTCAATAACTCTGAAGTTATAAAGTTATGAATTACTAGTGTTTGTTGTTGTCAGTTAAATTGAATATGTACAGATGTAAAGTAATTTTAAATGGCTGTCCTTTTTTATAATCCAAACAGATGTGTTACTGCGTTTAAAATTACTGAAGTATATCAAGTAACCCATAACATCAAAATTAAAAATTGTTCTTAAAGTCAATTAATAAACAGCATTATTGGAAACACCATCCCCTGATACGCCCGTCCACGTGGGACTGTACAGGGTTGTAACACCATGGAAATAACACCCTCTGATACGTCCATCCACGTGGTACTGTACAGAGTTGGAACAACATGGAAACATCATCTCCTGATACGTCCATCCACGTGGTACTGTACAGAGTTGTAACAACATGGAAACATCATCTCCTGATACGTCCATCCACGTGGTACTGTACAGAGTTGTAACAACATGGAAACATCATCTCCTGATACGCCCGTCCACGTGGTACTGTACAGGGTTGTAACAACATGGAAACATCATCTCCTGATACGCCCGTCCACGTGGTATTGTACAGAGTTGTAACAACATGGAAACATCATCTCCTGATACGCCCGTCCACGTGGTACTGTACAGGGTTGTAACAACATGGAAACATCATCTCCTGATACGCCCGTCCACGTGGTATTGTACAGAGTTGTAACAACATGGAAACATCATCTCCTGATACGCCCGTCCACGTGGTACTGTACAGAGTTGTAACAACATGGAAACACCGTCTCCTGATACGCCCGTCCACGTGGTACTGTACAGGGTTGTAACAACATGTAAACACCATCTGATACGCCCGTCCACGTGGTACTGTACAGAGTTGTAACAACATGGAAACATCATCTCCTGATACGTCCATCCACGTGGTATTGTACAGAGTTGTAACAACATGGAAACATCATCTCCTGATACGTCCATCCACGTGGTATTGTACAGTGTTGTAACAACATGGAAACACCCCCTGATACGCCCGTCCACGTGGTACTGTACAGGGTTGTAACAACATGGAAACACCCCCTGATACGCCCGCCCACGTGGTATTGTACAGGGTTGTAACAACATGGAAACACCATCTGATACGCCCGTCCACGTGGTACTGTACAGTGTTGTAACAACATGTAAACACCATCTGATACGCCCGTCCACGTGGTACTGTACAGGGTTGTGTAAACGTGGAATCATGATGGATGTAATAATGATGCTAAAAAAATAATATTAGAAAAAGTCTGATTTTATTCAATGTATTGTTCGTAGAGAATGTCAGTTTCTTGCCATTGTGCATCGTATCACGACCTTATACCATCGAGATCGTATATCGTATCATCCATAAAGGATACTATAACAACCGTCCTCCTGAACGTGTCACGCGATTTCGTAACCCTCTCCACTGCTCTCGTTTGCAAACGCCTGTGCGCTAACCTAACGAATAATCAATGTGATTCAATAATATACTTCGCTCCTAAAGCCACTCTTGAATTGATTTTTACCTTTTACAATCAATTACCTATGTATACAAGCCCGGCGTGTAACACTGCCACACTGAGTGAACACTTACACTGTGTACAGTCAGTATGTGGCGAGCATCACTTCATGGTGTGTTGATGAAGGAGCGAGCTGTTCATGAAAAGTCGAGGTCCACGTTCTTGTTTGTGTGACACCCGACCCACTAAAGTAGCTCATACCACAAACAGAGGTCACCTGGGGCCGAGTTGAATCTGGGACCACGACCCCGGGGGCTATGATCTTGCTAATAATACAGTCTGGTAACAATTACTTCCACATGTTGTAATCATTTGAGGAATCGATCTCCTTCATGTTATCTTTGTAAAGGCAATAACCTCCTATCACATGTCATGATGACCAACCGGACAGGCAGGGATCCCAAGGTCAGATTGAAGGAAGGAATCTGAACCAATAGGGGTGGTGTGTGTGTGTGTGTGTGTGTGTGTGTGTGTGTGTGTGTGTGTCCTATCTCATTGAATCCGACACTATGCCAAACAAACATGCATTTAAAAGGTTAAAGATCAACCTAGAAAAACAACAACATTAGCTTTGACTATATTTTAATCACATGCCGGATTTCGCAAATTTCAATGAAATCACAAGAACTCACATCAGCACATGGGTGAAAAGGCTGACACACTCTGCATTGTGTGGTACTACGATTCACGTAATCTCAAAAAAAGACAAACTGAAATAATCTTGTAATTACCAGATAACGTGTTTTTAACGTACGAGACAGTATTTGTAAACACGAAATATTCTACTCTGAGAAATATGTATATTATTTCTTTTTAGTTCAATATTACATGTATTGCAAAGGTTATGTCATTTCGTTTCATGAGACCCGTGAAGATCCGGGGTAGAATAGGTCATCAGCAACCAATGCTTGCTGTAAAAGGCGACTATGCTTGTCGTAAGAGGCGACTAACGGGAGAGGGTGGTCAGGCTCGCTGACTTGGTTGATCCATGTCAACGTATCCCAATTGAGATGCTCGATGCTCACGATGTCAATCACTGGATTGTCTGGTTCAGATTATTTACATTCCGCCGTCGTTTAGCTGGAATATTGATGAGTGCGGCGTTAAACAACAAACAAAAAACAAAAATCATGTCATAATAATATATATGATGTTATTGTGTGTGTGTGTCAAAGTAGAATTGCGATGCTTGTAGCTGTCCCGAGTGAGCGTTTCGTGAAATATATTTCGTCGTCTTCTGTTATCATTTTGTTTATTAAATGCCGGTGAAATAATGTTCAAACCCTCTAACAATTCCCGCATGATATTTTCATTATGCTAATATCTCATTCGAACATTTATTGCCAACTCCTGCTTGAACAGGTTGATGAGTCCATGTTATACATCCTTGTTCTACCCCCTGCATATTCCCAGCCATCTGTGTGCGGTGCCAGTCATGACAGACAGCCCCCCCTCCCCCCGCGTCTGTGGGGGGAGCTTCACATGGGGCAGCGTAACCCGACCCATCTGCACCATGCAGCGGGCTCCACCAGAAGCGATATGGGAAGATGCGGCGTTAGTCAGTCGACAGCGAGACCGCGCCCGTGATGTGACGCCACCACTGATCACGTCTACCGTCAACGACAACCCACACCCCAGAGCACTTCCCGTCCCCTCACCGAGACCAAGGGCACATTGAAAGGTGGGTGTTTTTTTTCGGCCCGGTATGCGTGCACATGTGCAGGCTGTGGCCGATGTAGGGAGACGAGGGGTGTAGTCTGACACTATTCATAGTACAGCATCTACCTCAGAACATGCAACATCGAGGTCGGTGTCAAAAGTGAGTTATGCTGTGTAGTGGAGCGTAAATAAGGTTGGTTTTATTGACGAACATAAGTCATTCAAATACAGATTAGGTAACAGACGTGCAATCGGCTACACTAATATATAGCGACCGATGATAAGATGTCGTCTGCTTTTAGTCGTCTTCGTAACCATATTGTAACCAACTTCAATGAATCATAATGATCGGTATCTAATACATATTTTCATTCCAGGAATTGCTGTTTTGAAAACAGCAGAATGGTGTTGTGTTTAGTATTTGCTAACAGTACATAGTTTATAAACAGATAACGTTCTATGTTTAACGACGTCATCAAGTGAATAGAGCCCCATAGTTTGATGTTCAACGCGCGAAGTTAAAACATAGCTTGTGTTTGATAGTAAATGTTTGTACGCTGTGTAGTTATACGTGTTATATATACCATACCGTGATGAACACGTGTTCCATAGAGTTCGGCTTGGAAGTTGCACATGTTGCGACAGGGCAGGCTGAAGATAGTGTTGTGGTAAACCCTGCTCCAGCCACTGTACAAACGGTTTGGTATCTCGCTGTCTGGGTCACCACAGTTGATGTATGGGGTGGGTGAGCTTTCATCCGCCTGATAGCACGTGATTAAGACTGTGGTGTAGACATGTATTATCTGTAGGATTGTTTCAATTTGCTTCTGTGTCTTCACGAAGGAGATAAATGTCACTAGTCAGATAGTGTTCGTTTTCTAGCTTTGAGCAGGTGCTGTTAGGGTTGAGAGAGGGAGGGAGGCTGAGAGAGAGAGAGAAAGAGAGGGGATAGAGAGACAGAGAGAGCTGGGGGTAGAGAGATAGGGAGAGAGAGGGAGAGAGAGGGGATAAAGAGAGAGAGAGGAGAGGGATAGAGAGGATAGAGATAGAGGAGAGGGATAGAGAGAGGGAGAGAGACAGAGAGAGCTGGGGGTAGACAGATAGGGAGAGACACAGGGGATAAAGAGAGAGAGAGGGAGCTGACAGAAAGAGTGAGTGAGTGAGTGATGATTTTATGCCCCCTTTAGCAATATTCAAGCAATATCAGGGCGGGGACACCAGAAATGGGCTTCACACATTGTACCCATGTGGGGAATCCAACCTTAGACTTCGGTGTGACTAGCCAATGCTTTAACCACTAGGCTACCCACAGACAGTCACTCAGATAGAAATCAAAGCTGAGAGAGAGAGAGAGAGAGAGAGAGAGAGAGAGAGAGAGAGAGGGAGGTGTTAGAGGTGGAGAGAATATTCTCATGATTTCCCAATCATGTTGGCTCACAGGTTGTAAGTACAGATAACCAATGTTTATTGTAGTGGCCCCACATTTACTAATATTTCATGTAGGCTGGTCATGACACACACTGAAGTATTTTCAGGGCTATCGCTGCAATCCATCAGGCCAGGATTTCCTGAAATTTTTTCACTTGTCCAAATATTTACTTGTCTTGCAGGGATATGCCAGTAGAATCAGGATAGTGTTCTGGGAGAGGCCCATTTTGGGTGGATGAGAGTTATATACTTTCTTAAACATTCATGTTTTCAGATTGTATGTTAGTGTTCATAAGAATTCTTCATTTAAAAGTATTACATTTACAGGTTGGACAAAGTTAGTTCAAAAGCTAGCATCAGTACATGTCTAACACATGTCCTTAAAATAGCATTACTGATATTATAGCTAAATTGGACAGAATTTGTCCTTAATAAAATCTATTAAACAACCAAATGCAAACCAACGACTGCTTCTACCTAGCTGCTCTGATTCACATGGAGGACACCACAGGGGCACATTGTGACACTGACCTAGAAACATGTAGGACTGAGATATTGTTTTGAGTGAGTATGGTTTTATGCCACTTTTAGCCATGACTGTGGGGAACACCAGAAATGTGTTCACTCTGGAGATATAGTTATGAAAAGTGCCTCAAGGAATTATTGTATTGTAAGAGCACTCACATAGTGTTTAATTGGTGATATATACTATATATATTATATATACTCAAGGGCAAAAGTAACTGTGATAATGCTCTTATTAAACATGCTGTGGATTGTTTGAAGCTTACAACTCAAAGTGACACTGTGTCTGTGAAGATTAAAGTGGACATTTGGGTGCTTTTTTATTTTTTTAAATAATTCAAAGTTGAACAAATATAAAGATTCAGCCATGTTACAATCAACTTACGCCCTCTTAGTTGATAAACTTCCATAAAGAATACACAATCTTGTCCCAATGAAGAATACACAATTTTGTCCCAATGAAGAATACACAATCTTGTCCCAATGAAGAATACAAAATCTTGTCCCAATGAAGAATACACAATTTTGTCCAAATGAAGAATACACAATCTTGTCCGAATAAAGAATAGACAATCTTGTCCAAATAAAGAAAACAAATCTTGTCCAAATAAAGAATACAAAATCTTGTCCAAATAAAGAATACACAATCTTGTCCAAATGAAGAATACACAATCTTGTCCAACCCTAACAGGTCCCCTGAATTGAAGATCTGTGAAGACAAATGCAGCACATAGTTTGAGAGACAGCATCTGGGCAGTTATTAAATGTCAGCCATCTCCTTCCTTCACCCCACCCTCTCCACCCCCTACCAGCTTCACTCATCCTATCTAGACTTACATCTCCCCTAGAGCTGACATTTGCAGGCTCCTCTACAGTGACTGGAAACACCACCAATGCCAGTCTTAGCATAGCTTTTACTTGATACATTATAGCCATCTATCGTTGTAGACAAGATTGTAGAAGCTGTCTATTGGTTATTAAATTAATTTGCAAAAATGAAAATATTTTAACATTATTTTTGGTTAAATTGTCTTTTGATATATAACAGAAACTAGACCAGAAAATTTCATTTTTAAACCTGAAACTGAGGAAATCTAGACTTGCTTAAGTGATGTAGACTTGCATGGGGTTTCGGGTGTATTTGCTTGTCTGTCTGTAGGAGAGGCCATATATGTTGTTGTAAGACATGATTCATAAACGATGAACTATTGTGAGAGCCCAGTTGTTTTGAATTGGGATGCATAAATGTTATTTTTTTTAAATGGGTCTTTGAAACAATAGGATTTTAGGAATTATTTGGTTAAATTATCATTTAAAATATAACAGAGAGTAACCAGGAAATCTCTTTAGTTTTAGCCAGGCTATTTGTAGACTTGCAAGGTATTGGGGGATATTATTGCGTGAGGGTCATGTTGTTCCACATGTTCTACCCTTTATTTCAGAAACTGGTCTAAACGTACTTTATATAACTTGTAAATGATTCATTTGCCTTGTAGAGAATAAAATATTCTTTAGACATGGAAAACTTGATCACAGGTTGTGAGCACAGTTATAGGGTAAATGTCAGTCCAAACGCCTTGGGTATGACGCAGCCAGGCATCGAACCACCAACCTTAATCTCTCCATGCAGGCACTCAATCCACTGGATCACATAAATCATCTAGGGTTATGCTGTATACGTTGTCAAAGCTTCTAGCATTACAATATGTTGAGCCTCACAGGAAATGAATAGCATATTGTGCAAGGCTCCATACACAGGGCATAATGTTTGCTAGTGTCTTGCATAGACTGTAAATAATATATACAGTGCATATTTACATTTATTCAAGCCAATAGTCTTATAAAAAGCTTTGTCATCGATGATTCTCAGTGAACAAATGTTATCCACTTCTTGTGTCTTCAGGTAAGTTTACATCAAGCACAATGACAGACCCAGCAGATACGTCCGCTGCCCTTCAAGAAGCCGACCGACTTTACAAAGAGAACCAGTTTCCAGATGCACTGGAGAAATACACCACACTCCTTGAGAAGAACCAGGAGGACATTGAACTGCTGCTCAGACGGTCCCGATGCTACTACGGTCTCAAAGAATTCAACCTGGCTTTTAATGATGCCAAAGCTGCCCACAACATTGATGCTACCCATATTGATGCCTGTATTTGTTGTGGAAGGGCTGCAACGAGGACCAAGTCTTTTGAGAAAGCATTCAGATACTACAAAGATGCCTTGAAGGTGGATCCTAAGCACCCGGTAGTGACTGAGGATCTGAAGAAACTTCAAGGCGCCATCATGGCGGAACATGAGAAGGAGGTAGTGGAGGAGCCTACCTACAGTGCAGTGAAGTTCTGTACCCAGGATCCCTACCCCGGAGATAAGGAGCTCTATCAGATGGAACAGGAGATCCTAAACAAGAAGCACAAGATTTCCAATAACCAGGAGATCGCACCGCCGGTACCAAACACCAAGCCGGAGGACGCAGCCAAGCATGCTGCTATGGCGATACGGTACCGGGCAGGAGGCAATACGGGTGATGCTCTTCAGGAGTGTTACAGGTCTGTGGCTATTGACCCCTACAATGTGCTATATCGGCAGCTGAGGGCAGAGGTTCTCCTGGACAGGTCCCAGCGAGAAGACTCCCTTCGAGATCTCTTCGCGATCCCACCACCAAGTCGGTCTGTTGAGGTCTGGAAACAGGGAGGTAGGTCCTTATATTTCAGCAAGGAAAAATAAATCCCAAGGCACCCAGGCTTGTTAATGATTGGATTGATGACAAACGCCTAGTTGTTGATAATGTAAAATTGAATAGAAGTTCTATGTTTATTGTAAGGGGAGTATGGTTTGGTATACCCTCTGTGTGGCTGAGGGTATGGTCATACGGAGAGTACATCAAACCCTGGGGGTAAGCTTACAACAGATTTTTGTTAATGCAAAATGTTTATCATTTATCATCAAGAGAGCGTTTGTTTGTCACCAATTTTCAAACTTTGTTACATCACACGATACCATTTCACTGTAAAGAGACTGAAATGCAGTGACTACAGATATTGGCAAAATGACTGTTGCCATCAGGGCTGTCGGGTAGCCTAGTGGTTAAAGCGTTCGCTCCATACATCACATGATACCATTTCACTGTAAAGAGACTGAAATGCAGTGACTACAGATATTGGCAAAATGACTGTTGCCATCAGGGTGGTCGGGTAGCCTAGTGGTTAAAGCGTTCGCTTGTCACGCCGAAGACCCGGGTTCGATTCCCGACATGGGTATAATGTGTGAAGCCCATTTCTGGTGACCCCCGCCGTGATATTGCTGAAATATTGCTAAAAGCGGCGTAAAACCATACTCACTCACTCACTCACTCACTGTTGCCATCATGGCAGAGGATGTTGTTGTTTTCTATCACATCCTTTATCCAAAACTTGGGTACAAGGTTTTCAGTTTGCATCTGACTACTACATGGGTTTCTTGCCAGAAATATGGGGAACTGGATATGATCTCCCTGTAATGTTTTTATACATAGAAACAAATATCAAATAAGTTATTCCAAATTGATAAATGAATCAGATATACAGGCTCTATAGGCCTATACCTGCTACACGATGGTACCTATCTGATTGAGCTGTAATATGTTACTTTATATGAAACATTTGACCTTTTCCAGGCCAAATCTTACTCCAGATGGGGCTGCCAGTGTCTTCGGAGTTCTGGTTTCGGAAGGCAACCAAGATTAGTGACAACAAGGATGAAGAGTCTGCCATCTTATTCCAGAAAGTGCGCACGGAGAGACTGTATGGGCCCCTCACACAGAACGTTCCAGTGAAGGTCGACTTTGGTCAATTTGGACGATCTATATTTGCCACTGAGAACATCGAAGAAGGGGCGGAATGCTTGACAGACAAGCCAGTCGTCATGGCTGAAAGTCTCAACAACAATCTTGTCCCTGGTTGTCATCATTGTGCCATGTCGCTCCTGTCTCCGGAAGACTATTTTGGAGAAGCTCTGGACTTGTTCGATGACTCAATGAAAGATCTTGTGAAGGAGCTGTGGCCAGATACGACTCCTGTGCTGTGTAAGACATGTGAGAGGGTGAAGTACTGTAGTGTCAAGTGTCACGATGTGGCCTGGGCCAAGTACCACGAGGTGATATGCCCCGGGAGGAACACTGCCGCCAAGCGGATATACGACCTGGCAGCCAGTAAGGGTGTTGAGGTCCTAGCAGATGGAAGGACGGACGATGTATGGGTGGGGTCGTATAGTCCTCTGGTCCTTGCCAGGATCTGGGGAACCATTGTGCAGGATGCCAAGACCATGATGAGATCGGAAGGTCTAACGCAACCAACAGCGGAACATTGGGCAAAGGCAAAAGCCCCATTTAGGAGGTACCAAAGGTTTTGATGAAGAGTGAATGAGTGCTTGTTGTATTATGCTGCTGTCAGCAATATTCCAGGTGTATGAAGGCGGCCTAAAAACATCAAGTCTGGACCAGACAAGCCAATGGGTACAGCATTGGCCAGGCCGCATACATAACACGCCGTGTCAGAGTGCAAAAATATGTTTGCTTGTTGTGTAACGCCGCACTCAGCAATATTCCAGCATTATGATGGCGGTCTGTAAATAATCAAGTCTGGACCAGACAATCCGGTGATTGATATCATGAGCTTCGATCCACGAAATTGGGATATGGTGACATACATCAACCAAGTCAGCGAGCCTGACCACCTGATCCCGCTAGTCGCCTCTTATGACAAGCATGGGTTGCTGAAGACCAGTTCTTCAGGGGGCCCCGAAAACTATGACAATCTCTAGGGATGGAGGGGGGGGGGCATAAATAATAATACATGTACATTGGGGGAGAGACATGAAAGAAGGGACATTTAATAATAAAATGTTTGCATTTTGCAATAAATGTGAGGTCCCTCATCAAGCCCCTGATTATGTTTCTAGGTTTGTGAAAGTGGTGTTTAACCCAACTCACTCACTCTTACATCAAGGATGTGTTTCTGGGGACTGATACTTTCCTGGAATCCTCATCAGGGGGTTTGATTGAGAGTGAAACTGTTTCATTAAAAGAACACACTTGTTTTGTTCACATGATTTTCAGGCTATTGTGAGATAGGGAAAAGGGTTGATGTCGTTTTAAGCAACACACCTGCAATGTAATGGCGTGGACACAACTGGTCTTCACAGGTTGCACCCATGTGGAAATCAAGGCCAGGTGTTTGTTGTAACCATGGTAACAAGCAACTCCTTTAAACACTTGGCTTACCCACTGCCTACAAGGTACAGTGAATGTGCTGTATGCAAGTATCATGTCTGCTTGAAGTTAAAAGTTTGTAACAACTTGGTAGTGATGCACAGATATGTTTTTGAATCTATTTTTATTAAATTTACAGTAATATTTTGGTCCAGAGTTATCCCCGAATCACGCTGATGCTTCTTTGATAATTTGCAAACTGACCACAAAATTCTAAAACACACACCACCAAGTCCCAAATTTATCCATGTGTTAGTATAAGGGTATCGCTATTTTTCAGGGCATTATCATTTGCAGAAGCCCAAGGTCTTCCACTAACTGCGCATCGAAGGAGGGCAGTTGAAAAATTCGAGGGCTTCTGCAAATAATATTGCCCTGATAAATAGCGTTACCATTATTATAGCTAAAATGGATAGAATTTGTTATAAGAATAAAAAGAAATAACAATATCGGTTTTGAAACATTTGCTGCAATCAACACAAATGTCACTGACCCACTTTTACAAATATGGAAACGTCATAAGACAAACCAGAGGATGTCACTATTGAGCGTGACGTCACCCATCCCTATCCTATGACGTCACCTAACAACGTGCATGATGATGGCCTTTTATCAAGCAAATATGGGGGCATTATCAAGTTACAGTGGTCCGCTTATTTCTGATAACATCAGGGCAGTTTAAAGATAATTCTATCCATTTTACCTGTAATAGATGTTTGTTCATTTTTTTTCGTTTTGCTCTGTGACAGGTTTATAGCATTCGGGTGTACAAAGGCCACAGACAAGATGCCAGAAATGATCAAAGTGTTTCAGGAAATCTTCCAGAACTGTGGCGATGGCATCAGCTATGAAATCACGGAAGCGGAATTCAACGGCCGCTACTATCAGGCAACGTGTAACCTTCAGATCTTCACCTCCTACATAACACCCTACCAGCACTTCCTAACAAACGTGGCAAACAAGGGCGACCCACGCGGTTTGAAGATGCTCAAATACTTACAGAAAAATCCTAAACCGTCAGCCTTCACTGGAATGTTTGCCCTCCATGCTTGTCTGAACCATTCCTGCTACAACAACGTGGAGGTCCGGGACGGCCGCTGTGCAGATGACAAACCTGGAGTTGCTGTGATCGCTAAGCGAGATGTGAAGAAAGGAGAGGAGGTCCTCACGACCTACATCGACACCTCCATGCCACGGAGGCTGCGGCGAGCATGGCTGTACAAGTCCTTCAACTTTTGGTGTCACTGTCTGCGATGCCAGTATGAAGGCGACGACGCAACATCGTGTACAACATGTCGGGTGAAGGTTGAAGAGGGTAAGAAGTTCCCGTCTTGTGGAAAGTGTCATCGTGCCTGGTATTGCTCTGTGGCATGTCAGAAGAAGGCTTGGAAGCAAGGCCATAAGATTATCTGTCAGACGGACCACTCACAGGTGAACAAGCTGCAATAGGATCTTGTGTGGCTGATCCAACCTGCCATAGGCTCTTGTGTGTCGATCCAACCTGCCATAGGATCTTGTGTGCCTGATCCAACATGCTGTAGGATCTTGTGTGTCTGATCCAACCTGCCGTAGGATCTTGTGTGTCTCATGCCAACCTACCGTAGGATCTTGTGTGGCTGATCCAACCTGCCATAGGATCTTGTGTGTCCAATCCAACCTGCCATAGGATCTTGTGTGTCTCATGCCAACCTACCTTAGGATCTTGTGTGTCTGATCCAACCTGCCGTAGGATCTTGTGTGTCTCATGCCAACCTACCGTAGGATCTTGTGTGTCTGATGCCAACCTGCCGTAGGAATCTGTGTCCTTCAACCACCTGCCGTTGTGTTTGTCAAAAATCTGCCATCGGGTTCTGTCCTTCACGACCTGTTGTGCTTCTTTGTTTGTCAACAACCTAAGTGTTTCCGTGTTTGTCAACAACGTGCTCTGTGTCTATGTTTGTCAACATCCTATAATGTGGTCCTGATCAACCTCTGGTTGTAAGTGTTGCTTCTGGAGATCCCTGTGTCAAGTACTGTTGGTCCATGTGTCGCATACTGTCATGTTAACATGTTGAGCCATGCAATAGGTAAGTTGTATGGTCGAGTATAATGTCATGCTACCTCTCGTTGTTATGCAGTGAGGGAGAGAGTTGAGTTTCAATGCTGTTTTTTACAGTATTTGTTGTATCACAGCATCTGAGCTTGATGTCAGATCGATGTGGGAGGAAAGCTGAAAGTGACAAAGGCTGTAGACGCTGAGCATGAGTATGATGCGTAGATCCAGGATCTGGAATTTTAAACCCGTGATCAGCAGATCCTGGCACACAAAAGGGACAGCAATTTGCACACCTCAGACCACTGGGCCTAAGTGCCTCTTACAAGCAATAAACAATTGCTGAAAATGTCTGAGTCTGGCATTGTGAAATGTGAATGTTCTCTAGGACATGGTCCAGATGAAACGACCTTTATGTTTGCTGTGAGCTTTCAGAGAATTTGTTTTGGACATCATTTTAAAGCTGAAATTAAAAACATATCTTGGCTGTTTTTTGCCTCAAATTCAAGAATATTTTCCACAGTGATCTTTGTAACAACTATGTCATTTGTATATTTTTTCTGATCTACATATTGTCTTTAATGCTTTGTCCAACAAGCTCTGAATGCTTTTCCAAGTGCTCGAAACTAAGCTTGAAGGTGTAGGTGTTCTTTTCATAATATTTAAAGATTTAAGGCCCCCAAGATTCAAACACTGTAGAAACAAACCTCAAGAACCCCAGACACGCTAAGTTTCTAGCACGGTCTCCCATGGTATTGTTGTCTTACCTCAATGTCTTCTGCAGCACATCCAAATGAAGCTACTTTGCACATTTTACACTAAATGTATACTACTCAAAAGAAGAAATGATCACCTGATTTTTTCATGACTATTGTTAATCTGTCATGTCATGTGTTCTTAAACTTCTTTTGAGTAGTATATATGTATATCAGGGGTCCGGAAAATTTAAAATCCCAATCGGACATTTGCATTTAGGCCACGCCCCCTTCAAATAGCGTATTTTAGTACGACTTTTCACACACATTACAAGTTTACGTATTCATAATATGATGAATTATGAATTGTTTCAATTTAAATTAATTAATTCACCGGACAATTAATAACAAATAATATCATTTTAGATTTACATGGAAAACATACGTTTGTTTCTGTTATAATAACGATCTGTTAACGTAGTTAACATTGTATATATATCTGGTAAGAAAACAAGAATCCCTTCATGTGGTTGTCTGCAATATCCAGTGTTATTCTCTGTTGTCCAGTGGCAGTTTGTGGGGTTGAGGTGGAGTGTACAGGTTCCTGCACACTGGTGTTTTGGGTGTGAGCACAGCTGCCAAAAAAGAATTCAGTTATCAATTCAAAATCTGTAATGGTGTGACGTACTGTAATTCCTGTTTTAAGAGCTGGATCTAGGGTAAGGTTGTGAATTAAGATAACTGAAAGTCAAGTGAGCTCATGTCATTTTTAGATTTGTACATTTAGCATACAATACATATATACCCTTCTGTTCCCAAGAGCTTTGCCCAACCTTCCACTGTCAGGTCTAAGGACAACATATTGGACACACAGAGGTACTGGGCTGGTTGGGTAGCTTAGTGGTTAAAGCTTCGCTCATCACGCCGATGACCCGGGTTCGATTCCCGACATGGGTACTATGTGTGAAGCCTATTTCTGGTGTCCCTGCCGTTGCTGGAATATTGCTAAAAGTGGCGTAAAACTATACTCGCTCACAAAGGTACTGGTGTATTAAGATTCCCATCATGGACAGTGATCACTCATCAGATGAAGGCAAAGAAAGTGTGTCTGTTACCCACACATAGTTGTATGTGGCACGTAATAACGAACACTTTAAATTCATTAAATGTTATCAAGTGTTTAATACGTAAGGATGTGCTTAAACGTCACTTTTAAACAGATCAAAGCCATATGTTATTGAAAAGGCATTGCGACTTGCTCAGGTCATTAATCTGGCTACCCCTCACCCTCCATTGCCCCATCCCCTTGCACCTCCACCCCACCCTGTGTGTGTCTGTGTGTGTGTGTGTGTGTGTCTGTCCGTCTGTGTGATTTCAGTGTACACAGTTGCCTTGACATCACCTCCCCATTCCCAGTTTGACTCCAATTTGTGCGGTGTTCCTTGAGAGTGATATTGAATATTCAAGAACATAAAGCTATGGCTTACATAATTTTTGTGCTTAAAGTTAATTTCCTCCAATGAAATATTGACAGTTCCATTTAATATAAGATAAAATATATTCCTGTAAGTTTAAATATTATATCCTAACAGTATTGCTCTAATACATAATATTTTCACTTGTTTTCTAATACATTCATTGACATTACCAATTTCATGCACTCCAAATGAAACATTTCAGCATGACCATAACACAATTTCATTTTACTAACTTGACAAATAATGTTTCTTTTCTTTCTATTTATATGACTTACTGTGTATATAACAATGTTCATATTTGTTAATTATCTATTTATTTGTTCTTTTTTTCAGATGAGTTTAACTAGCTAACAATGTTGTGGAGTTTCTAACAGAAATTTGGCAGTGCAATTGCGTTTTATCGATTCATCTTTTTCCCCGTTTTCATTCCGGCCTAAATGGTTTTATTCAGTATGAGAGTAGAGACTTGACTAGCGTGGTTATGGCTTGTTTGGTTGTGTATAAATTAATGAACAAGTGCAATTTTTTTACTGTGTGATATCTTTACGAGTTAAAATCTTTATCCATTGTTTTACTTGGAATTTTTAAAATAAAACAAATACGTTTCTCTACTGCTGTGTTGTGTATCTTTGCCGCACAAACCCCTGGAGTCAGCTCTGCAGAACTCTTTTCGTTAATGGCAGATTGCCTCAGTGGTCGAGTGGAAAGGTTGTTTGTTTGTTTGTTTAACACAGTATTCAGACGTATTCCAGCTGTATGACGGCAGTCTGTAAAATGAATCTGTACCATACAATCCAGTGATTGACATCATGAACATCGATCCACGCAATTGGGATACGATGACATGCATCAACCAAGTCAGCAAGCCTGACAACCCCATCCTGTTAGTTGCCTCTTATGGCAAGCATGGGTTGCTGAGGACCTATTTTCTACCTGGACCTTCCCAGGTCTCTAGTGGTTAAAGTGTCTGCCCAGATTTGAAGGTTGTTGGGTCAATCCCCCAAATCATACCTATAGACGTTAAAAGATGGAAGATGTTGTTGGGAGATACATGCTAAACTGTGGCATGGTATGTCAGGGTGCTAGCACCGTAAAACCGTCATTAGTGGTAAGATGTGTGTGTCTGTGTTGTACTAGTGTGAACAAATGCCAGATTTATAAAGCTAGCCCACGGAAACACCATGCCGCAATGGATACCCCTTTCCAACATTGCAAAGTCAAGCAGTATGCAGAGTGCCAGGCCGGGCAACGAGAAGTACCATCTTTTAACGTCTGGTGTGAAGCGGCCAAGGATCGAAAACACATCTTCCAGTCTCCAGGCAGACGCTCTATCCACTTGACCTCAGAGGAGTCAACGGCAACATGAAGGCACCTAAAACCTGTCATTCATGACTCCTACACTTTATCATAGTCATACAACAGCATCTTTCCGAGGTAAGGGAGTTAACTCACTATCAAAGTCCAGCTTCCATCCTTGCTAAATTTGGCTGGAATTATCGAGTTATATTTTGGCTGGACTTATGAGTCTATGCATAGTCAAATCAAATTCGCATAATGAAAATCAACATCCGTTTCGTAAACTGCCGTGCCAATTTCGGTCGATTGCAGGATTTGCAAAGCATGTGTACGGTCAACTTAGTGTCAACCGATATTTTCAAAATCTTTTCATGTTTTTAATCAAGATGCTCACGTGATTTGATGTACTTCGCAAAGTAAGACCCATTTTGTTACAATATAGATTTTGATTATTGATCAGATCATCTTCACTGGGTACTAGCGACTATGCTTGTTGGAAGAGGCGACTAACGGGATCAGGTGCTAACTCGCTGACTTGGTTGATGCATGTCATCGTATCCCAATTGCATGGATCGAAAGGTCATGATGTCAATCACTGGATTGTCTTGTCCAGACTCGATTATTTACAGACTGCCGTCATATAGCTGGAATATTGCTGAGTGCGGCGTTAAACAACAAATCACTGGGCCCTGGCATTTTGCTTGAAGAAAATGCAAGTGATATCAGAGGAGGATTCTGACTCTTCAGTAGGAGCGGCATAGAAGGGACATCACTCGTAACTGCCAATGGTGGCGCTACGATCAAACCCAGAAATTCCGGCCCAGTTCAGCAAGGGTGAAAACTTTACTTTTACAGTCAGTTAACTCAATTGCCTCGGGAAGATGTACAACAGCAACATCTCGGATCAGTTTGTGATCAAGCATGGGTCTAATCCTGCTGGTTTAAACAAAACAAAGACATTCTCCTTGATTCAGTCATTTATCATATATGATTCATGTTTGATTCTGTGAGCAATGGAAGACCATTCATATAAAACAGCAACTAGCGAGTAACAATGTACAAACAAAATACAAACTGAGCATAAAAAATTATAGCTGAATAGATAGAAGCACTTTCCTTCAGTGGATACCATCATGGTGAATGTGGGAAACGAGAAGGCAGAAAGGAGTATCACAGTCATGTTGCGTCAGTCTGATGAACTAGGTCAGACCTACCTGGTCGATTGTGTGACTGATATAAAAGGGTGGAACCAGACCTACCTGGTCGATTGTGTGACTGATATAAAGGGGGCGGAACCAGACCTACTCGATTGATTGTGTCACTGATATAAAGGGGGCGGAACCAGACCTACCTGGTCGATTGTGTGACTGATATAAAGGGGGCGGAACCAGACCTACCTGGTCGATTGTGTGACTGATATAAAGGGGGCGGAACCAGACCTACCTTGTAGTTTGTGTGACTGATATAAAAGGGGTGGAACCAGACCTACCTTGTCGTTTGTGTGACTGATATAAAGGGGGCGGAACCAGACCTACCTGGTCGATTGTGTGACTGATATAAAAGGGGCGGAACCAGACCTACCTGGTCGATTGTGTGACTGATATAAAGGGGGCGGAACCAGACCTACCCGGTTGATTGTGTGACTGATATATAGGGGACGGAACCAGACCTACCCGGTTGATTGTGTGACTGATCTAAAGGGGGCGGAACCAGACCTACCTGGGCGATTGTGTGACTGATATAAAGGGGGCGGAACCAGACCTACCTGGTCGATTGTGTGACTGATATAAAGGGGGTGGAACCAGACCTACACGGTTGATTGTGTGACTGATATAAAGGGGGCGGAACCAGACCTACCTGGGCGATTGTGTGACGGATATAAAGGGGGCGGAACCAGACCTACCTGGGTGATTGTGCGACTGATATAAAGGGGGCGGAACCAGACCTACCTGGGCGATTGTGTGACTGATATAAAGGGGGCGGAACCAGACCTACCTGGGCGATTGTGTGACTGATATAAAGGGGGCGGAACCAGACCTACCTGGGCGATTGTGTGACTGATATAAAGGGGGCAGAACCAGACCTACCTGGTCGATTGTGTGACTGATATAAAGATGATAAGGACCACATGATTCTTTCATATTCTGTCATGGCATGACAGATTAACTGTAGTAATATGAAAGAATCTGCTGTCCTGTACCTCTTTTGGGTAGTATGCATTAAGTCTGCATATTTAGGTCAAATCACATGGAATCTTGACAATAAATATTGCAGAGCAGATTCAAAAGGAAAAGCTGGCTGTAGACACATGTTTGTAGGGGCTATTTCTAGAAGTGAACTTGAAATGCTACTAACAACACATTTTCCAATATTTGACTACCAAAAAAGGGTCTTTAAAGAGTAGTAAGTTATTTATTTCAGCAAGTGTATTATTGTCTTGTATCGATACAGAAAGAAAGGTATCATCATGATATGTATTTAGATGTGATGATCCTGTACATGATACTATCATGTACAGGATCATCACATCTAAATACAATGCACCGATGTGTCGTTTCACCCCAAACAGACATATTTGGTTAATAATCTCAGGACTATGCCCTCCTCACACCTGATGACAGAACACTGCAACTCGGTACAGTCTGTGCCAAACGGGTTTGTGACGACCAGCCCGAACCCCCTTTTATCATCATTTTCAGTAGAATTTAGTGTCATTATGTGGACTATCTTTGCTGAGCTTACTAGACTGAACAGAATTTGACTTGACTCTGGCCTCGGACAAGTGGCTAAAGTCGCAGACTGCTGGTAAATCAGCACACCCTAATGTCAAACCACAGCTGCCGTTGAGTGATGTTGCCTTAGTTCTTCTTCCATCAGTATCCATGGTTACAGGAAGACAGTAATAAGGGTTTGTATCTCACATGTAAGTTTGGGAAATGTTTCGTAAACAAAACCATCATGTAAACATATAATTGTTTACAAATAAGCCAAACAGTCAGACAGTCGACAGTTTCCATATAACAACAAATTGGATTTGAAAACATTGTGTTAGATTGGTTATAAAGATGTTGTCAAACTTGATCACCACAAAATTCAAAGATCACCATTGCAATGTCAGATAATGTACACCAATCACTTCAATAACAGGGACTATGTGTGGAAGAACTATACATACATGAATGGAAACAAAACATGGATAAACTTTAAGGCCTAACCCTGCCTACATTTCAAGTCTCTCTAAGTCTTCATACCATGAACAATCTCAAACATTACCCCCATAATTTTAACAAATTAAACCATGGTACTTCGGAATCTCCAAACAGCCAATTATGGATCGACAAGTGATGATTTAGACACAGTTTCCATGGGTTAATTCCTTAACCACATGATTCCCAAAAATCAGTAACACCGAAAAAACATTACTGTATTCGTTGTAATAAGCACCCTGGGTGCTCTAAAAATTGACAATGGGGGTCGCATATCAAAACAATACTGAGCGAGCTTAATTTTGCTTTATATTTTGTTTGTTGTTGAATGCCGCACATAATAGCATAATAATGACAAGCCTCATACAAAGAATTCTGGTAAATAAAATGCATTACCTGTTTACCCCAAAAGCAGAGGCATGGCAAAGTGATACAAGTACCCAGCTTTGAAAAGCATGCAATATTTCTCATTGTTCTGAAAACGTGAGAAATGTAAAAGTTAACTATTCATTTTGATATCATGCAGTACTGAATCTACTGAGTCCCTTAAATCTCTACAAGAACCATCATAAAATGCCTTGGGCACAAAGTAAATCAAACACCATGGTCGTCTGTAGTAATCAGCCTTAGAAATTCGTTTTGGAGCTGGTCCTGCTTGAGCAAGACTAAATTGTTTACTGTGTTTACATTTTCTGCCAGTTTTATTCAGTTCCAATTTGTAGCAAAATTGATGCCTTGAGAACTGGTTCTGAATTATAGTGAGTGAGTGAGTGAGTGAGTATGGTTTTACGCCGCCTTTAGCAATATTCTAGCAATATCACTGCGGGGAACCAGAAATGGGCTTCACACAATGTACCAAAGTCGGGAATCGAACCCGGGTCTCCGGCGTGACAAGCGAACGCTTTACCCACTAGGCTACCCGATCGCCCGGGTTCAGAATTACAGCACTCAAATGCTGCAAGTCAATGATGATGAGCATCATTGGAACTTGACTTGTCCTCAGCACAATTTAGTAGTCTCAGGCTTGCAGACCAGCGTGAATTTCTAAGGCTGTGTATTTGGTCCACATAATCTCCAACAGTCCACTATTGCACTCATACCTCATCGTAACAATCAGTTAAAATCATAAAATCTCTATGAAACAGAGGAACCACGTGTTGTATGGCCGCTCTAGTGACACAGACAAAGACATTTCTTATCACAGAAACGAAGGCAGATCAGTGTCGCTGCTGTCGCTGCTGCTGGTGGAGTGGTTGTCCATGCCGGCATCAGTGTCAGAATCTCCTGTTAAGTCCAATACTTCATCAACTGCAACAGAAAGTACACCACTGCCAGTCAATGACGTCTCTTTCCCATACCAGGGCTCAGGAACTGGATTTAACTTGCACCAGGTGCATGTTGACATAAAAAGCCAGTTGCACCGGACAAAACCAGGTTGCACCCTGGTCCTATCAAGTTATCAAAGTGTAAACATAGATGTACAGCATGGCCTAAAAACATAATTTCAGATATCTGATGATTGTGTCATGATTTTGCATAAATTAATGACATATTGCTGTAAAACATATCATCTTGAAGCACCCAAAGTTTGATAATGTCAAGAAAGAATGACAAATTACACGTAACAGAGGGATAAGGGATGTACCCATTAGTATCATAACAAAAGCTCAGCAGTATTTAGTGTGTTTAAAGATCGATGATGTGTGGGAAAAAATTAGAAGTGAGACAAATGTGTATTTTTTTACATGCACTTGGTTCATGTCAACATAAATATTAGGTTGAGATTTTCAATAATAGGTTGCACCGGTGGATGTTTTTTTTATAAAGATAAAACCGAGCCCAGCTTACACAAAAAAATCCTAATCCTAAGTTACAATTACATGTCAAGATCAAGAACAAAATACTATCAACAACAAAGACTGTTAACCTCAAAAAGATATTGCTGGATCTATATATTTAAAAAGAAATCTGCCTGTATATGTAATAGTGTATTCATGCATGTTATTATGGTATCTCAGTGGGCTGGCACTAGAAAATTGGCATCAGTATAGACTAGTACAAGCAGCCACACACTCACTCACTCACTCATGGACGCACACGCACGCGTATGCACATCGCTATATAAATGCAATAATCTTGGACGTGACGTTAAACCCCATTTCACCTCACCTGACAATCTTTATCAGTTTTGTCAATACAGGTCACCTTTGCAAGAGGAAAAAATTATCTTTTTGCTGTAATACAGAATGAAAAGAGTGAGTGAGTGAGTTGGGTTTAACGCCGCTTTTAACATTATTCCAGTTATATCACGGCGTGTCAGCTTAATGTGGGAGGAAAGCCCGAAGTGATGCAGGTCTCAGACGTTTACCATTTCGGTGAAACCCACGAGCACGGGTATGGTGCTGACAAACCTAGAAACATAATCGGGGCGAACCGTGATTCGAACCCACAATCATAGGACGCAACTCTGCACAGGGAATCGCGGCGCCTTAGACGACTGGGCCACCCGTGCCCCTTCAGTAAATGGAAAGTCCACAGAATCCTTTATTCAGTGTCACGGTTTTCCAACATGCCCCTGATTCAAGGGCGGAAACTGTTGTAAGCCAATGACATGGTGCTAAAGTGTGGAGTCAATGAAGAAATAACACAGCAAAATGTCCGAATATTTCCTTACTGCTTCAAAAATAGTTCCTTATTTAATTTCTTCCAATCACTGCATGTTTTGATCAATGGATAAGAAATGGGGTGCTCAGCAAACAACGAACAGCAGCATAGCTGCCAACTTTCCATAATTACAATTAGTATTCTGTTATGATCGTCTGGTGGGGACACCAAAGCCGACGATGTGTTTGTTTGTTGTTTACTTCAAAATCAGCAATATTCCAGCTATATGATGGCGGTCTGTAAATAAACGAGTCTGGACCAGACAATCCAGTGATCGATATCATGAGCATCGATCCACGCAATTGGGATCGATGACATGCATCAACCAAGTCGGCGAGCCTGACGATGTGAAATGTCTACAGTGCAACACAGCCAATGTGATTCCGAAACAGGTGATAATTTGATCTCTTCGTTTCTATTTTGACTGCAACAACTTCCCATAATATGAGTGGAGTGTCTTGATTGGACAGATGCAAAACCATAAAGAGACTCAAAACCAATTGATAAACAAGAAGTGTTTGTAGCAGATGGTTAGGATAAATATTGACCTGTTCTTTACAGGTGTATCGTCCATGTGATTTGTTTTTTGTAGATTGGCATATTATTCGTATAAATCATGGAAGAAATCCTATTTTAGTTGCAAATTTGTAACAAATGTGAACACTTTGAGACAGTTGTCAGCTATGCAGTATGTAAGATAGACGCCCCTCTCACCTTGGATTCTGCGTTTCTTCTGTGCCCTGTCACATGGTTCCTGCTTGATAGGAACGGCTCCAGGAGCAGCTACAGCTCGACTGATGGATGCAGGTCTTTTCAAATTGTTCGCATTCAGACACAGTTTGTAGTAGTGCTTTGGTACAGCATCACTGTTCATAGTCGGCACATTCACTGGGGCCATCACAGGTCCACTCACAGCATCTGTCGTCATGGTAACCTGAGGTAGCACCAACATAACTTTTCTATTATTGTCCAGCCGGACAATCTGTTGTAAAGGATGTTTGCCGAGCACGTGACTTGGAAGACTTTCTCTGACACCACTGGCATTTACCAAGGCAGTGACTTGGGAGGAATCAGGAAGAGGACGAGAGGGTTCACAAACTTGACCACCTTTGAACTTGTTTCCAAAAGCAGAGGTCTGGATTATAGAATGTAGACTGGAGACCCTGAGGTTCTCGTTCAGAAGCTTACAAGCTGAGGCCCCTGTTGGTGTGTTAGAGGCAGAGGCTTGTCTGAGTTCGGGATTCCCCTGCCTTTCCTCAGAGGCCGGCCTGGCTGTGTTTGGAGTGCTCGCAGACTTGATGAGAGAGTGATACGGGGGCATCTCTGTAAGCTTTGTATCTGTAGTGACATACAGGGTAATATGTGAGAATGATACGAGGGCATCTCTGTAAACTTTGTATCTGTAGTGACATACAGGGTAATATGAGAGAGTGATACGAGGGCATCTCTGTAAACTTTGTATCTGTAGTGACATACAGGGTAATATGTGAGAGTGATATGAGGGCATCTCTGTAAACTTTGTATCTGTAGTGACATACAGGGTAATATGAGAGAGTGACAGGAGGGCATCTCTGTAAACTTTGTATCTGTAGTGACATACAGGGTAATATGTGAGAATGATACAAGGGCATCTCTGTAAACTTTGTATCTGTAGTGACATACAGGGTAATATGAGAGAGTGACAGGAGGGCATCTCTGTAAACTTTGTATCTGTAGTGACATACAGGGTAATATGTGAGAATGATACGAGGGCATCTCTGTAAACTTTGTATCTGTAGTGACATACAGGGTAATATGAGAGTGACAGGAGGGCATGCCGCAAGCTAGGTGTCTGTAATGATATGACTAAAATGAACATTTTCCAATTGATGTTCATGAAATCCCAAATCCCAAAATTACAAAATCATTTTAGCTGTGAATAGACCAACAACAGAGTGAGTGAGTATTGGTTCATGCCACTTTTAGCAATATTCCAGCTATAGCACCATGGGCGATGCCGAAATAGGCTTCACACACTGTACCCATGAAGAGAATCGAACCCAGGTCTTCATCATGTGAGCGACAACTGGGCTACCCCACTATCCCCCCCAACATCACTACGAAGAGCAAACTCCATAAACCAAATAACTTCTCACTTCTCACCTTCCTGCCCATAGTTAAAGTTCAACACATCACGTGACTCCGACACAATCGATGGCAATGGTTCTTGTTTCACTCCTGGTCCTTGAGGTTCTTCCTCCAGGCGTTTCAGACTGTCCTCCACATCATGCCGAAGAGCTCCCAACACATCGTCCACAGTCTCCTCTGCAGCAGCAACCTCGGCCACGTTAGGTTCTGCCACGCTGTCTGGCGTCAGAGCGGGGAATTGGAGACCACAGTCCTGGAAGAGCTGATGGAGCTCGATGAGGCACTGGGACACACCTGTAGTGAGTGAGTGAGTGAGTGAGTGAGTGAGTGAGTGAGTGAGTGAGTGAGTGAGTGAGTGAGTGAGTGAGTGAGTGAGTGAGTGAGTGAGTGAGTTCAATGCCACTGTGTACAATATTTCCATCATACAAGAGGGGGAGGTACTAGAATCGTGGGCCATTTCCGACTTGTGAACCAACAATCAGTCGCGACAAAACCAAGAACATAATTAGGACTATATGAGACTCACATTCACGATCCATAGATCCTGGCACAAATAAGGGATGCAACTCTGTACATAGAATAGTGATGCTTTAGCTGCCAGGGCCCCCACTGCCCCATTATGCATGGTAGCAGGGGTAAGTGAGATTCCTACCTGCTGAGAAGTTCTGTCTCAAATCCAGACAGCTGTCTCGAGACTGCCACAGCGGTTCGAATGCCACCTTGAAGCCCCGGCACAGGGCCACCAACACGCCCTTCACTTTCTCCACCACGCTCACCTGGAATGAGAGGCAATGCAAGCTGACTACATCTTAAAGAGGGACTGCTCAACAGCGATGGAAGTGGCACTAGTCCTGAAGTCCTTGCCAAGCTGCCCAAAGGTAAAAGGTATCAAAAGGACTAGAAGAAATTTACGGTTATTAAGGGCTTTTCTACAACTGGTTCTGAAACTGGTATTATGGTCAAAGGTGAAACGGGTACTACGGTCAATGGAGAAAAGTGGTATTACGGTCGATGGTGAAAGGGGTATTACAGTCAATGGTGAAACTGGTAATATGGTCAAAGGTGAAACGGGTACTACAGTCAATGGTGAAACTGGTATTATGGTCAATGGTGAAACTGGTATTACGGTCAATGGTGAAACTGGTATTACGGTCAATGGTGAAACTGGTATTACGGTCAATGGTGAAACAGGTATTATCGTCAATGGTGAAACTGTATTATTCAATAGTGAAATTGGTATCACACATCAATCCTTATACCTGTAGTTTTGACAGTCTATTCTTTATCTCTTGCACGGTGTTATGAAACATGCCGTGGCGACTGCTGTCGATGTGACCGGCCATCATCTGCTTCATCCGGTTGTAGCATCCAGCACCATGTTCTCTACTCGCCTTCTCATAGGCATTCAACATGGCTGCCTGTAGAAGAACCCATTTAGTTATCTCACAACATATCAGCTTAACTTGATGAGGAAGTCTGTGAATACGTGAGGAAGCTTTCAAATATTTACTGCTTTGGTGGTAACATCCCAAAGAATGTGATTGAAAAAAGAAAGAACCTACAATCAGCCATCTGCGTCTTTTTGATACTGATGCAATAGAGATGTGCCCAAATTTGTTTCCTGTTTGATGCCGCTGTCTGCATTATTCCAGCACCATCAGAGGCAAATGATCAAATCTTGACCAGGTGAGGTGAGGAGAGGTGAGGTGGGCTTTAAAGTCGTGGCCAAGATTATCGGACTTATATAGCGACATGTTTGCACGTGTGTGTGTGTGTGTGTGTGTGTGTGTGTGTGTCTGCTTGTACTAGTCCAGCCCCTTCATGCCATGTGCCAGGCAGGGTAACAGCAAGTACCATCTTTTGGATGACGCTGCCGGGGATCAAACCACTGACCTTCTACTCTCAGGGCAGATGCTCTCCCACTACACCACGGAGGTGGTGCCCAGTTTATCGAGACACATCAAGCACCTACCTGTATATTAGGGGTAATAATTCTTGAGATCTCCCTCTGTTGGCTTGTTACATAATCTTTCATCAGCTCAACCATTTCGTTCAGCTGCAAAGGAAAATTGGTTCAATAAAACCTTTCAATTAGGCTAAAAAAGAAGAAGTCTTGGTCAGGATGGTAATAGGAGTTTGTATGCTTGTTTATTTAGGGAGGCCCTTTCCCAGGTTGATAGTACACAACAGTTTATTTGGTTACATACTAGTTTGAACAAGAAAAGAATAAACAAAAAAACAACACAACGCCTGCCCGCAATATATTTTAAATAGTCATTGCCTGAGAACCGATTCTTTTCTTTTTTTTAAGCCCTGGTGGGCGATTTTAATTGATTAAAGGCTGCAATAAACAATATTCAAGCTATACCACGGCGGCCTGTATGTAAGTTTAATGCAGACAAACCAGTGACTGAAATGATGAACAACAATCCACACCATCGCTCTAGGATCCCAAGTGAAGATCTGGGTCAGAAAAGGTCTTCAGCAACCATGCTTGTCGTAAGAGGTGACTAACAGGATCGGGTAGTAGAGCTCACTGATTTGGTTGATGCATGTCATCATATCCTGTTTGTGTAGGTTGATGCTCATGATATCAATCACAGGGTTGTTTGGTCTAGACATTTTTATTGACAGACCGCTGTCATGTAGCTGGAATATTACTGACTTCATGCAATCTGCCAAGTCACACAGCTTGAGTCCCGTGTTTGGAGTGGGTTATAATAGTGAGTGAGTTGGGTTTAACGCCGCTTTTAACAGTATTCCAGTTATATCCCGGCATGTAAGCTTAATGTGTGAGGAAAGCCTGAAGTGATGCAGGTCTCAGATGTTTACTATTTCGGTGAAACCCACGAGCATGGGTATAGTGCTGACAAACCTAGAAACATAATCGGGGCGAACCTGGATTCGAAAACCAAAATCATAAGTTTCTGGCGTGCCCAAGGGATGCAACTCTGCACAGCGAATCGCGGCGTGTGGGTTATAATAAGGGAATAAGGGAACAAGGAATCACAGATACTAGCTGCTTAACAAAGTATGGTGCTTTATGTGCTGAAACATCAGAATACTTAATTTGCATATATTTCAGGCAGTGGAAGTGTGTATGATAGCTACTTTGTAAGCTAACATAAAGTTTGCATCCGTAAAGAAAATGCACAGGGGCGGTCGGGTAGCCTAGCGGTTGAAGCGTTCGCTCATCACGCCGAAGACCCAGGTTTGATTCTCGACATTGGTACAATGTGTGAAGCCCATTTCTAGTGACCCCGCCGTGATATTGCTGGAATATTGCTAAAAGCGGCGTAAAACCACATTCACTCACTCACTCTACACTGCACAACACCATCATGATGTCACATTTATTGTGACCACAAATACTTTGAATATTGTATTTAAAACTCTGTATTTTGTAACCTATAATTGTATATATCATTATTTTAAAATGCATTCTGACAATGATTGAGAAGGAAGTTCTTTTCTATAAACAGTAACTTCCGGGTTGATGTTGTCAAATCACCTGTTTCAATCAGAGGTGGTTATAGTGATTTGAAACCCCTGACTGACCAATCACAATTGAGCAATTTCCAATTTCATGGTAGAATAATTAATTTATTATCCAAAAATCTTGCTTGAATGGGAACTGACCTTAGCGGTGGCATTCCGAAGAATCTGATGAATGACGCCCTCTATCTGAAGTCTGTCGAAGCCGATGAGAGTCAAGTTCTTCTTGATGTCATCAGTAAAGGCTGCCAGTGCGGCACTCATGGATGTCTTCACCTTCTCCAGTGTGCTCCAGAAGAGAGACCTGAAGCATCCCTTAGCATCACAACAAGGCCGTGAAATAGTTAACTAAGGTCCTTGGCAACTGCTCTTTAGAAAGGACAAGGTATGTATCACAGGGGCTCGGTTTGGCCCATGGGACACCAGGGTATGTGTAATCCAAGACATGAGGAAAACCTCTGCATATCATCATGAAAGTTATCAGATGTATTCACATGACTGGGAATTAGATTTTGTTTATTAGTGCAGTGCAGTGCAGTGCAGTGCAGGAGTGAGTGTGAGTGAGTGTGAGTGAGTGAGTGAGTGAGTTAGCGAGCGAGCGAGCGAGGTTTTACGCCGCTTTTAGCAATATGTCAGCAGGGGACACCATACGAGTGAATGCTTTAACCACCAGGCTACCCCAGCGCCCTTTAACAATTGCATGTTTGGGGCTCATAACAACACTAAACGTTTAGGTAAGATTAAAACAGTTTTCAAGAAACACTTTTGTAATGTGAAAGTTGACCTCAGCAGATTTTCTTAGGAGATGTAGATAAAACTACTATGAGCATACAATAAAAACTTCATCGCGGGTCACTGACTTCTTCTTCCTTAACTCTATACATTAAATATCACTGCCCTTTGCACTCGTTCAGCCATACTTTTGTATGCTTTCATGTCAGATGTCCAAGAGGTGCAAGCGAAAGAAGATAAACAAGACAGTTGTCAGAACATGTCTGATAATTTTCATACCAACATTTTCTTCTGCCACTTTGACATTTCAAGTAGACCAAAAAGGCCGTTATCCTGCCTTGTCCTTTGCCCTTGAAAAACAACGCACCACAGCAAATTACACTGCGCCCCACATGGTAACTTTCATCTTCCCAAGGCAAGGGAGTTAACTGACCATAAAAATCCTGTTTCCACCCTTGCGGAACTAGGCTGAAATTTCAGAGTTATCTTTTGGCTGGACTAACGAGTTTATGCACAGTGTAATCAGAATCGCGTAACGAAATCAACATCCAGTTCGCAAAATGCCCTGCAGATTTCAGTCAATTGCAGGATTTGCAAAGCATGTATTCCGTCAACTTTGTGTCTACTGATATTTTAAAAATTTTTCACGTTTTTAATCAACGTACACAAGTAATTTGCTGCACTTGCCAAGGTAGGGCATAGGGCACTTGGGACCTAAACAGCCTGGGATCCCTATAAAGAGACAAGCATAGGGCGTTAGAGTCCTACACAGCCATGGCATCTTTACAGGGAGACAAGTGTGAATCACTGGGATCTACGAGCTCTGGGACTCTAATAGGGAGACAAGTGTGAATCACTGGGATCTACGAGCTCTGGGACTCTAATAGGGAGACAAGTGTGAATCACTGGGATCTACGAGCTCTGGGACTCTAATAGGGAGACAGGTGTGGGGCATTGGGATCTACAAGCTCTGGGACTCTAATAGGGAGACAAGTGTAGGGCATTGGGATCTACGAGCTCTGGGACTCTAATAGGGAGACAAGTGTGGGGCATTGGGATCTACGAGCTCTGGGACTCTAATAGGGAGACAAATGTGAATGACTGGGGTCTACGAGCTCTGGGACTCAAATAGGGAGACAAGTGTGAATCACTGGGATCTACGAGCTCTGGGACTCTAATAGGGAGACAAGTGTGAATCACTGGGATCTATGAGCTCTGGGACTCTAATAGGGAGACAAGTGTGGGGCATTGGGATCTACGAGCTCTGGGACTCAAATAGGGAGACAAGTGTTGGTCATTGGGATCTACGAGCTCTGGGACTCAAATAGGGAGACAAGTGTGGGGCATTGGGATCTACGAGCTCTGGGACTCTAATAGGGAGACAAGTGTGAATCACTGGGATCTATGAGCTCTGGGACTCTAATAGGGAGACAAGTGTGGGGCATTGGGATCTACGAGCTCTGGGACTCAAATAGGGAGACAAGTGTTGGTCATTGGGATCTACGAGCTCTGGGACTCAAATAGGGAGACAAGTGTGGGGCATTGGGATCTACGAGCTCTGGGACACTAATAGGGAGACAAGTGTGGGGTACGTGAGACCTCCATGCTTCTGAGATCTCCACATGTAGACAAGCGTAAGGCATAAGGGATCTTCACATCCCCAAGATCCCCTCAGGGAGACAAGCATGGGATCTGAGACTCTCACAGGGCAGTTGACATGGGATCTGAGACTTTCACAGGGCAGTCGTCATGGGATCTGAGACTCACAGGGCAGTCGTCATGGGACCTGAGACTCACAGGGCAGTCGTCATTGGATCTGAAACTCTCACAGGGCAGTCGTCATGGGATCTGAGACTCTCACAGGGCAGTCATCATTGGATCTGAAACTCTCACAGGGCAGTCGTCATGGGATCTGAGACTCTCACAGGGCAGTCATCATGGGATCTGAGACTCTCACAGGGCAGTCGTCATGGGATCTGAGACTCTCACAGGACAGTCATCATGGGACCTGAGACTCTCACAGGGCAGTCGTCATGGGATCTGAGACTCTCACAGGGCAGTTGTCATGGAACCTGAGACTCACAGGGCAGTCGTCATGGGATCTGAGACTCACAGGGCAGTCGTCATGGGATCTGAGACTTTGCAGTCGTCATGAGACCCAGAGAGGAGAAGGCTGCCACAAGAACCTCACAGAAGACGTAACTCACCCAAAGACCTTGTTCCAGCAAAAGGTGACCGCGACCAGGAGGGGCTCGGCCAGCTCGATGTTGAAGTCCACCATTCCGGCTGTTGGCGAGCTGTACCTGCCCTGTCTCGACACCGTTGCTCGATACGTCATGAAGGCCAGTCCACCAAGGTGCCGGTTTTCTTTGTTCACCTGCAACAGGGACGTTCAACATTCAAGAATGCAGAGATACGGACCCAAAAAAAGAGTACTACTCATCACCATTAGCATGTATCTCTTGCCTTTCATTGGATCACCCAAGGTCCTCAAGATCTAGTTGTCAAAGGTGTTGCAATTCGCTGTGCAGAACGGCATCCCTTGGGTGTGCCAGAACTCTATTATTGTGGGTTTGAATCCTGGTTCTCCTTGATTATGTTTCTAGGTTGGACAGCACCATAACTGTGCTCATGGGTTTCACCGAAGTGGTAAACATCTGGGATCTGCCAAACTTCAGTACTTCCTCCCACATCAAGCTGACACCCCATGATATAAGGAATATATTGTTCAATGTGGCATAAAACCCAACTATACAAAGGCACTCACTCTTTCATGCAAGCACAACGTATTGAACCTTCAACCAACCATCATCCAAGGGGCATGATGACCTTTGTACTATCGGTCCAATTATAGAATATGTCTCGAAACTGTGTTCATGGTCTCAAGCCGCTTTTAGCAACAATCAGCACACAAATATATATACTGAACCGCAAAAGAAACATCACCCCAAGTAACATTGCATAAAAAGTTGTCATTTAAATATCTGGGTAATTTTTGTCAAAGTTTCTAAAATTTAACATTACCTTGTCCGGAAAAATGAAATTTGATGATAAAAAACAAAACAGATGACAATAAAACCGATCGCCCAAACACATCATGGCAACGGCCATGGTAACCCGATGCACATGTGTGCAAATTGAATTTCAAATGCGTTCCCCCATTTCTTGCCCTATAAAAATCCACCCAGATCGGATAACTTTCATTCGGTATTGAATTGCTACCACATGCCAAAATTGACAAGAAATCAGTGACACCAAGCCCATGGACGATTGCAAGCTGGACAAACCGCCCGGCAAGTAGTCAACAGGGACACATTAGTGTGGACACCGTGCGCCGACGATTGACGAGCAGACACCTCCACTATCACAGGCCACAACGAGGACCCATTGTGACACCACATCATCGCCGTGACCGTCTTCAGTGGGCAACACAGCACCAGCATTGACGCCACCAGCAGTGGAGAAGAGTCCTCTTCTCAGACGAGAGCCGTTACTGTATCTCAACAGCAGATGGCAGAGAGAGAGACTAATGACGCTGTTGGAAACGTTATTCAGATGCTTGTGTTGTTGAGAGAGACACGTGGGGTGGTCCGAGCATCATGGTGTGGGATTGAATTGGTCTTGCACGCCATACCTCATTTGGCACGTCGCCGCAAACACGAGTTTCATCATGATAACGCCTGTGCCAACACTGCGAGAGCAACAAGAGATTTTCTCCAGCAGAATGGCATCAGAACCATGCAGTGGCCTGCCCTCAGTCCTGATTTAAATCCCATTGAGCACCTGTTGGATGAGATTGAAAGAAGGCTGAATGACGTCCGACCAAGGCCGAAAACTGCAGCTGAACTGTGTCAGGCGTTCTTCAGAGTGTGGGCTCAAGTGCCTATGGCCTTCATCAACCTCCTCATCTATTCCTTGTATCATCAGCAGTCATCAATGAACATGGCGGACACACGAGATACTGACTTGTGATGCCATTTTCTCGGAGACTAGTGGTGTGTTTCACTTTAAGAACATTTGACACTTTAATTTCAACCTTGATGATCAGTTTTGCCAAGTTTAATCTTTTTAATATGTCTCAAAGTATGTTTGCAATTTTTGGTTTCAAATAAGGTTTCTCATATATCTATCAATGGTAATGTTTCTTTTGCAGTTCAGTATATATGGTAGAATATATGACAATGCCTATAGCAAGGTCAATATATACTTTAAATTACTGGCGTGTATTTTGGATAAAATTGGCATGTCTCACATAACTGAATTGGAGGAATTTGGTTCAAAGATACGTCATTATTTTGTGAAAGTCATAATGGTTGTGGTGTGTGCATCACCCACCTTGCTGCCCCACCTGTCACTGGTGGCTGGGGCCTGCTGAGAGGCCATCTGGGATCCAGCCTCTATGTAGGGATTCAGGAGGCTGTCGAACAGCCCTAGGATGTCTTCACGGAGCTGGGACACGATTGGGTCGACCCTCTGCAGCAGGGCTGTCACATGCTTCGTCACCACAGGCTGAACCTTGCCTCCTCCCTGATGGTATTACAGTAGATGATGTGTATGACAGTTGAAAACATGCTTGTTAAAGGGGGATTCTGGCTTACTGCCCATTGTGTGCCTTGTTCTAGACTTTGTCATTGATGATACCAGCAGGAAACTGTGTGTGATAACAGCAGGAAACTGTGTGTGATAACAGCAGGAAACTGTGTGTGATAACAGCAGGAAACTGTGTGTGATAACAGCAGGAAACTGTGTGTGATACCAGCAGGAAACTGTGTGATACCAGCAGGAAACTGTGTGTGATAACAGCAGGAAACTGTGTGTGATACCAGCAGGAAACTGTGTGTGATAACAGCAGGAAACTGAGTGTGATAACAGCAGGAAACTGAGTGTGATAACAGCAGGAAACTGAGTGCATGAGTGAGTATGTTTTTACACCGCTTTTAGACATATTCCAGCAATATTACAGCAGGTGACACCATTAATGGGCTTCATGCATTGTACCCATGAGGGGAATTGAACCCGGGTCTTCAGTGTGACAAGTGAACGCTTTAACCAGTAGGCTAGCCCACCACCTTGCGGGAAGCTGAGACACTATCTTGGTGTAATTTGGGTAATCATTAACTGCTGAACTGATATAAATCATGTGTAAAGACATTGATATTTGTGGTTCAACACCACACTCGAGAGAGAGACTGCTGATGTTTGTATGTCCTGATGTTTACGCCTTGGTTGGAACAAGAGAGCTGGTGTGTTATGGACAAACCGAGAATCCGAATCAAGGGGTTGGTTGGTTGAATGGTTTGTTGTTTAACGCTGCACTCAGCAGTATTCCAGCTATATGACGGCGGTCTGTAAATAATCGAGTCTGGACCAGACAATCCAGTGATTAATATCATGAGCATTGATCCACGCAATTGGGATCGATGATATGCATCAACCAAGTCAGCGAGCCTGACCACCCGATCCCGTTAGTTGCCTTTTACGACAAGCATAGTCACCCTTTACGGCATGCATGGGTTGCTGAAGACCTATTCTACCCCGGAATCCCAAATCAAGGGGAATGTTGTGTGCCATTAGGGTATGATAACACACAATGCAATCACTGAGTAGGTCTCTAGCACCTCAAGCCCATCATTACAGCTCACTAAATGTCTGACTGGGTGATTATGAGTCATCACATTATCAATCATCAGTTTATCTAGTCTTCACTTCAATATTCAAAGCAATATTTGCAAGAGGACAAAGTCATCAATATCAAATGCAATTGTTGCCATGGAAACTTGATAAATATCCCAAACTATCAAAAGGAATCAGTTCTGTTTGGTGAAGAAATATTGTACGTTTATCAAGATCTACTTCGGAAAACAAATCTTGCACGGACAGACGGACACACGGCCGGTGTCCATTTTTATACCCCACCACAAAACTAGTTGCAGGGGGATAAGAAAACACTCATGCAATGAAGCCAATGCCAACCTTCCCATTATGTCCCGACATCTTGAGATAATTATCCAGATCCAACACAAAATGTCCAAGTTTCTCCACGACCTGCCTCACTCCCCGATCCCGCCGCTGAAGCGAGGTTGCATGGACGAACTCCCTCAATGCTGGGATCTCGGTCTCCTCGGGGGTGCTGAAAACCTGTCACATACACACATATTACCCACAGATCGTGTAGACAGAGTTTAATTACTCCATAAACTTCCTTTCCAAATCATGTCAGGTCCAAGTATTTGATCCCAAGGTGTCTCTGACAGTGATAGTCTCTCCACCCATCAATGCCCAAGAAGGTGTAATATTTATTCCAGGTACATTTGTGTAATTGGAGACTTTTTCATTTTCAAACCATAAATCTGTAGAATGCAGCCTTAGACAATTGTTTAAAGACTAGTCCTAAGGACTAGTGTGATCCTTAGTTCCCTAGTCCTCAAAGTTTGCAGCTAGTCTTGTTTCAACAAGATAAAAATGTTTACTACGTTTACATTTTCTGTCAGTTTTATCCAGTTCGAGTTTGAAGAAAAATTGAAGCATTGAGAACTGGTTCAGAATTATAGCCTCAAATGCTACAAGTCAATAAGGACTACCATCACTGTATTTCTGCTTGTCCTCAGCACAATGTAATAGTCTTGGGCTAACAGACTAATTTCCAAGGTCGAAAGAGTGCCAACAGGATATCTCTTTTCCTAAATGATATTCCAGTTTCTTAAAGAATGTGAAAGGCATCATAATAATCAAATGGGATCTGAGGGTTTTTCAAATATTATTATCAACCAAAATAAGTGTAAATCGAAATCAGTCAAACTCTATATACCTAATCATAATTAAGTGGGGCTTCAGGCAAGATGACCTTTCCACCTCCTCCAATCATATGAAGCATATCTTGAAACAGTTCCCTCGCAAACAGCAAATAGGAAAAGATTTCAGTGACCTTTAAAGATAAGGTCAAGGTCACAACATTCATCCACTGCCTGTGGACTTCCCAAGAAACAGACCATTGTTCGATGCTTCCCACATCATACCAACCTGCGGTGCCCCATCCACATCAGTCAGCAGACTGGTCATCTTCATGTAGTCGGTCGAGCTGACACAGAACACCTTCAGGTTATCCACAACGTTGCCCATGTCCTCGTCGGCAACACCGTCCCCGTCCCCGTCGTCATAGTCCAGGATGTCTTCCTCCTCCTCCCCCATGAACACACTAGCAGACTTCTGCTTCAGCTCCTGGCACACCAGAGTGAGTGAGTGAGTGAGTGAGTGAGTGAGTGAGTGAGTGAGTGAGTGAGTGAGTGAGTGTGTGAGTGAGTGAGTGAGTGTGGGCTTGCGTGAGTGAATGTGGGCGTGAGTGAGTGTGTGAGTGAGTGAGTGAGTGTGGGCTTGCGTGAGTGAATGTGGGCGTGAGTGAGTGTGGGAGTGAGTGAATGTGGGCGTGAGTGAGTGTGAGCGAGTGTGGGCGTGAGTGAGTGTGTGAGCGAGTGTGGGCGTGAGTGAGTGAGTGTGGGCGTGAGTAAGTGAATGTGGGCGTGAGAATGTGGGTGTGAGTGAGTGAGTGAGTGAATGTGGGCATAAGTGAGTGAGTGAGTGAGAGTGAATATGGGCATGAGCGAGTGTGGGCGTGAGTGAGTGTGGGAGCGAGTGTGGGAGTGAGTGAGTGAATGAATGTGGGCGTGAGTGAGTGGGACGGGCGAGTGTGGTTGTGAGTGTTTGTTGTTTAATATTCCAGAAATAAGATGGCAATAATCAAGTATGGATGGACCAGACAATCCACTGATTGACATGAGTATCGATCCAAGCAATTGGGATATGATGACATTCATCAACCAAGTCAGCGAGCCTGATCACCCGATCCCGTTAGTCGACTCTTAAGACAATCATAGTTGCCTTTTGCTGAGTGAGTGAGTGAGTGAGTGAGTGAGTGATTAAGTGAGTGTCTTACGCCATTCTACACACCATTCTATGAAATGGTTCAGGTCCAAGAATTTGTTTGTTGTGTAACGCTTCACTCAGCAATATTACAGTCATATGATGGTAGCCTGTAAATAATCAGGTCTGGACCAGATAATCCAGTGATGATGCTGATCCAGGGCACGGTGACATGCCATCAACCAAGTCACTGTGCCGGACCAACCAACCCATTTAGTCGACTCTTATGACCAGCTTAGAATCATGGTATGCCTTAATTCTTGCACCATACAGGACTAGGCTTCTACTAACAAGACATGTATTTAACAGCGATATAAGAGCACATATGCTAAGCCCCACTAAATCATGAAAGTTTGCTTACTTAACTTTATGCTTACATTTCAATATGCTTCCAAACAAACTACCGTATTCGGCGTAATAAGCGCCCAGGGTGTTCTCAAAATTAGAAATAGGGGGCGCTTATTAAAATATGATTTTGGTGGAAAAAAACAGAATTGAAAAACTATAAATTTCATGGTTTGTTGAACACAGAAAATGATCGCCCTCAGTATTTTACCCCTTCAGATATACAATGTATATGTCTCTTACAAATAATACCGTGTGCATGCTTGCACGTATTGACTTACATATCTACGTATTTGTGATAGCGCAACTCCACATTAACAATGAGTAAAAATCATCATCGACGCCAATTGTTCCAAACAGGAAGTACCGGATATCAGAAGGTTAAGTTGAAAATATCAGCAAATATCGCCGTGGGCGCTTATTACTTCGAATACGGTACATTTAAAATTAAACCATAACTTTAAAATTTCTTACACAGTATTCATCTAACACATGCAGTATAACTTACTGGTCTTGTGTCATTTCCTTAATTCATGTCCTGCTGTGTGAAACAGATGATAAAGTGACCTGTGTATGAGGCATAATGCGTACCCTTATTCCTGCTCGGAAATCTTTCCTTATCTGGTTCTTGGAATATTCATTCCGTGCTTTTGCGCACATGGAAACCAGTTTCCTTTGATGAATATCCCTTAGTTCTGTCTTCACAGATATCTGCAAAACAATAGCAAACTTTATCATCATCAGGTATCACTTATGAGATTGTAGAAAATCATAGAAATTATTCGATCAAAAATGTACCAAAATGGTAAAAAACTATCTTGGGAAACAAGTGGCTAAATAAAAACCATGTCTGCCTCCTTATGATATATTTCCACCCACCTCCCTCTCCTGGACCAACAGATCGGCCACGTCTGCCTCCTTATGATATATTTCCACCCACCTGTTGAGCCACCTCCCTCTCCTGGACCAACAGATTGGCCACGTCTGCCTCCTTATGATATATTTCCACCCACCTGTTGAGCCACCTCCCTCTCCTGGACCATGAGATCTGTCACGTCTGCCTCCTTATGATATATTTCCACCCACCTGTTGAGCCACCTCCCTCTCCTGGACCATGAGATCTGTCACGTCTGCCTCCTTATGATATATTTCCACCCACCTGTTGAGTCACCTCCCTCTCCTGGACCAACAGATTGGCCACGTCTGCCTCTTATGATATATTTCCACCCACCTGTTGAGCCACCTCCCTCTCCTGGACCATGAGATCTGTCACGTCTGCCTCTTATGATATATTTCCACCCACCTGTTGAGCCACCTCCCCCTCCTGGACTATGAGATCTGTCACGTCTGCTTCCTTCTGCTGTATATCGACATCCATATTTTCCAACTCCTGCTGCACCTCAGCCACACTCTGTTTCTTTGCATCACTTTCCTCCTGCAAACACAGGTCAGACTTTAAACATGTAGCAACACTGAAGTTACAAATATGGAACAGTTGTAAAGTCATTTGTCACAGGTACATGTGAACCAAGCAGCAGTCAAGTCTGGGCCAGGCATACCAGTGTCTGCCAACATGATCAATGACCCATCCTGTACTGGTATGATACACAACCAGCAGGATTACACCACCTGATTTCCCACTGTAATCATCTTGTCCTGCATGAGCCAACAGGACCCTACTCGGACCTGGAACATGACAAGCTGGTATACGGACTAAACCAGTAGTTGAAAACACTAGAAGTGACCGAAGCAGTCAAAAGTACAACCCGACTGAAAATAGTTACTCCGGACAATTGGCTACAGTGTTCCACAATTACACATGAAATTAAAGATGTCCTTGTAATAATTCTAACACAAAGTTGCCAACTTTCCCAAATTACAAGTAGGTCGGTGGGGTAGCCTAGTGGTTAAAGTGTTCGCAAGTCAAGCCTGAGTGAAGCCCATTTCTGGTGCAGCTCGCCATGATATTACTGGAATATTGCTGAAAGCGGCGTAACATTTCACTCACTCACTCACAATTAGTATTCTGTAATGAACTTCTGATTGGGCACCACAGACTGACCATATGAATTGTCTACAGTACAAACTACAGTCCGTTTGACTCCAAATGAGAACGATGAATTGCAAAATAATTCGAAATCCAGAAAAGTGTATTGCTCTAATACTGCTAAAAAAACCATAAAACCATACCAAATCTTTTCGTATTTGTTATTAATTTGCATCTAAAATACAAAAGTACAATTTTTCCTTAATTTTTATGAATAATGTGTCAGTCTACCAACAACAAAAATCACATGGACTAAATTTTCATAAACAGTAGTTTTCATAGACAAAAGAGGATCATTATTTAGCCTTACACCGTCTGCTACGAACAAGTCTTGTTTGTCGACTGGTATGAAGTCTAAATAGAGTCTCAAGACTCCCCACTCGTATTATTGTAAGTTGCTGTATTTCAAACAGAAACTAAGCAATAGGATCAACTGTGTTTCGGAATCACATGCTACAGTTCGTTTGACTCCAGATGAGAACGATGAATTGCAAAATAACTCGAAATCCAGACAAGTGTATGAAACATCAATACGGTACTTGACCATGAATACCCTGTACCCAACAAAATCTGAATTTTGTTTATTTTAAGACCCATGACGGATGAAGTTCTTTAAGAAACTATCATGTAATTTTGTATAGAAATGTGTACATGACACATAGGGGGACAAACCGTGGAAGGCACAGCGCATGCACTGCACGTTCTGTGGTAGGGGAAATGACAGAGCGTTAGAGGGGCCGTCTCATGATAATTTCAGTCGCAATCTGACTCGCTCATGCCATAGATTTCGTCGGCGGAACTGCTGGTGCCTGAACCGACTGCCACTATTATAGGTTGGACTGTTGCTGGCCGTAGTCCATCTCGTGACCAATAACGTGGCTCTATCTCGTCAACGACTGTGGCCACACAACGCCTCCATGTTTCTACTGTTACCCGACCAAGGGATTCCTTTATGAGTTGTTCAACATCTCGTAATTTGAATGTTGTGTTCGATCGTCCAAAGTCACCCTTGACGGTGCCCCATACCAACTTGATTGGATTCAGGTCGCAGTGATAAGGTGGCAGTCGTAAGACAGCGTGACCCTGACCCTTGATGTAACTGTCAACTTTATACACGGGGTCAGGTTTCATAGTTTTGATGATTTCATAGAGCTGTGGTTTCGTCACTCGAGAAGGAAAGGTAATGTTCCTCCGTTGCAGCCAAGTAACCATGTCTCCTTTACGGTTATTAGAGGTTGAGTCTTGCTTTCCGGATCTTGCACACTATGATACGGTGCATTGTCCATGACAATGAGAGACTTGGTAGGCAAAGCAGGGACTAATTTATCTTTCACCCACTCCAGAAATACATTGCCGTTCATTTCTGTGTGGTAGTCACTGTTGTCTTTGGCCTTGGCTCTAAAGACGAGATCACAGTCTGGGAGAAAACCCTGACTAGCAGAACCAGCATGGAGAACTATGAGTCTTTCACCCTTTCCCATTGGTAACTTTCTACCAGACTCCTTACAGTCACAACTGGGTATCCACTGACTGCTGAATGTGTGTGACGCATTTACCCATGTCTCATCTAAGAAGACGGGCTAATATCCTTCTTCACGTTCCTGCTTGATGGTACGAAGGTAATGATTTCGGAGACGAACAATGTCAGACCGTTCACACAACACAGCCCTATTTTCACCAGTTATCTTTTTGTATTTGTAACCAAATGTATGCAACAGCTGCCATAGTTTGTACTTTGTAACACGTAAATCATGGTCAGTTTCAAGGTGTTTCTTCAAAATTCTTAGGGACAGGTACTTATTTTCTGAGTGCAGTTTAACAATTGCACGTCTGACTTGATCCCTCTGAAAACTGTCTAATTTATCAACCTTGCATGGTTTTGACATGTTCCCTACCTCCTTGGCCTGACTATTTGTATCTCGTCGACTAACAACATTTTTCAGTTTCTGAGGGGACATACCAAGAGCTTTTGAAGCTCGTTTCAAGAATTTATTAATTGCATAGAAAGGCTTTGCTCTTTCTGCTTCACTTCTAAAGAAATCATTCACATTCAACATCAACTGTTTAACATCTGCTGAGTAGCGCATGTTGTCATTGAATCAACACGGTCACTGTGTAGCACGTGCATCCCGTGCTTGCGCTGTGCCTTCCACGGTTTGTCCCCCTACGTGTCATGTACACATTTCTATACAAAATTACATGATAGTTTCTTAAAGAACTTCATCCGTCATGGGTCTTAAAATAAACAAAATTCAGATTTTGTTGGGTACAGGGTATTCATGGTCAAGTACCGTATTGATGTTTCATACACTTGTCTGGATTTCGAGTTATTTTGCAATTCATCGTTCTCATTTGGAGTCAAACGGACTGTAGCATGTGATTCCGAAACACAGTTGATCCTATTGCTTAGTTTCTGTTTGAAATACAGCAACTTACAATAATACGAGTGGGGAGTCTTGAGACTCTATTTAGACTTCATACCAGTCGACAAACAAGACTTGTTCGTAGCAGACGGTGTAAGGCTAAATAATGATCCTCTTTTGTCTATGAAAACTACTGTTTATGAAAATTTAGTCCATGTGATTTTTGTTGTTGGTAGACTTGACACATTATTCATAAAAATTAAGGAAAAATTGTACTTTTGTATTTTAGATGCAAATTAATAACAAATACGAAAAGATTTGGTATGGTTTTATGTTTTTTTTAGCAGTATTAGAGCAATATGGCGGGGGGACACTAGAAATGAGCTTCACACTGTTGTGCCCATGTGGGGAAACGAACCCTGCCCTTCAGCGAGACGAGTGAACTCCGTAACCACTCGGCTACCCTACCACCCCCTATAATCCAAATGGTCCTATCAACCAGCCCATGCATTACCTCCTCGTCCAAGGATAGCGGCTCCTGATCCAGTTCCTTCTTCCACCCCTGGTAGTCCCGTTTCATTGCAGCAATCTCCGACTCCTGCCCCTTGCGCTTTTTTTTTAGGCGTATCTTACGGGATTCAAGGACATTCAACTCCTCCTTAACTGCCTTCAGCTGATCATTCAGAGTCTCAAAGTTAGGAGTCAGCCTGGAGTTTAAATTGCATCATTTATTAGATTAATCACGTTAATAGCACCAATAGCTCATAATCATGAAAATAAAAAAATAAAAAAGGTTTGAGGTTGAAATCTAGTTGAGAACAGCCATTCAGTATCATTAAATCAGCAAAAACCAGGGTTCAACCTACGTAAGCTTGCTTCACTCAGAAGAAGCCCAACATTTTTTTTTTAAAAACAATGATTATTGTAGTCTACAGCATGGTGAACACTCCATATGCATCTGACCAAGAAATATAGAAATCCCAAAAAGATACAGTCCAACAATGCCCTGAGAGAAAGTAAGTGAATGTGTCTCATGCTTCTGTGGACAAAAATACAACTTCGTCATGGTGGGAAATGAGTCTGACGTATATATTGTAATCCAAGTCAGCAATATCCCATCTGTATCGTGGAAATTGGTATTACAAACAAGGCAAGGGAGCCCAGCAGTTGATAGTATGAGTAAGGGTCCACACTGCTCAAGATAACATGCCGATAACAAATTGTGGCCACCTTCATATATGATGCTGTTGGATGTTTAATGCCAGATTGGACAAACCAGTGATTGATATTATGAGCATGCTGTTGGGGTACAATGACACACTGTGTCACTGAGCCTGACTACCTGATCTTCTTAGTCGCCTTTTATGGCTGGCAAGACTTGCTTTGTTTGTTTGTTGTTTAACGCCGCACTCAGCAATATTCCAGCTATATGACGGCAGTCTGTAAAATAATCGATTCTGGACCAGACAATCCAGTAATTGACATCATGAGCATTGATCTATGCAATTGAGATCGATGACATGGATCAACCAAATCAGAGAGCCTGACCACCCGATTCTCTTAGTAACGACAAATATAGTCGCCTTTTACGGCAAGCATGGGTTATTCTACCCCGGATCTTCACGTGTCCAAAACTTGCTGGGAACCATTTTAACACAGGAGAGCACGGGGAGAAGGCTAGACTTACTTCTTCAGCTCAGATGGGATCAGACTGTCCGTCTTGGTGCATATGAAAGCCACACTGCCATACTGGCCATCCATCAGCAGTTGGCGGCGGAAGTTCTCCCCGAGGAGATCCTTGGCAGTGTGGTCGTCAATCGCACGGTGGATGCTGGCCACTACCCACACCGAGGTACAGTTCTTCAAGTACTGGAACACGAGCATCGCGACTCATATATTCCAACCATCAACACTTCAGGTGTTTGTACTGAGGTACTGACAATGATATAATGCAGAATTCTTACAAACTTGGTGAATATGACTTCTCATGGAATCACCTAGACAGTACTTCATGTCAAATCTTTTTCATATACCAACTGTAGTTTTTACCTCTCAGCATTTGGGTGTTGACAAGATGGTTCATGCCCATCTGATGTTCAGAAAGCAAAGTAACTCATGGTACTTCACTGATACACTGTTTTATTTCATTTAATTTTGAATGTCTATCAATTTGAAATACTGGTGTTTATGTCTTGGGTAACTCGGAAATAAGAAGCCCAAATAAAACAAAACACCTTGAGGTCTGCTTATACTTTTATTTAGATTTTGTTTGTTGTTTTACGCCTCAGTCAGCAATATTCCAGCTATATGACAGCGGTCTTTAAATAATTAAGTCTGGACAAGACAATCCAGTGATTGACATCTTGAGGATCAATCTTGGGAGAGATGAACTGCATCAACTAAATCAGCGAATCTGACCATAGGATAACCGTTAGTCGCCTCTTACGGCAAGCATTGATTGCTGAAGACCAATTCTAACCTGGATCTCCACAATTTTATTTTAGGGATTTAATTTCATTCTGGTACAACAATATTTGGCATGACACCATACAACAGTACAACTGTAGAAGAGTAGAACATGTCTCACCTCTTTGGCTATCTTATCCCTAGCGGCATTGGCGTCGCGTACTCCGGGCAGGTCGACAAGGACGGCACCGCTACTGCAAACATCACATGACGGGAGGTACAGCTTCACTCTCTTTACTATTGGCCAAAACTGCTCGCCCCTTGAACCATTGTCAGTGTTCTCAATGTAGCTGTTGACTGCTTCACGGAGATGTCTGGCCTGAAACAGATAACAACCATTGTCAGTGTTCTCAATGTAGCTGTTGACTGCATCACGGAGATGTCTGGCCTGAAACAGATAACAACCATTGTCAGTGTTCTCAATGTAGCTGTTGACTGCATCACGGTGATGTCTGGCCTGAAACAGATAACAACCATTGTCAGTGTTCTCAATGTAGCTGTTGACTGCATCACGGAGATGTCTGGCCTGAAACAGATTACAACCATTGTCAGTGTTCTCAATGTAGCTGTTGACTGCATCACGGTGATGTCTGGCCTGAAACAGATAACAACCATTGTCAGTGTTCTCAATGTAGCTGTTGACAGCATCACGGAGATGTCTGGCCTGGAACAGATAACAACCATTGTCAGTGTTCTCAATGTAGCTGTTGACTGCATCTCGGAGATGTCTGGCCTGAAACAGATAACAACCATTGTCAGTGTTCTCAATGTAGCTGTTGACTGCATCTCGGAGATGTCTGGCCTGAAACAGATAACAACCATTGTCAGTGTTCTCAATGTAGCTGTTGACTGCATCTCGGAGATGTCTGGCCTGAAACAGATAACAACCATTGTCAGTGTTCTCAATGTAGCTGTTGACTGCATCTCGGAGATGTCTGGCCTGAAACAGATAACAACCATTGTCAGTGTTCTCAATGTAGCTGTTGACTGCATCTCGGAGATGTCTGGCCTGAAACAGATAACAACCATTGTCAGTGTTCTCAATGTAGCTGTTGACTGCATCACGGTGATGTCTGGCCTGAAACAGATAACAACCATTGTCAGTGTTCTCAATGTAGCTGTTGACTGCATCACGGAGATGTCTGGCCTGAAACAGATTACAACCATTGTCAGTGTTCTCAATGTAGCTGTTGACTGCATCACGGTGATGTCTGGCCTGAAACAGATAACAACCATTGTCAGTGTTCTCAATGTAGCTGTTGACTGCATCACGGAGATGTCTGGCCTGAAACAGATAACAACCATTGTCAGTGTTCTCAATGTAGCTGTTGACTGCATCACGGAGATGTCTGGCCTGAAACAGATAACAACCATTGTCAGTGTTCTCAATGTAGCTGTTGACTGCATCACGGAGATGTCTGGCCTGAAACAGATTACAACCATTGTCAGTGTTCTCAATGTAGCTGTTGACTGCATCTCGGAGATGTCTGGCCTGAAACAGATAACAACCATTGTCAGTGTTCTCAATGTAGCTGTTGACTGCATCTCGGAGATGTCTGGCCTGAAACAGATAACAACCATTGTCAGTGTTCTCAATGTAGCTGTTGACTGCATCTCGGAGATGTCTGGCCTGAAACAGACAACAACCATTGTCAGTGTTCTCAATGTAGCTGTTGACTGCATCACGGAGATGTCTGGCCTGAAACAGATAACAACCATTGTCAGTGTTCTCAGTGTAGCTGTTGACTGCATCTTGGAGATGTCTGGCCTGAAACAGATAACAACCATTGTCAGTGTTCTCAATGTAGCTGTTGACTGCATCTCGGAGATGTCTGGCCTGAAACAGATAACAACCATTGTCAGTGTTCTCATTGTAGCTGTTGACTGCATCTCGGAGATGTCTGGCCTGAAACAGACAACAACCATTGTCAGTGTTCTCAATGTAGCTGTTGACTGCTTCACGGAGATGTCTGGCCTGTAACAGATAACAACCATTGTCAGTGTTCTCAATGTAGCTGTTGACTGCATCTCGGAGATGTCTGGCCTGAAACAGATAACAACCATTGTCAGTGTTCTCAATGTAGCTGTTGACTGCATCTCGGAGATGTCTGGCCTGAAACAGATAACAACCATTGTCAGTGTTCTCAATGTAGCTGTTGACATCATCTCGGAGATGTCTGGCCTGAAACAGACAACAACCATTGTCAGTGTTCTCAATGTAGCTGTTGACTGCATCACGGAGATGTCTGGCCTGAAACAGATAACAACCATTGTCAGTGTTCTCAATGTAGCTGTTGACTGCATCACGGTGATGTCTGGCCTGAAACAGATAACAACCATTGTCAGTGTTCTCAATGTAGCTGTTGACTGCATCCCAGAGTGCTTTGACCTGAATCAGATCTCAATCCTTGTCAGTGCTTTCAATACTGCATTCTAAATTTGTGTTACAGTCACAATATTTTGACTAATAGCAGCTGCCTCAAACAATTTGTCCCATCTTAACGGAAGTGGGAGCATATTTTCATCAATGATGTTACCAAGTTTTCAGCTGTCACAATCAAGGCTGAAAATGTCCTGACAAAAATGCATGATTTTCTCTGTTCATAAGCACCAATATCTACAAAGCGATCGATATATTATCATTGTGCACATTAACAAAACGTTGAACTATTGTATTAACAATTGCCATAGCCCCATTTGGCATCAACGAGGACACAAGGGTACCGTATTTTCTTGAGTATAGTGCGCACCCCCTCTAGCGGATTCAGTATTTTGGAAAAGAAAATTCGTATGTCAAGCGCAGAAAAAAATTACACCGTAGATCTACCCTTTCAGCAAATTCCGGTAAACGAACGGGTGATGAGAAACTTGAACAGTAATAATTCGAAATTTGAGATACAAAATCACCAGACAAGTTTATTTACCGTTTAAATTGTATTTTTTGTTCTGCTAGGCATTGTTTTACATCCAGGGATTAAGATTACCTTGTGTATTTTCTCGTAAACTAAGCCGGAAACAGCAATCAGCTGTACACATGTTTTCTTGGAATCTACCGGTGATTCGGCCAAGACACACCCAATGATATAACTTTACAGGATTTTAATGCAAAGATCGGCAAAAATTGTATCTGAAACTATTTTATTTTTTATCAGGAATAATATATCCCAATATCTTGTTAATTTAGTTGCAGCTTTTACTAAACATATTTTAAATAATAATAACCTTAAGCAAAGCAGCTGATCGCTATTGCCTGTTATTATTTTTCACATGGAACCCAGTCTGACCAGTCAAGGCTCCGGTGCACGTGATTACATGACCACGAGAATTACGTGTTGACATAGAATCGTCAAACTATAACAAATATGACTTTTAACGAGTCAAAGTATGGCATTTATGATATATGTATCCATTCTCTGTCAACTAAAGTTCGTTTCAAGGCGTCAATAGTGGTAATCTGACCGATCTTCCGATCGCTTCACACACGATTTCACCGAAATTAATTAAAACAATATTAAAAGGAATTTTGATTAAAATTAATGAAATAAGTTACATACATAAGTCCAGATATACAAAGAACACTTTTTGTAGCCAGACAGTGTAATTACATGATGATTTTTCGTACTTCAGTATGGATTTGTTGACATGGTATTTCCGGTGTTACGTGCTCACGGTAATATCTTTCCAAGGGGAAAAAAACATCAAAACTCATAATTTCGTGTATAATGCGCACCCCCTTCTACACAGCTGTGTTTTTTGGAAAAAAAGTGCGCACTATAGTCAAGAAAATACATTGAACATGTATTTCCCATTGACACACACCATGACCAACTGAGTGACAGGGCAGAGGGACCAGTCCTAAGTTCACATGAATGCAAGGAGCGTGTGAATTACTAGACCAAAGTTTCAACCATATATAAATGAGACAAAACACACTCACAGATTGGACACTGATTTTCTTCACCCTGTTGAGCCATTGTGTGATGTGAGTCTGTTTGAGGAGGACTTTCATCTTGCTCACTTTGCCGTACACAGCTCGCACCTTGGCATACGCCACGCCCGCCTCTGATGTGGGGTCAGGTTGTCCCTTCTGCAGGCTGCCGTCTCTCTTGGTCAGATCCTTCAGGAGGACCTCAAGCTCCTCATGCCACTCCTACAGGGGAATACAGGATATATATACACTCTGGGAATAACACTGCTCTGGGAGGACCTCAAGCTTCTCATGCCACTCCTACAGGGGAATACAGGATATATATACACTCTGGAAATAACACTGCTCTGGGAGGACCTCAAGCTCCATATGCCTCTCCTGCAGGTGAATACAGGATATATATACTCTCTGGAAATACGTATGATACCCAAAAAACCTATGCTGCTGAAAGCTCTGGTCGAAAACAGGACAATCTGCGACGGTTGTCCGGTTTTCGATCATATTTTTCAGAGTGTATTTTTTTAAATCTTTGACTATATTTTTACGTGGAAGATGGTTTTTTCCGAGGACTACTGTTTTAAAAAAAGCGATTTTCCGCGGAGATTTCACATCCCTGGAAATAACACTGCTTTGGGAGGACCTCAAGCTCCTCATGCCACTCCTGCAGGGTAATACAGGATATATATACACTCTGGAAATGACACTGCTCTGGCAGGACCTCAAGCTCCTCATGCCACTCCTACAGGGGAATACAGGATATATATACACTCTGGGAATAACACTGCTCTGGGAGGAAATCAAGCTTCTCATGCCACTCCTGCAGGGGAATACAGGATATATATACACTCTGGGAATAACACTGCTCTGGGAGGACCTCAAGCTCCTCATGCCACTCCTACAGGGGAATACAGGATATATATACACTCTGGGAATAACACTGCTCTGGGAGGAAATCAAGCTTCTTATGCCACTCCTACAGGGGAATACAGGATATATATACACTCTGGGAATAACACTGCTCTGGGAGGAAATCAAGCTTCTTATGCCACTCCTTCAGGGGAATACAGGATATAAACTCACTGACTAAAGAAACACAATACCATACATGTTGGGTAATATATTCAAGAGATATTAGATTGGTTCGACTCACAAATGAACACACTGGTATGTTGTGTGAATCACAATATATCACAGAATATGATGGGTTTTAATAAGGTCCTTTCAACAACTTTGTAATAAACAGGTTAAAAAGTTTGGAAGTGTCTGCCACATCATTAGTCTTGATTCAGAGATATGATTCACCTGCAATAAGAAAGAATATCAACTAATGAAATAACAGTACTGTGTCGGAATATGAATTGTATAGCACGAAAAGTATCAAGAGACATATGTATAAGGACTAGGGACGTTTAGCTTGGGACGTTTAGCTTTGGTTCTCGGGTCAGGTGGGTACTGAGTAGGACCTGGGTATCCACAGGACTACCTGGACCCGTTTGTCATGTGATATATTGTTTTATGACAAAAATATCTAGAACTCCATGGTTACACAACAAATCACTAATGTTCTTATTTCTCTCTGACTATGCACACATTCTATGTTTGAATAATATTGATAATGCTTCAATCAACTTCAGAGTATGGATGACCTGGGCCCACTTGCACAAAGCGAGCTTAGCGCTAAGATGATCGTAACTCCCATACTTTAACATAGGCTTACGATAGTCTTAGCACTAAGATCGCTTTGTGCAAGTGGGCCCAGATCATTTTATAGAGTACCCGAAAACTTTTTGCCAGGGCTTTGGTCAAACAATTCCTAACAGGACATTTTGCACCCATCTCTTGAGGCATACAGTGGGTACCCGAGGAGGGTAGGGTAATAGGGGGTAGGGTAATAGGGGGTTGGGTACCCGGGAAGTAAATCTGGACTCGTCCCAGCCCCCACCATATTTTAACTGCACCAAATACAATTTTGAGTCCGCAGACTTAGACATTTTTGACATAGACGATACACAAGGGGATACAGCATCATATCACTAACCTCCTTTGAGAGAAAATGAATGTCGGCCTCGTAGTTTTGGTTGCGTGTATTTTCCACGATCTCCACAACCACGGCTGTGCAGGCTCGTACTCCGGACGTCGGGAGAACACATGGCTGATTGAGCAGGGCGTTCAACAGGGACGATTTCCCCGCTCCAGTGTCGCCCACTACAGCTATGACGGTCGGGGGAAGCTGTACGCTCTTGTGTAACAACTGCAGATCATCCCTGTGAGATTGAGAAACAATCACATGACGTGCAGCAAACGAAAAGTGGTTGCCCTAGTTACAAGTAGTAGCATCTACTATAACTGCTGCTGGTATAAATCCAGGCACAGCTGATCATGTAGCTTGATTGGCATATACTTTACACAGCTAAAATTTCTAAGGTAGAATAAAATTCAAATTCTGAGCACAGTTGTTTCCTATGGCGATCAAACGTACTTACAATTGTAGGCAATACTGGTATTTGTTTTTGCACGGACATGAATGACTCATTTTGACAAAATGCCTACCACTTGCATCAATTCTGGGTTAACACAAATCTTCTGATTCTAAATGCAAGAACTTTTTAAGCACTTTTCTAGGAAGAACATTCGTTTTCAAGGACTTGTATTAATCCAAAAGAACACTAGCACTGGCACTGGAAGCAGTCAACAAGGACGTCTTAGAGCTTAAACTTGGACTCATTGAAACTCGATCGATAATGATTTTCAGTAGCAATTATGTAATATCTAGAACAATATTTTTTTACATTTTAGCAATTTTCAAGTACCATATTTTCTTGAGTATAGTGCACATCGAGCATAATGCTCACCCCCCTCTTGGGGATGCAATATTTTTGAAAAAATGTTTTTTTTGAGTATTTTTGCAGTGAAATATTTTTGATGTTTCAGATGCAGTCATCGTATCAAACGTAAGCTGAGAACTTGGACAAAACATCGTTCTCATGTGTACATTGTGCCACTGTATTAATAAAGGCAACTCCCCATTGAATAAATATAATGTCGTCAGATGTAACTTATGTTGTTGATACATCCGAATTGACACCATTAACTTTGACATCGTTCAATGCTTACCTCTCTCCAGCGTAAACATTGGACCGTAACTCTGGAGCAGATATCAGATATAAACTTTGAAAACACATTGAAGTGATTGTCAATTGCATAGATATCAATTATAGAGTACCGGCTAATTAAGAAAAGCACCGTTTGAAGTTATTTTTAAACAAAAGGCCCTAAATAATCAATTCAATTATACTATGACAAGATCTTTCTCAAATTTTGGCTTCTTCTCGTTGGCTTACATACAAGCGGATTACCGGTCAAGTATGAGTAGATTTGTAAAACACATACAGGTATTTAATTCTTAATCATGGTGTCGAAGAGAACATCCTACACACGCGGAGAGAAATTAAAGATTGTTGCGTATGCAGAGGAAAATGGCAACTGAGCGGCTGGATGACTGTACGGGTGTGCTGAGTCAAACATAAGACTGTCAAGAAAGAACAAGTCAAAGCTGGTTGTCATGCCAAAAAGTAAGTTGGTGGTGAGGTGAAATGGGGTTTAACGTCGCGTCCAAGATTATTGCACTTATATAGCGACGTGCATGCACGTGTATGTGTGTGTGTGTGGCTGCTTGTACTAGTCCGGACTGATGCCGATTTATAGTGCTAGCACACTGAGATACCATGCTGCATTTTAACATGAATACCCCACTCAGACACAGTATACTGACTCGGAGCCGACCAGTACTTGTTTTAGCCCCTTAATGCCGAGCGCCAGACAGGGTAACAAGAAGTACCATCTTTTAACGTCTTTTGGTATGACGCGGCTGGGGATCGAACCCCGGACCTTCCGCTCTCCGGCTGGACGCTCTACCATTGGACCACGGAGGCGGTCCAAAAAGTAAGAAAGCAGAGAGGGGAAAGTCTCTCTCGCCTTTGGCGTGGTAGAGGTAGAGCTGAAAGAGTGGGTGGAGGAGTGTTAGATGGCAGGTGTGGGCATTAGTACGACTGATATCCGAAAAAAGGGACTTGCCATCGCCAAGAAGTTAGGCATCGCCTTAAGTGATTTCAAGGGTAGCACTGGGTTGGGTCGTAACTTCATGAGTCGTCATGAGCTGTCCGTCAGAAGAAAGACGCATATTGCCCAGAAACTGCCAGCCGACTTTGAAGACAAGTTACAAGAATTTCAGCTTTTTGTTATCAAGTCACGCGAGAGACAGCTAATTACAGCCTCTCCCAGATCAGAAACGATCACCTGTCACCCCCTCTGCATTGCTTCATACTCTGAAAAAAAAAGTGCACACTATACTCAAGAAAATGTGGTGCTGTTAATAAGATTCAAGCATTTTGAAGGTAAATTTTCAAAATTAAGCACTTTTTATAAACCATAGTTAAATTTAAGCACTATCCAAATTTGTACGAACCGAGATTCATCCTTGGTTATTTTCTGCACACGTTCAAGCAGGTTTAGTTTGTTCAGCATCACTAACGCAGAGGTAAGTGACTTGTACGACTTTACTGGATATAAAATATTTGGTCTTATATCAATTGAAGATGAGACAAACACCATGCACTGTGAATCCCATGCGATGCAAGCTGTGTTTAAACCATTAAACCTAATTCAACTTATTTAATTTGTATTCGGCCCTCAAAAGAAAGACAAAGTTCAGATTTTTCATTTCAAATGGTAATTTCCATTTAATACAAGGAAATTGCCATCAATATAAAAGTGATAAGCAATACCGAGCTTCAGTGTAGGGGCAGGTGGTGATGTCATTAGAATTCTGGGGAGTGAGGTGAAATGGGGTTTTACGACTTTTTAAGATTTTTGCGTGTCTGCTTGTACTTGTCTGGACTAATGTCGGTTTTATAGTGCTAGCCCACACCAGACAGGGGAACACCAAGTACCATCTTTTAACATCTTTCGGTCAACCTATTTTCGTGTGTGTGTGCTTGCATGTCTGAACTTATCAAGACTAATTCTGGTTTTATAACGCTAGAACACTGAGATTCCATGCCGCAGTTAAACATGAACACCTCACTCAGACACATTATACTGACTCCGAGCTGACCAGTCCTTGTTTTAGCCCCTTAATGCCAAGGAACAGGCAGGGTAACACCAAGTACCATCTTTTAACGTCTATTGATATGATGTGGCAACGGTCAAACCACCGACCTAGCTCTCTCCGGGCAGACGCTCTATCCACCAGACCATTATTTCTGAGAGTCCCATGACTCACAGACAGCACCAGGTAATACCTAGACTTACCGCCATGTTTGGACTGTCGGGTTGCTGTGGAGGTGTGAGGTGTTGAATGCATCGGTCAGTATAGACAGCACCAGGTAATACCTAGACTTACCGCCATGTTTGGACTGTCGGGTTGCTGTGGAGGTGGGAGGTGTTGAATGCATCGGTCAGTATAGACAGCACCAGGTAATACCTAGACTTACCGCCATGTTTGGACTGTCGGGTTGCTGTGGAGGTGTGAGGTGTTGAATGCATCGGTCAGTATAGACAGGACCAGGTAATACCTAGACTTACTGCCATGTTTGGACTGTCGGGTTGCTGTGGAGGTGGGAGGTGTTGAATGCATCGGTCAGTATAGACAGCACCAGGTAATACCTAGACTTACCGCCATGTTTGGACTGTCGGGTTGCTGTGGAGGTGTGAGGTGTTGAATGCATCGGTCAGTATAGACAGCACCAGGTAATACCTAGACTTACTGCCATGTTTGGACTGTCGGGTTGCTGTGGAGGTGTGCGGTGTTGAATGCATCGGTCAGTATAGACAGCACCAGGTAATACCTAGACTTACCGCCATGTTTGGACTGTCGGGTTGCTGTGGAGGTGTGAGGTGTTGAATGCATCGGTCAGTATAGACAGCACCAGGTAATACCTAGACGTACCGCCATGTTTGGACTGTCGGGTTGCTGTGGAGGTGGGAGGTGTTGAATGCATCGGTCAGTATAGACAGGACCAGGTAATACCTAGACTTACCGCCATGTTTGGACTGTCGGGTTGCTGTGGAGGTGTGAGGTGTTGAATGCATCGGTCAGTATAGACAGCACCAGGTAATACCTAGACTTACCGCCATGTTTGGACTGTCGGGTTGCTGTGGAGGTGTGAGGTGTTGAATGCATCGGTCAGTATAGACAGCACCAGGTAATACCTAGACTTACCGCCATGTTTGGACTGTCGGGTTGCTGTGGAGGTGTGAGGTGTTGAATGCATCGGTCAGTATAGACAGGATCCTCTTGCCCCTACATGAAACACAGGAATAGATCATTAGCAAAGTGAATCACAAATATTATACGTTAGGTGAGGTGAGGTGAAATTGGGTTTAACGTCGCGTGCAAGATTATTGCACTTATATAGCGACGTGCATGTACGTGTGTGTGTGGCTGCTTGTACTAGACCAGACTGATGCCGATTTATAGTGCAAGCCCACTGAGATACCATGCCGCAGTTTAACATAAATACCCCACTCAGACACAGTATACCGACTCCTAGAGGACCAGTCCTTGCTTTAACCCCTTAATGCCGAGCGCAAGACAGGGTAACAACAAGTACCATCTATTAACGTCTTTTGGTATGGCGTGGCCAGGAATCGAACCCCGGACCTTCCGCTCTACCACTAGACCACGGAGGCGGTCTTTATACATTAGGAATACAAATAGTAGTATGAAAGCCTTTGTTGAGAATTATCATTCTTCCATGTTTAGTGGGTTCATAAGACAATGGGGTACTAGGTATACAGCCTTTGAAGTTCTCCACTGAGAAGTGAAACAAACTGACTTTAACATTTTTTTATCAATAACATTGGACATTGTTATCATGTTATGTGTCAGTAGAGACTGATGTAAGTTTACTTGCAGTGATTGTCAGTGGCAGTAAATCTATGAGTAAAATGTTAAGTGCTGTCGTTGCCACCAAGTGGAAGTGGAGTTGCCTCCCTTGGTTGTTTATGAACATGGCAGTCTTGATTGTTCGAGAAGTTTCTGGATGGGAAAGTATCTAGAAGGCTGGTTGCACAAAATTAAGAGTAAGAAAAGGGCCATTCAATGCCATTCTATACTCGACTTGTGTTTAATCTATTGCCAAGTGTGGATTTGACACCTCAGTGTAAACACTAAATTCCTGTTTTTAATGAGATTGACTAACAACAGTCTCTAGTGCAACATGACATGTCAGTGAGTGTGTGTGTGTCAAAGCGGATCGTGCCAGTGTTAGCATTATTCCAGCAATAGCACAGTGTCCTGCTGTGGAATGTATCACATCTTCGAGTGAGTGAGTTGGGTTTAACGCCGCTTTGAACAGAATTCCAGTTATATCACAGCGTGTCAGCTTAATGTGTGAGGAAAGCCTAATGTGATGCAGGTCTCAGATGTTTGCCACTTTGGTGAAATCCAAGAACACAGGTGCTGACAAACCTAGAACATAATCAGGGCGAAACAGGATTTAAACCAACTATAACATTTTTCTGGGGTGCCCAAGGGACACCACTCTGATCAGCAAATTGTGGCGCCTTAGATGACCGCACAAGACAGAATAGACATTGTGACAGCATTGCATCATCTTCACCGCCGGGTCACGGAGACACACAATCAGGCCACATCATAACAGGGGTTTCTTTCACAAATAAATACTTTAAAGAAAAGCAAAAGAATAGTCATACCTAACCAAGTAATCCTCCACCTTATTCAATGAATCCAATACTTCGCTGTGGACATCATTCTGTGGACTGAGGAGATTATTGTCTTTGATTTCACCTTTGTCTTGTGTTGTCTTTTCGCACTGCTGACGATTCTTACGCTTGGCCCGAATTTTATCCAATAAACTTCTACGCCTTACATTCTTTAGATTTTCCTCAGGAGCAGCAGACAGCCTTCTGTCCAACTGGCTCAGCTGGGTGCTGGACAGGTCATCCATAGACATAAACATCCTTTGATCACTCAGGGTCTCAGCATTCACTCGAGACACACCAGGCTGGGCTTCACTGATGCTGTCAGTTTCACGCGAGTTCTCGCTGGCACAAGCTTCATCTTCTACACCATCACTTTTCGTATTCCCAATGTGGCCGAATTGTTGATCTTGATCTGATATGGCCACTGAGTTTTCAGTATCTTCATCTGAGCTGTAAATGACTTCTCCCACACAGGACCGTTCTGAATGCGATTCCTGACTATCCTGTCTGTTCAGCCTCCTCCTTTTCGGAGTCGACAGCATTGGAAAATCTTCAACATTATCATCATCCTCAGTTGATGCCGCAATGCCAGTAGTGGATGATGACCGCTCTCCATCTTCATCAAAGCTACCATGACTAGAGGACTTACCAGCCCCGGACATTTCCTGTCTCTTTTCTTTCGTCTCAGGGGTGACAGATGTGGCGCGTTCAGCTTCCTTGCGAGCCTCCGGGGTGATTCTCCCCACTGATGTACAGCGCATATCTATGAGTTCTTCTGTTGGATTGATTAAGAAAACCTGATTGTTTTTGTCAGAATTTGATGCTGAAGCTGTTCTGTCATCAGAATCAACTAAAGCCAAGGTGATGTCTGCAGTATCAGTCTTATCAGTCTCTGGTTCAAAATTGCTGTTGTAGTTCCAGGTATCATCAAAAATATCATCAAGGGAAGCTTCAAGAAAACAGATGGACATAACGATTAGTGAGTGAGTGAGTTGGGTTTAACGCCGCTTTGACCATTATTCCAGTTATATCACGGCGTGTCAGCTTAATGTGGGAGGAAAGCCCGAAGTGATGCAGGTCTCAGACGTTTACCACTTCGGTGAAACCCACGAGCACGGGTATGGTGCTGACAAACCTAGAAACATAATTGGGGCGAACCGGGATTCGAACCCACAATCATAGGTTTCTGGCGTGCCCAAGGGACCCAACTCTGCACAGCAAATCGCGGCACCTTAGACGACTGGGCCACCCGTGCCCCCTGGACATAACGATTAAATAATATAGTCAATAACCTACATTATAAGATACACTGACATTTTGTAATGGCTGTGTCATGTTAGGATGAGTCTAAGGATATTCAGAATTTGTATGTACTGAAAACAAAAGGTACAAATTATTTAATAGCAATTTACATTGTATGACAACCATTTCTTTTCCTCATTCTTTAAGAATAGGAGTATAAGTAAAACCCTGCAAAATTACTTTTTAACCCAAGTGATTAAAATAGAGCCATTAATGACATTTAGTAGACATTAACTACAGGCACTTTACAACACTGGGCGGTACTACCTGATCTGTCTCTCCTGCCCGAATCTGTGTCGCTGATGTCCTGCTCAATCAAACCAGCGATGATGTTGTGCACATCCACCCCGGGGCTGCTGGTATTGTCCACATCTTCTGAGAAATCCATCTCCAGATGTACTGGAATCGACACAGGTGTTGTAGAGGAAGCAGGTGTTACCGAGGACCCAGGTGTTGCAGAGGAAGCAGGTGTTACCGAGGACCCAGGTGTTGCAGAGGAAGCAGGTGTTGCAGAAGAAAAAGGTGTTGCTGAGGACCCTGGTGTTGCAGAGGACCCAGGTGTTGCAGAAGGAAAAGGTGTTGTAGAGGACTCAGGTGTTGCAGAAGACCCAGGTGGTCCTCCAGGTGTTGCAGAGGACCCAGGTGTTGCAGAAAGAAAAGGTGTTGTAGAGGACCAAGGTGTTGTAGAGGCCCCAGGTGTTGCAGAGGCCCCAAGTGCTGGTTGGTCTTCTTCTGGCTCATCAGGTGCATCCTCAGCATCCACAGTGTCATCAGCTAGACAGCTTCCACTGTCTGACTCTTGCTTGTTCTGGGGAGGTATTTTAAGGCCTTCATCAGCATCAATTTCAGGATCCTCTTGATCTTTGATGTCAAACCCTGAACTGTCATTCAAATGAACAACTGCACAATTACTGAGCAACTGCTTATCAAACAAGCTGTCAGCAACATCAGTCTTTTGCATATGCACTTTTCCTGATTTCCCAGACTTCATCTTTGAACAGTCCACCTTCTGAATCCCATCTCCACGATCAAGGCTTGAGTCTGGTTTCTTGGAAGAACGCCTCCCGTCTTTCCCACAGTCTGACTCATCATCCTCATCCTCATGCTCCGTCTTCACAGCAGGCTCTTTGACCACAAGCCTACACTCAGTGATGTACACATCACTATCACTGTCATAGTCACTCTCAAGGGTGTGGACACTTAAGGAGCTGCTCAGACTCAATGTTGCATCAGTGGGAGTGCTCTCGGTGTCTGCTTCTTTCCCTGAACCTGTGTCAGGCAACTTCCCTGACTGGACCAATTCACTGCCCGATCTGTGCTCATCAGTTAAGCCAGGACTGGGTAGACGGGCAGGCGGAGTACTATGTTCGGGTACTGGTCTTAATTTGTCATCCTGCGATGAATTGGACAACCTTTGATCTGATGTGTCCAGGATGTCTTCAGTAGTGTCAGATAGATGCACTGGGTCCTCTTCTGTGTCTGCATCCATCTCCAGCACAGGTTCTGGGGTGTCTTCATCAGTATATGCCTCAAAATCGTCCGAGTCTATCAGTCTGTCTCCAGAGGTATCTGCGCTCGTCTCTGTGGTCTCATCCTCGAGGTCATCCTTCCAACTCCCTTCACATGTCTCTTCACTTTCTGTTTCTGGTTTGTCTTCATCTGTACAAAAACTTTCTTCATCACATTCCAGTTTCATATCTCCATCCTTTTCAAACATACTTTTACTTTCTGCAGATGTGTCACTATGTGATGTTTCTTCTCGAGAGATGGCCTTGTCTTTTTCAAATATCTCTTTGCTTCCTTCAGGCATGTCACTATTTGGTGTTTCCTTAAGAAGTACATCGTCATCCTGATTGTACGTCTCTTTACCTCCCTCAGTAGGGTCACTATCTGACGTCTCTTTCAGAAGTACATCACCATCCTGATCACATGTCTGTCTGCTTCCTTCTAGCGTGTCACTGTCTGATGTCTCTTTCAGAAGAACCTCGCCATCTTGATCAAATATTGCTTTTCTTCCTTCAAGAGTGTCACTATTTGATGTTTCTTTCAGAAGAACCCCGCCATCTTGATCAAACATCTCACTTCCGTCAAATGTGTCACTATTTGAGGTATCCTTCAGAAGAACATCGCCATCCTGATTGTACATCTGTTTGCTTCCTTCAGTAATGTCACTCTTTGATGTCTTCTCAAGAAGCATATCGTCATCCTGATCAAACATCTTGTCACCACCAGGAGGGTCACTCTTTGATGTTTCCATGGGAAGGATGTTGTCAGTCTCTACTTCATCTTCTGAGTCTGTAATGACAATAACTTCATCTCCATCAACAATAATGCAAGGATGTTCTAATCCCCCAAGAGGGCCTTGTTTTGCTTCAACACTCTCACAAATCTTCTCCATCACACCGGCAGATGCAGACCCTACTGTTCCTTCATGTACATCTATCGCAGGATCTAGAATAGGGGATTCTATTACCTCAACTTCCTCTTTGATGTTGTCAACATCCACTGCAGTTTCACCATCTCCAGCTGCGTCTACATCATGGGACACTGCATGAGAGGTTGAAGTCATCTTCTGCTTGACGTTAATGAGATTTGATTCTCTGTTCGAACTGTCCCCATCAATTATGATGCTTTGTTCATTTCTTGTTTCCTGATGCCCATGTTGCTCAGCACCAAACTCATGATTATCATCTTTGATATGTTGTTGCTCAGCACCTTGTTTGTCATCACTGGGGCCTTGCTTGACATCACAGAGGCCTTGTTTGTCATCACTGAGGCCTTGCTTTTCATCACTAAGGCCTTGCTTGTCATCACAGAGGCCTTGCTTCCCTTTACGGAGGCTGTTCTGCTCCTGAGCCTGACCACTATTCTGACAAGCCATGGATGTCTCTTTGTCACTGATTGGATTACATGGCATAAAAGTTTTGACTCTTTCTCTGATCAAGAAAAATTCTGCAACTTTACTCCCTAAACATGCTTTTAAAGACAAACTTGCACGGCAAGACCTCTTTTTAACTGCTCTGTCTTCTGATGCTTTACGTTTTCTGCTGTGTGGAGCATTAGACCAACATTCCACAATGATTGGCATGCATTGTTCTTCTGGTGATGAACCATGAGGTAGGTGTGAAGTTCCTTCAGCAACACCACCTCCTCTGACATCATCAGTAACAAGTTCAGAGTCATCAACACTGGCATCCATTTTTCCAGCTTCAACATTTGTATCGTCAAGTCTGGGAGCAGGGAACGGGCTTGAATCCTGTGCATCCAGATTACAGTTCGGAAGATGTTCTTCAGACAGCCCATCAAGCTCATCCCAGCTCTTGTCGAAGGTAGTCATCTTGTTTAGCCCACTCATTTGTCTGCTATCAGTTGGCGACAAGGAACAATGTTCACGCTCCTTTGGCATGTCATCCCGAAGATCAGTTATTGCTAAACTGTCTTCCGAATCAGGAACACTGTCAACATAATTCATCATCTTCATCCTCGTCAGAACTACCCCATCATCAATTTTAACCTTTTCACTACCCACAGCTCTTGATGAAATAGCACCATATTCATTCACCTCCAAAGTGATATCCGTTTCATTAGTCTTATTTGAAATTTCTGTGGCATGACGGTCATCTACCAAACGTGATGTCACCTTATCATGCTCATGTCCTGGCTCCTGAGGATCTGGGGAGTAATCCAAATCTGGTACTTCATCTGAATTATGATGAACCTCACGTGATAAGCTCTTTTGTGACTCGCTTACTGAACATTGTGGCTGCAGTAAAGTTGTTCTATTACCTGCACTCTTGAGGTCCATGGCAGACATGTTGTCTCTTTTCTCAGTAGCTTCACCATCAGTTACTGCACTTGGAGAGCTGGACAGAGGACAAGCCTGTTCTTGCTCAACCATATCAACACTACTGGACACCTCACCCATGTTTGATTTTTCATGAAAGCTTTGATCTTCATCCAAACTGGGTTTCCTTTCTGACCTTTGTATATCCTCAATTGCATCAAATATGATGGTGTTACTGTCATCAACTCTGAACAGTGGTTCTGCTATGAAGGTGGGCTTTGAATCAGAAATCGATCTGTAAAGACCGATCGTTGAAGGTTGCTCCTTGGTAGTATGGTCATCACACCCAGAGTCAGATCTAGAGCTTATGTCTTTCCTCACAATCTTCACAGCACCACCTGTATCTCCATATTTAGCAAATCCATATTCTTGGCCACAAGGTTGGTCTTTTGTTTCCTTACTGTGTCTCCCTACTGTTAAATTTCCTGAAACAGTCTCATGATGACTTTCTGAAGGAAGTGAAGAAGTCAGTGATGTCTCAACTTTCTGTTCATGATGGAAAGACGTTCCCTGTGATGCCTCTTCAGTTTCTTCATCAGACTCTTCAGCATCAACACTCAACTCTAAAGGAGCAATGCCACTCATCATGGATTCCTGTGTACATGTACTGTTATCATCAGTGATTGTCTCAAGGGCAATGCTTTCTGCAGTGAGCTCACCTTTGTCGCTATTGCAAGAAGACTGGGATATTTCCTGCAACAAGTTCAGTTGACTACTGTCAAGCTCGGAAGCAGAGGGGATCCAACGCTGTTCAGTAGAGGAAGAACACAAGGGTTCACCTTCACAAATTGTTCCAAGCATTGTTGAACTCTCAGTTTCCTTTGATGCCTTGAATTTTATAACAGGACTCACAAAGAAAACTTCAGTACTTTCTGCTGACAGAGCAGAATCATTGTGAAGCTGACTTTCATCTGATGTAGTCATCACCAAGTGAAGATCTTCATCAGAGATCAGTGTTTCCTCTTCTGAAGCAAGCTTGTGTGGGCTCGCTGCTGGTCTGGCTACATCATTGTCACCCTCTGCAACAGTTTCATTCACATCGTCAGCATCATGGGTTCCTGTTGGTGAAGGTGTTAGTTCTGGTTGAGAGATGGTAAGTCCTGAGCATGATTCCACATTGCTTGTCTGACTCTCAATACCAGACAACTGAAGGTGCAGCTCAGTCTCATCTGACAACCGGCATGATCTCATCATCTCCTTCCTATTACTGATATGGCTGCTCTTGTTAAAGTCCTTACTCTCAGTCAGCAAAACACCATCAGAAGCTGCTGCATGACACTCACTGCTATCTTGTAATTCCACATCAGCTCCAGCTTGACAAGATCCTTCAGGATCCTGTTCAGTCTCTGAAGTCTCTTCAACATCTGTGGTGGTGCTGAGGCCAGGTTCTACTGAGTATGAGATGTCCTGGTATGACAGGCCATCACAGTTCACGATTAACGAATCCGAAACTGATGAACTTTTTGGTGTTGATGCTGAGAAGTCCGTCCCCAACAAACTGAATTCAAATGTTTCTTCTTGATCTTTGTCTTTTTGGATAATCTGCTTACTAATGCAATTGCCATGCTTGTTTTCATCATGGAGTTTGGTTTTATCCACATCAGATTTTGCAGCTTGCCCTAATGGCACAGAAATGTGCTTTGCACAAGTCATACAGTCACTACTTTCACTTTGCAATCTTCTTGTTCCAAACAATGGTGATTTTTCAAATGAGCATTTACTGCATGCAACAGTAAACATTTTATCAATGATTGGTATGTGATTGTCACCATGACTTAGCAAACTGCTTCCTGCAGTGACAAGTGATCCTTTGTTCATGGCAACACTGTGAGTAGAATTATCCACCTCCATTTTTGACTTGTATCCAAAAGCTTCATTTTGTTGAGATACGCTTCTGTTTTGTGACACTGGACCCTCTTCCTTTAGGGTTCTCCTGTCTGTTTCATCATTCATAGTTACTTTCAGAGAAAGTACGTCCGTTTCTTGAGCTGAGTTTTCCCCACGTGTCTCAGATGGTTCTGATGCAGTTTGTTCTCCTTGCTCTGTCTGAAAAACATCTGAACGAGGACGACCACAAGATCCAAAGTCATCTCTACCTTCAAGGCCCACAACTATTGCCATGTCTGGCTTAATCACAGTTGTGTCATTGTCACCATGACCTTCAGGGTTCTCAGCTACTGGCTCATTTGACAAAACAAAACTGGCCTCAATGCCACCATGACCTATAGCATCCTCCACTTGTGTCTCATATGACAAGACAGAAGCAGCCTCATAGTCACCATGACCTTCAGTGTCCACTTCTGGCTCATTTGGCAACATAGATGTGACCTCTTCATCACTTTGATTTTTAACCTTCACATTTGGCTTTATCACAGTTGCACATTTGTCATCTTGACCTTCAGGGGCTCCCAATGCTTTAATAGCTGCCTCATTGTTGCTTTGACTTTCAGGGTTTCCAAATGTTGTCATATCTGTCTGAATATAATTGTCAGCTTGACCTTCAGTGTCCTCAAATGTTGTCACATCTGACTTAATATCATTGTCAGCTTGACCTTCAGGGTCTTCACTCACGGTGACATCAGCCTCATTGTCAGCTTGACCTTCAGGGTCTTCACTCACGGTGACATCAGCCTCATTGTCAGCTTGACCTTCAGGGTCTTCACTCACGGTGACATCAGCCTCATTGTCAGCTTGACCTTCAGGACCTTCACTCATTGTCACATCAGCCTCATTGTCAGCTTGACCTTCAGGACCTTCACTCATTGTCACATCAGCCTCATTGTCAGCTTGACCTTCAGTGTCATCAAATGTTGTCACATCTGCTTCATTGTCAGCTTGACCTTGAGGATGTTCATTAGTAGTCTCATCAGCTGTATTGTCACCTTGACCTTGATGTTCACTAGCAGTCACATCAGCCTCATTGCCACCTTGACCTTCAGAGTCTTTCCTAGCAGTCACATCTGTCTGCATGTCACCTTGACATTGAGGATTTTCACTTGTAGTAACATCTGTCTGCCTGTCACCTTGGCCTTCAATCGTTGTCTCCTCTGCCTCATTGTCACCTTGACTTTCTCGATCTTGGCCCGTCACCTCATCATACAAACTCAGAGATGTATCACTGTCACCATGACTTTCAGAGTTATCAGGCATCATTGCAGCCGACTCTTCTGCCTGACTGAGGTAGAGATGGAAATCTGGTTGAGACTCTGGGAAGAACTCAAGTTCAGATGGAGCAGAGTCTTCTTGTTTCGGTTCACTTTTCTTGGGACTCTTAAAAGGTTCTTGATGAGGAATGACAGGAGACAATTCATCCTCATCCTCAATAGTATCAACATCCACCTTCAGGATGTGGCCACCATCTGATTTTGATGGTTCCATACCATTGCTCCTTTGAATCATTTCAGCGTGTGCAACATCTTTCACTTCTTCACATCCTGTACCTTTGGCTGAATCTGAAATATGATTCACTGAGGCTGCACTGAGGCTACCACTTTCTTGAGAGCCCGTCTTCTCTTCCAAAGCAGTATTCATTCCGTCTGTCATATGTGTGCCCTCAACATTATGTTCAAGCACAGTGGTGCTACAGCCTGCTACAATGTTCTCTAGGGCACAGTTGTCATTGTCTCGGACTCTAATACCTTGAGTAACTACTTCTTGAACATCAGCATCATGGGGCTCTTGGCTGCTCTTCACATGTTTCCTGTCTTCATCAGCAGAATGTTGCTGCTCAGTATCAAATTGGTGGGCAATTACATTTTCAATTTGAGAGACATCAGCATCCATATTTTCATGAAATAAATCTTCTTTTGGTTTTTCCTTCATGTTGTCACTTAATAAACACATATCTTTTTCAAAGTCACTATTCTTGTCACATGTAGTCTCAAGATGTATCCCGCATTTACTTGGCTGTAGGCGTGATGCTTGTAAATTGGAGTCCACTGTTGTCACTTCCTTCCCAGGTGAGTTCATCACAGCTAAATCTTTATCTTCAGTGGACTCTACTGTAATCACCTTCCCAGATGAGTCCTCAACAACATCTTCATCCTCAGTGGAAACCACTGCTGTGGCCATCTTCCCAGGTGAACCCATGACAACAGCTGAATCTTCAGTCAACTCAATTGTTGTCACTACCTTTCCAGGCAAGTTCATCGAAGGTAAATCATTAGCTGTGTCAACTTTTGTCACCAGCCTCTCAGGCCTGTCCTGCACAGCTAAATCTTCATCTTCAGTGGATTCCATTGTGGTCACTTCCATCCCTGGTGAATGATTCAGAGCAGCATCTTCATCCTCAGTGGACTCAATTATCGTCACTGCCTTCCCAGGCAATTCCTTCAGAACAATCTCTTCATCACCTGTCGAGTCCACTGTAATCACCTTCTCAGGTGAGTCAATCACAGCCAAATCTTCATCTTCAGTGGACTCAATTGTCATCACTTCCTTCCCAGGCAATTCCTTCAGAACAATCTCTTCATCGCCTGTCGAGTCCACTGTAATCACCTTCTCAGGTGAGTCAATCACAGCCAAATCTTCATCTTCAGTGGACTCAATTGTCATCACTTCCTTCCCAGGCAAATTCATCAAAGCCAAATCTTCATCTTGAGTTGGCTCCATTTTTTTCACTACATTCCCAGGTGAGTCTTTCACAACCTCTTCATCTTCTGTCGAGTCCACTATAATCACCTTCCCTGGCGAGCCAATCACAGCTAAATCTTCACCTTGAGTGGACTCAATTTTTGTCACTTTATTCCCAGGCAATTCCTTCAGAACAACATCTTCATCTTGAGTGGACTCAATTGTCATCACTACCTTCCCAGGTGAGGCCTTCAGAGCAACATCTTCATCTTCAGTCGACTCCACTGTAATCACCTTCCCAGGCGAGTCAATCACAATCAAATCATCATTTTCTGTGGGCTTAATTGTGGTCACTACCATCCCTGGTGATTGATTCAGAGCAACATCTTCATCTTGAGTGGACTCAATTGTCATCACTGTCTTCCCAGGTGAGTTCAAAGCTAAATCTTCATCTTGAGTTGACTCAATTTTTGTCACTACATTCTCTGGAGAGTCAATAAAAGCTAAATCTTCATCTTCAATGGATTCCATTGTGGTCACTACTGTCCCTGACGAATGATTCAGAGCAGCATCTTCATCTTTAGTTGACTCAATTATCGTCACTATCTTTCCAGGCAAGTTCATCGAAGGTAAATCATTAGCTGTGTCAACTTTTGTCACCAGCCTCTCAGGCCTGTCCTGCACAGCCAAATCTTCATCTTCAGTGGATTCCATTGTGGTCACTTCCATCCCTGGTGAATGATTCAGGGCAGCATCTCCATCCTCAGTGGACTCAATTATCGTCACTGCCTTCCCAGGCAATTCCTTCAGAACAATCTCTTCATCGCCTGTCGAGTCCACTGTAATCACCTTCTCAGGTGAGTCTTTCACAACCTCTTCATCTTCTGTCGAGTCCACTATAATCACCTTCCCTGGCGAGCCAATTACAGCTAAATCTTCACCTTGAGTGGACTCAATTTTTGTCACTTTATTCCCAGGCAATTCCTTCAGAACAACATCTTCATCTTGAGTGGACTCAATTGTCATCACTACCTTCCCAGGTGAGGCCTTCAGAGCAACATCTTCATCTTCAGTCGACTCCACTGTAATCACCTTCTCAGGCGAGTCAATCACAATCAAATCATCATTTTCTGTGGGCTTAATTGTGGTCACTACCATCCCTGGTGATTGATTCAGAGCAACATCTTCATCTTGAGTGGACTCAATTGTCATCACTGTCTTCCCAGGTGAGTTCAAAGCTAAATCGTCATCGTGAGTTGACTCAATTTTTGTCACTACATTCTCTGGACAGTCAATAAAAGCTAAATCTTCATCTTCATCAATTGTGGTCACTACCGTCCCTGAAGAATGATTCACAGCAGCATCTTCATCTTCAGTTGACTCAATTATCGTCACTACCTTTCCAGGCATTTCCTTCAGAACCTCTTCACCTCCAGAAGACTCCACTGTAACTACCTTACAAGGTGAGAACGACATAACCATATCATCAGAGTCAGAAGACTCACTATGCACTTTTAGAGCCTCCCTCTTCACTTCTTTGCCAGTACCCTCCACAGCTATTTGAGCTTTCAAATAACTGTTTTCTGATGGCACATCTGATTTTGAATACCCACTCTGACTAGGATGTGTATATGTAATGTGACTGGGATTTATGACCACATCGGTATCTACATCAGTGAGAGGAGAAACATTGTCTTTAGAGTGTCTGCCCTGCCCATCTGTGACTGTTGTGGATTTGCTCAACTCCTCTTTCTCCAAACAAATCCTTTCCTTAATTTCTTCAGTTGCAGCAACAAGGAATACCTCCTCCTTCGGGATAGGCTGACTTTCTACTGAGGATAACAGTTGGTCTTCCACCAGAATGGGACTGTTTTCCCTAGGAATACTTAACTGTCTTGTGATGGGTGTGATTTGGTCCAAGGAGTCTACAATGTCAGGACCTCTGTTTCTGCACTGAGTTTCAACATTATCCTGAGACAAAACTCCCTTGGTATGGATTTCTTTAATGACAGGGACCACTCTAGCACAATTTTCTTTGGAATCTTCAAACACAGAATGTTCACCAGAACCATGAACGGATCTCGACTCACAAGCATTCATTCCAACATCACTCTCGTCCTCTTTGTGCACAGCAGTTTTCAAGTCAACACAGAGACAATTTGTCCTTTCACTCACATCATCTGATTGCACACACCCCACCCTTGGAAAACCATTTCTACGTTCACACATCAAGCTTAGCCCAGTATCAGTTTGTTCACAAACTGAAGCATCTGTTCGATCACATATTATATTTGGCACAGAATCTGTCGGATCACAAACCACATTTGACACAGAATTTGTTGGCACACACAGTGCACTTGGCACTGCATCTTGTTCACACACCACACTTGACTCAGGCTGCTCGGGGACATGACCACCTTTCTCCAAACATTCTGGAGAGGAAGACACACTGGGAAGAGATACCTTTTGATCAGGAACACCTCTTCCATCTACCCCAGTTTGTTCATGTCCTCCAAAACCACCAGTTGTACTTCCACTAATGTCTCCTTCACAAGATAGTGAGGACTGACCTATGCTGTCAACCTCATCGGAAGGAACAGGATTTGAAACATCTCTGCTGGCACAAAGGGTTTGTTCTTGCTGGAGAGAGTTGAGGACAGGTTCAGTTGTCACCTGAATGGACATTTTGTCATTCCCTTCTGAACCAACACCATTACTTGAGGTATCATGATCCTGGTTTGACTCATTATCTGCTTGACCTATGTCATAAGATCTGGATTCCTGAAAGATGTATTTGGAATCTGTAATTCCACCACTACCAATCACAGAGCTTTCAGAATCAGCTTGGTCTTTCAGTGTATTGATCTCTGTACCTTGGATGTCACCACAGTCTGGCTCTGATGGTGGATGTTGACTTGAACCATCATCCTGTTGGACTACTTCCTGTACAGTATCATGTGTAGGACTTTCTCCTTCCTCTGAAACATCACCATCATCCCTTGGTGGTTTTAAAGATTCAGTTGAGGGGAGAACAGTGGATTCTCCATCAGCATGTGAAGACACAGGCAGCACAGAACTACCTGTTTGGGTTTCTGACACCTGGGACTTATGAGATTCTTGTCTCTGTCCTACTAAATGCTCTCCACCATCTGCTGGTGTTTCTACAGATTCAGCTGAGGTTGATTGCATGGGTTCTGAATCAACAACAGAAGCAATCATTGGCTTTTCAGAAATAGGCGTTACATCTGTTTCTTTTGTGTCTTCTTCAACAGACTGATCCATATCAGGAATATCTTTTGGCATTTCTGAGAGTTTAACAGGAGGTACATAAGACGGTGAAACTGAAAGTCCTTTGGAAGCTGCAACAGAAGTTGATTGAGGTTCAGGATGACCTAGAGGGGTCATGTCCTTCTTTGACTGTTCCACATCATCTTCTGAGTGTTGAATTGACCCTTGTGGTTCTAAAAGACCATCTGATGCTTCAAGTGAAGGGTCTGGAGCACCTGGAGGTGTCATGTCCTTCTTTGACTTTTCAACATCACAGGTATCTTGTGAGTGTTGAATTGACCCTTGTGGTTCTAAAAGACCCTCTGATGCTTCAAGTGAAGGTTCTGGAACACCTCGAGGTGTCATGTCCTTCTTTGACTGCTCCACATAACAGGGATCTTCGGAGTGTTGAAATGACCCTTGTGGTTCTAAAAGACCCTCTGATGCTTCCAGTGAAGGTTCTGGAACACCTCGAGGGGTCATGTCCTTCTTTGACTGATCCACATCATCTTCTGAGTGTTGAAATGACCCTTGTGGTTCTAAAAGACCCTCTGATGCTTCAAGTGAAGGGTCTGGAGAGCTACAGAGAGATAAACTGTGCTCTGTTACTTCACTCTCACTGCTTGGGTAACTCTCCTGGGAGGACTCCACCACTTTGTAACTGGAAGAAGCAACTTCAATTGGGGCAGAAAATGTCCATTGTTTTTTCGGTATCTTTAATCTGGTATTCCCATGGGAGACAACTTTACGTTTCCGAGCAGATGTTGAAAACACAGGAGAAGTTGAATTGGCACAAAAAAATTGAGCATTCGTTGATAAAGTTTTATCAGTACTTTCGTTGTCAGAAGGCTCAATTTTCAATCTTTTTGTCAAGGGCTGAGCATCACCACAATCACTCATACATGAACTACTTGATTGCAGACATTTGCTTGCAGCATCTGTATCGCTATCATGAATTTCAACACAGCCTTTCTGCTCTGTCTTAACACAGACACTATTGTCCTCCTCTTTCATGGATTCATCATTCTCTTCGGAGTCACTTGAAATATCGATGACCACAATGGGAGCTTCATCTGTGAAGCCTTCATCACTTTCCTCATCATGTTCAGTTTGGCACACAATGTGGACAGGTAAAGCGTCTTCTGTGTTGGTTCCATCTTTAGTGACACTTTTACTGCCATAGGAACAAGATTCATCAGGCTTTGCTTCTGGGCTATTTTGAATACTTCCACCACTTGGTACAGCTACTACATCATCAAAGTCCCCTGAACTGTCTCTCAATCTCTTGGAACCAGGATATTCTGACTTTGGTTCTGAATCAACAGCAGTTATTACCCCTTGTGAAGATCCACACCCTTTGTCCGATTGGGTAGCAGGTGCTTGCTGACAAGCTGGAAGGGTGGCTGATTCTGATTTTATGTGGCCTTTCTGTAATGCAAAAAAAGAAGAAGTACTTTTTAGGGTAAAAATATCATTTATACTTACCCTGACTTTTACGCCATAGCGATTAGTATGAGTCAGGACCAGGTAAATTGAAAAACATTGAAAATTCTTTTGATAAGGATATTTATTATTTACTCCAGCAAATGCAAAATTGAAGGGTCTCAGTGTTTATTAAATGATTTGATGGCTTTATTTTAGATAAAAAAATATGTAAAACATGCCATTTTTGACGGATCAATGTCTACATCTTCAGGTAAACCAAATTTAAACCCAAATACCCTGAATACTAGAATATTCCATACACACTAACCAAGCTGAAAGTCTTGGATGACTGCCTGTAACAAAAGTGAGTGAGTATTGTTTTACAGTGCTTTCAGCAATATTCCAGCAATATCACATCAGGGTACACTAGAAATGGGCCTCCCACATTGTATCCATCAGGGGAAGTGAGCCTGGTCCTTCAGCATGATGAGTGAGTGAGTGAGTTTGGTTTTACGCCGCTTTTAGCAATATTCCAGCAATATCACGGCGGGGGACACCAGAAATGGGCTTCACACATTGTACCCATGTCGGGATTCGAACCCGGGTCTTCGGCGTGACGAGCGAATGCTTTAACCACTAGGCTACCCGACCGCCCCTTCAGCATGATGAGCATTTACCTTCACCACTATGCTACTCTACCACCATCTATTACAAAGATAATTCTTAACCAGTGAAAGGGTCAAAGCAAAGCAGCAGCATCCAGGGTATCTGTGATTTTATTCACAGTTTGTTGCGCCAACAACTTCCATCTTAACTGGTATCTGGAGTTACAGTGTGTTTAATCTTCTGGGTCCTGAATTAGGCTATGAGTACTTAAACCATATCATCTTGCATCAACTAAATGTGGAAGGAACACCGGAAGTGTAGCAGGCTTTGGACAGTTATTACTTGGATGAAACCCTTGATCGCGGGTATTGTATCAACAAAAATAGATACATACTCAGGGTAAATCTCGGACTCAAGCCTACATTCATAGGTTTCTGGCATAGATTTTCATACCTTTATTGCAGACTGAGAAGGACTTTGGGAAGGGCTACCACCAGTTGCCTGCCCTATATCTGGCCTTCGCTCAAGTGGCCTTACAGGAACTTGGACTTCTGGGATAGCTGTTGGTGTGGAGCACTTGAAAAAGAACAATTCCTCATGAAAAACCTCGAAATAGTCACAAGGCACTGTAGCTCATTTGAATCTTTATCAAATATTTGCAACATCAGGCTAAAGGTCCAATGTAAACAGGACACTTATGCAAACATAAATTACAGAAGTCTCGATACAGAGATAGAATTCGAAGTTTCAAGGTGGACAACAGATGGCTTTCCAGGACACAGCAGATGAGCTCACAACATCTATTTGGTAAAACCAACTTCAGTAAGTCAATATCAAGAATACTTGGATCATATGTGACTGGTAAACTTCAAAGGTCCTGCCGTATCAGAGCTGCTGGCAATGTTAGTGTTTGTATTTGTTTGTCGCTTAACGCCGCACTCAGCAATATTCCAGCTATATGACAGCGGTCTGTAAACAATCAAGTCTTGACTACACAATCCAGTTATTGATATTATGAACCTAGATCTGTGCAGTTTGGATACAATGACATGCATCAACCAAGTCAGCGAGCCTGACCTGTTTGTCGCCTCCTACGATAAGCATGGGTTGCTGAAGACCAATTCTAACCCGGATCTTCATGGGTTGACTAATCCTTGAAACAGACATGGAGGGACGTTGCCGTTTGTACTCACATGTTGTGTGGTAGCTGGTGTCAGTTCCGAGAGTCCACAGTCACATCTCCCGAACTACAACAAGGACAAACGACTGTATAAAATAGTACAACTATGACATTTATCGAGGGCAGACATTTCATATCAATGGCCGTGATTACATCAAGTGTAAACAAGTAGGTCATTCAGGTTTCTTGCCGATTTTTTTATCCTTACTTTCAGAATTTAGAAATCATTATAAACCCGAAGTGACCAGGTTTTGTATTGACTTAAGATGTGTCGTTACAATTTGTGGTATAAACGTAGACTGCCACATGTCAGCAGCCCATCAACCTCAATTAGGTCACTGAGGCCGTTGGATCTGCAGTTTGCAGCATTAGAAACTGGCATCAGTCCAACAGTCCTTGTCAAACTGCCCAATAGTTTAGGTATCATAAGGAATAGTAGAAATTTCCCATTTGTAATGGCTTTGCTATATGTTATCATTTTAAGGACTAGTGGACTAAATCTGTTTCTACTGCTGAATTTGGTGCCCGCAGAGTGAGACATCCAAAATTACTCTTACGAGTCCCCAAGACACAATATATGTGAGTGGATATGAAAATGCTTACATCCTTTTTTGTTCAATAAACAATAAAGGATAAGACAGTGGTGCAAGTCCACTCTAACGGTAGTCTGAAGCCCCAGTCAGCCCCAAATTTCTTTTGGTCTTATAAGTTTAGTTTCTACTTGTGCATAAATATATAGCAAACAAATAGCTCATGCAAAAATAAAGCCTGCAAGTCTATATTAAAAAACCACAACCGACTTAGAGCACCATGTTGAAATATCAAACTTCTATCAAACAAATATAACATCAAATGAACATGATTAAAGCCGAAACTGGGCTACTCTTGACAACCCATCTGCTCACCAGAAACTGATATTCTGATTCCGACTGTCTCTTCCTGGTTCCACCTGGAACGTTCTTCCCATTAGGATGGCCGAACGTCACCAGGTCACCCTCATTTAGAATAACAAAACCTGTAACCATGGAAACAGCACTGGTCAATGAAGCCTATTTCGGTTCCCTGCATACTACAAACCATAAACGAAGTGCTGAGAATCTTGATGTTGTTGACTGATTGTGTTGGTGAGTCAGAGTAGGAGAGTGAGTTGGTGAGTGAGTGAGTGAGTGAGTGAGTGAGTGAGTGAGTGAGTGAGAGAGAGAGAGAGAGAGAGAGAGAGAGAGAGAGAGAGAGAGAGAGAGAGAGAGAGAGAGATAGATTGAGAGAGATTGATTTTGGTTGGTTGGTTTGTTGTTTAACGCCGCACTCAGCAATATTCCAGCTGTATGACGGCGATCTGAAATTAATAATCGAGTCTGGACCAGACAATCCAGTGATTAATATCATGAGCATCGATCTACGCAATTGGGATTGATGACATGCATCAACCAAGTCAGCGAGCCTGACCACTTGAACCCGTTGGTCGCCTTTTACGGCAAGTATGGGTTGCTGAAGACCTAAGCTACCCCGGAATCTTCACGGGTCTGAGAGAGAGGAAATATTGCTTAACACTGCATCAGACATTTTGCAGTCATTCATGTTGAGATGGGCGAGTGAGTAACTTTAACAGCAATTTGAACAGTATTTCAGTCATATCCCATGTCAGCTTGATGTGAGTGGAACGCTCAAAGTGATGCAGGTCTGCAAACACTACAACCACTAGGCTATCGCCCCGACACTTCTTCATGTTCTTAATGAGAAGTGCAAGAGGCCCATCTTACCTGTGATCTTGATGTGATTGATGAACACCCCATTCAAGCTGTCATCGTAGAGCTTGTGCTGGCTGCCCTCCCGGATGATGCGTGCGTGCAGTCTGGAGATGTAAGCTTTCTGGACCAGGTTGGACGAGTCCAGAACATAGTTCGCCTGCTGAGGGTTCCGCCCGATAATGGTGGTCACCCTGTTCAAGCTGAAGTCACGACACTTTGTCTTACACGTTTTGTATAATATAGGGGTGAAACAATACATGGTGCATCGATACATTGTGAGTTTTCATGTGACGATGCGATGCATGATACGTTTTTTCTGTATCGATACAAGAAATAACACTTGCTGAAATACATGACTTACTACTCATTCACCTCAGCTGAGGTGAAATGGGGTTTAACGTCGCGTCCAAGATTATTGCACTTATATAGCGACGTGCATGTACGTGTGTGTGTTTGTGTGGCTGCTTGTACTAGTCCGGACTGATGCCGATTTATAGTGCTAGCTCACTGAGATACCATGCCGCAGTTCAACATGAATACCCCACTCAGACACAGTATACTGACTCCGAGCCGACCAGTCCTTGTTTTAGCCCCTTAATGCCGAGCGCCAGACAGGGTAACAACAAGTACCATCTTTTAACGTCTTTTGGTATGACGCGGTCGGGGATCGAACCCCGGACCTTCCGCTCTCCGGGCGGACGCTCTACCACTAGACCACGGAGGCGGTCTCATTCACCTCAGGCGTTATCCTGACCTTCCTGTATCATTTCACTCCTCGCATAATATGGTTTACATATTTATTTCCTCAAAGTATTTTGTTGTCAGAATAAATATAAAGTCGATCTACATTTATTATTGTAAGAAAATGCTGCTGTGAGGATGACAATTCTGTGTTTATAATTCAACGTGTGGAGACAAAATAATTAGATACAAAGTTAGGTATGTTGTAAAGAATAGTGACAAAATCCATGTTGCGGTTTCCCTTTGTAACAAACTGACAATAACAGGTAATAAGATGAGATCAGATCGCTCCTCCAATTTACAAAAATACAGTGATCCCTTGCTACAACACAACCTTCGGGGTCCAAATAATTGATGAGCGTTATAGATGATCAGCGGTTTAACGAAGGTCGAGTTGTAGGTGGTAGATGACCAACAAAACAGTATACATGCTCTGCCTACTTAACACGATCTACCTTGCACGTTTCAGGGTTTCAAAAAGATTAGAATAGAAGTTATTTATGATTCATAGTGTAGAAAAAGATTGATCGAGTATTAATATGCTCTTTAAAAAAAAAAAAAATCGTATCTCTTCAGGTGAATAAACAGGTAGATCTATAACAAACTTGGTCAATAAAAGTATGAAATTTGATATAAAACATCACTAGACATGATGATTTACCATTTAAAATGTATTTCCTGCTCTCTAACGTATTCTTTTATATGCAGAGATTGAGATTACTGTGTGTATTTTCTCTTAAACTAAGCCGGAAATAGCAATCAGCTATGCATGCGTTTCCTCCCAATCTACCGGTGATTTAGTTAAAACGTACCCAGTGATACCACTTTAAAGAAATTTGATGCAATGGTCGGAAGAAATTGTATCTGATATTATTATTTTATCAGGAATAATATATAGAGGTTATCACGCGAGTGTGTTTGGGGATGATTAATATCCTGCATTAGGAATAAACATTGTAAATACAGTGTTTATTCCTAATACAGGATATTTACCAACACACAAGCGTGATAACCTCTTTATCATATAATGTCATTCTTTAATTCTGTGCTTCAAAATCGCTTCCCCTCTCTCACAAACATTACCGAAACATTGCGAGTTTTCCTGGAATGCGCGCATTAATATTTATTACGTCACAGGGTAAGTGATGTGTCAGTCGGACAGTGACAGTAGCCAATATAGTTCCAATTGAAATCTGTTTCTTATACAGTGGCGAAGCAACATATATGCGCAAAACAACATTTTTTTTATTTTCCTTTCGTGGCAATCCATTGGTCTGTCCGCTAGAGTAACTGCCCTTTGTCAAAGGGAAGCTACTCTAACCCTAGTCTATGAGACGTCACGGACACGGTCAGACGTTGTTAACAGTCTGTCTGTCATAACGTTAAGAAGTGTAATCAGATGTACACACAGCAACAAAACGAAACAAGGTAACAATTCAAACATATTTCAGCCAAATCCAACTATTTTAATTTGTGGAGAAGGTTTCAAGCCGCAGAGGTCTACAAGCACAGATATGGCTACTGATCCCACTTGGCTAGGCCTGGTGTCCTCGCAAAATTGTTTCGAAATTTATATCTCCAAAGTTGCCAAAACTTATAAAATGCCTTAGCTACACAGAGCTCCAGATAAGCTGCGTATCTGCGTGAAATACGCATCAGAAATGCAGAAATACACAGTAAAATATAATCCAAGCGTATCAAATACGCAACGAACATTACAGATACGCTACAAAAATAAAATTTGTGAGTATCATCAAAATATTGTGAAGTAACCCTGCGTATTCGATTAGCAAATCAGCAACTTATTTTGAAATTATAAACGGGCATTCCGTCATCCTTGCCAAACTCCACGATGACAGTTACATCATGATCATTTGCCATCACACTTTCGTGTGGAAGTATCGTGGTATTTTTGAGTCCTATAAAGCTCTCAAACCCACACGACACCAGTTTGCAGGGACTAGATGAATAGTGTTTTTAAATATTTGACTTAAATACCCACATGTGTAAAAACTAGTGGGTAACAGAAATTTGAATACGCAGATAGAATTACTGATACCCAATGATTTTAAAATGCATGGGTAAAATACCCACAACACCAAAAGCTTATCTGGAGCTCTGGCTACATCATAGTTAGACACTGATTTTCAGTATAATAGACTGTTCTTTTGATAATGATAGCTATTATCCCTGTAGTTTATCCAGATTCCCGATGGTTAATTCTGACTAGATCGCCGAATGACGCCATGTTTGTTTATAAACAGTGAAAGTAGTCCCTACTTGACCTTTGATATTTGCATCTCTATCTGCATATGACCCCAACGGATATCGTTTTTATCCTTGGGTTTATCCTGCCGAGAAACCTACCCATTATATGATAAATTCCAATATCGTGTTATTTTAGCGGCAGCTTCCACCATATATACTTAAAATTATAAGAACGACAAGCGTAGCACTTTGGTACAGATTGTATGCAGGATATTTTTTGACGTATGAAACGATTTTGACCAGTCAGCGTAGGGACTTCCCGCGCTATATGTATTTCGATAGCAAAAACGTTATGTTAACATTTAATAGTCAAACTGCCTCAAATATGACTTTTAGCGAGTCATGGTACGGCATTTATGATATGTGTATCCATTCACTTGCAACTAAAGTTCGTTTCAAGGCGGTCAATAGCGGTAATTTGACCATGGTTGCTGTTAATAACGGTGAGTTGTGCGATCTTCCGATCACTTCGCATACGATTTCGCCGAAATTATTGTAAACATTATTATAGAATCTAATAATTGAATGAAATTTTAAATATAATTAAAATATATATATTGCACTATTAGTACAGATAAACAATGAACATTTTTTTTTATTACCAGATATTTTAATAATAGGATTAATTTGCGTACTTCGGTTCGGATTTGTTGACTGGTATTTCCGGTGTTACGTGATCGCGGTGATCAGCTGATAATGTTTTCTGAGATGGGGGAAAACATTGTGTCATTGGAAAACTTGAGTTTATTGAAAATGTTTGTAAATTGCTTTACCACGCGCTATAACCGAGTTAGCGCTTTATTGAAGGGTGCAATAACGAGGGAACACTGTATCAAACAACATTTCTACGTGGAAATGAGGGTGGTAAAAAATAAAAGAATCAATGAAGATAATCTTGAAAATATTGTTTCGTATCCAGCCATAGATGTCATTCGCTGCATATTACTGGACATGCTGGCATTACCAATTTCTTGTCAGTGTAGCAGCAATGTTGAAGTGGTTTGGCCTAATTGGTTGTATGCAACCAAAATATATGTTTGACAACCATTCAAACATTAAAATTGAGGTTAATTATTTTTTTTAAATGTTGGCAAAAATATTGGTATCATTTCTCGCCAATAGTTTGCAAACTATCTTCGCAATGTTCACACATACAAACGTAAGCAGTGTGAAGCCAACTCAAGGTAGGCAAGTGTGATGCTGATATTTCCCACTTACTCCATAACATCAGGGACTGTCGGCAGAGAGGCGGGGGGTCCGAAACGGGACAAGTGGTACAGAGGCAGGCCGCTGTTGTTGAGTCTTGGGCAGTGGGCCATCTTCCAGTCAACTACTTTGCATCTGAAATCAACAAAAGTCATGAAATCAGTCTGACAAAATAATTATGAAGGAACATTAAACCAGTTTGAATAATTATGATAATAATAATGATAATAGTAATAGGAAAACAGCATTAGCACTGTCCCCTGGCAGGGGGCACATTAGAATACTGTTTGTTCATAAAGTAGTGAATATTAACCCAAAGAAAAAGAGTCCTATAAAGCCTTAAGAAGAGACAGGCATGAGGGTTGCTTAATGTCATCAGGAAAAAATGATTAAATGTGAAATCAATACACACAAAAGGCCCCTTCTCGGGAAAAAATAATTTATGACAAAAAATCACTATAAAACTACATTGTTACGTGACAATTTTAAGTCTCTAATGTTCGCATTTCTTCATGACTATGAACACGTTCCTTCTGACTTAAATATGATTGAACAAAGCTAAAACTGAAGTCAACTTCAGTGTGACCACATCGTTTTATACGTGTATCTAAAAACATTCTGCCAGGGCTACTGTCAAACTATTCCTAATCGGACATTTTGTACCTATCTCTTGACACCAACAGCGGGTACCCGGGTACACATCATTGATAAGTACAACCTGAAGACATGCCCTCATCGAATTTATGTTGATGAAAAGGGACTTGTGAAGAACCATACCCCGCCATCAGTAGTCACATCGGGTCAGAGTACTCCAGCTGCAGTGAGTGAGTGAGTGAGTGAGTGAGTGAGTGAGTGAGTGAGTGAGTGAGTGAGTGAGTGAGTGAGTGAGTGAGTGAGTGAGTGAGTACGGTTTTATGCCACTTTTAGCAATATTTCAGCAATATCACGGCGGGAGACACCAGAAATGGGCTTCACACATTGTACCCATGTCGGGAATCGAACCCGATAGTTTTGAATCATACGATAGTGATGTGACAAGTGATGACGAACTCCGCTGCAAATGTAACCAATTTGTACCTGATGAGGTTCGAGCTAGTGTCTCATTGACGAAGTGCTAAGGAGGCTGCCTTAGCTGCTCTAATGGAAATCATCTTACCAGACTGCTCTTGATATAATTCTTCGTATAATTCTGGTCTTGGATGGACCTGATTGGAGGGAGGATGTAGCTGCAGATGTGACCAGTTTGGAAGTCTTAGTAGTGGAATCTCTGCCAGTTCGACGATCTCTGGAACCAAAGTTCTTGTCGGTCAGAAGGCGCTACCAACAGCAGTTGTAGGTAGCTCGTGTGTAGAATCTTGTAGTATCCTTGGTATCAAGGCTGGTGGGGGAAACGTATACGCGTTTAGGTCCTCCCATGATATTGTCATAGTATCGATTGACCAGGCTAGTGGGCCCGGTGCTGGTGACGAATTATCTGATGCAAATTGGGTTATTAGTAGACAACCTTTTCTTTAATTGCCAGTTGGAATGCTTCGGCCGTAGCTTCCATTCTGTTGGCGATAGTCTGGCTAGTCTGGACAAGGTGTCTGCTAATCCACTTGCCGCTCCCGGTATATGTCTTGCCTTTATCTGTAAGCTGAGCTTGTCTACTAAAGGTGAAAAGTCAACTGCAGGAGGGTCTCTGATTTCATCGTGCCTTGAAGGTGCATGCCACAGTTGAAATGAGTGTCCCGATCGTCAGACATTGGTTTCTTGTCTGTGGAGTCCAAAGAAATATTGCCTGGATTACAGCCTCGTATTCCAGATAATTGATGTGGTAGAGCTGTCTGCTTCTGACCATAGGCCTGATGTTACTTCCAAGTTGAAGTGAGCATGACTCCATGAAAGCAATGGTAAAATCTTGACGGTTGGTCGTGTGACGTAGTATCTAGTAGAGAAACGAGGCTGAAGATGTAGTTTACCAGTTGGTTGATTGCATGAAGCAGGGTAATCGGGACCACGTGGAAGAGCGGTAGTAGGAGAAACCGTGCCTTGAATGGACGTGGAGAACATTAGGATCACATACCGAAATAAAATGTCAATATTCACCAGCTCTCGTCTTGAATAAGTGAGGGATGACTTGTCCTGCCAGGCTGATCGGCGACGCGTAGAACTATCCAGATAACACAACATTGTCGGTCCGTTTGTGGCCTAAGCACCGGAAAAAGCGGTGTGCATTCCAGTATCGATGCGACAACAACAGGCGTTGTGAAGATGTGACAGACCATACGTATAGTCATTGACTACTACTGTAAATGCTTCGCACGGCTCGCATGAGAATTGTAATTGTAATTGTGATTTCTCATAGGAGAGTATCGTAAGACGATTCATGACTGGCAGGCACGTGGACCGGTTCCATGAAGATCCCGGTAGAGAAGAGACGTCAGTATCTCAAGATCGCCATACGATGTGACTGTGCCTGTAAGATATTAACGAGACCGGTTGGTCAAGTTCGCTGATATGGTTGCTGCAGGTCATCGTATCCAAAGACATAGACGGATGCTCGTAATGACAATCACTGGGTTGTCTGATCTAGACAACAGAATGCAGTGAAGGCCTTGTCAAAATTCGCTTATAGAAGTCCGATGCACGATGAGAGAGAGGTCTATTGATTCTGTGGAAGAATGACGATATTATGACTGAGGACAACCTGTCATTCGTCTGTATTATATAACAAAGTTATATCTGGGATAATATCTTCTCAGTAAAGTACATGCTCGTACTTTATGGGGTTGAGTCCCGTCGGGGATTCGAACCCACACTGCCAGAGTAAGGGACCTAATCGCCAGCACACAAAGTCAGCGATCTAACCCACTTAGCCACCGAGGCTTCCTGCAGGTAAAGTCATACCAGCGGACGAGTTCATGATCGGACGATGTGTCGATTTATCCATGTGTTGACGTATCGACTTATCCTTTTTTCGACGTATCGATGTGTATCGTAGAGTGGAGATCCCTCGATATCGATCTGTAGGAGAGGCAAAACTGTACGATCTGACGGACTGTCCATCCAACATCAGCGTCTTGTCCATAATGGTGAAGTATGTCGATAATGGTGAAGTAAGGTGATCTGTCGATCTGTCGATCCCTCGGTCGTCTATGATCCCTCCATCACTCGGACGTTACGATCAAGCAAAGGATGACGATCCTGCGCGTGAAGATCCGTCGTCAGTTGGCTATCACTTCCTCGCCGACGATTGTAGTGTTTTCGGTCAAAAGGGTTGTCGCCATTCGAAAGCCGGAGAGGTGTAGCTGTATCCTCAGAGCGCTGTAGAAGCGATGACCCAAGTAACAAGCGTGTTGGGGGAAGAGGCAACCCTCAGTTGACGGCTTGACTTCACAAGCTGAGTAAAGGGCCATAGTCCAACACGATGAACTGGCCATTTAAATGTGGGACGACTGTAGAAGCCAGGGAGCGGGCACGTGCACAGGGGTGTGTCCGCACAGAGGTTGAAATCGCAAAAGTCAAACGAGACGGAAAGCGATCCTCCTCTACGGATAGCGATGTAACCATCACCAAATTGACTTTAATATTTTGTTTTGCAAGAAAACGAAGGTACAGCCACAGGGGATAACACAATTGTTTGGGTTTCAAAGCGGAGGAAAAACAACATGCACGAAAACCGTAAGCAACGCCTTGAACCGACGAACAGTCGCCTTTATCGAACAGTAAGCTAAGTAATTTGAGATCCAATTCTGGCAAGGTGGTACACAGTAGACAGTTATCAATACCACTCTTTCTTCGTGATAATGTTAAACTTTAGAAGTGATGTCGTGTATTTAAATTTTATATATATAAAAAAACAAAAAAAATACCAAAAACAAAACAAACAAAATTCTCTGTTCAAGAATATCGTCTGAACACCATAGCTATAGAATTGAGAATGAGGGTGCTGGATATGTAAGGTGAGGTCGCTGGGGTGGTGTCGCACAGGATTTTAGTGGTGCGTGAACCCTGTTCACAGTGGTGATTTGGTGATGTAAGGGATGTGTTTCAGTGAGTGGTGTTTTTGAAGCTGGAAACTTTGTTCTAGGACGTTTTTCACACCAAGATTGAATAAGAAGAAATGCATAGTGTGAGATGGGATAAGTTTAAAAATTTATATCTACAATTAAAAGGTTACAAAATGCACAGATGCGGTTACAACAATATTCAAAAGATGTGTGGCAATACATTTCGTGCAGAAAACACGATAGAAATCTACAAAGGGAATGTATTTACGTTTTGGAGACGACAGAGAGCTTGGAATTTTGGCGCTTTTCTATGTACGAGTGTGACATCATATCTTTTGCGTCACAACGAGCGATGTGACGTCATAATGGTGACGCGCGATGTAGAGCGAAAGCCTTGTAAAGCTTGCTTTGTTTTCTTTATGGATGCCCACCTCATGTTAGCTTACCAAATTGCCGTGCTATTATATGCTTTCAATGCCTGTCATATGTTCGAGTGAACTATTACGGTGTAAACAAACTGCTTGAGTATATACAGCACCATATTTTGTTCGGTGATTCCGTAATTCAGATCGATAACCCACTCAAAACAATGGAGTCAACCCATGCCACTTCACTCAGTATATTTGCTAACACCAAAGAGTTCGCGTTTTATTTAGTCATAATAGAATGGAGATAAACATACTGTGTTTTCAATGTAGAGCTAGGTTACCTGTAGATTTAACCGTGCTAAACTTAACATCTGAAACCTCACGCTGGGCGTTCGGTTCCAAATTCAGTTTAGCGCAGTTAAATCTACAGGTAACCTAGCTCTACATTGAAAACTTAGTATGTTTATCTCCTAAATGAACGTTTCATGGATATAGATGTCAAAAAACAACTGTGGACAGTTCTAATCAGAATTTTGACACAAGAGATCGTCCATACATGTCATCCCGGTTATGCGACAGGCCAGCCAGTCAAATGATAGAACTTTTGTGACGTAGCTTTCTGTGTTACTTCTGTTGACCATGTTGACAGTGAGAGGGCGACCATGCTGCGAGTGTCAATTTCAGTGGAAATACATGGATTTCAGAAATGTTTGTCATAAATAAACAAGTTTAGAGGTAAGATATTTGAAATGAGTATTGAAATTTGAGTATGAATAATACTTTAAATATTCAGCGACTTTTCTTAAGTGATCAAACTTCCGCGACACGAAGATAGCTTGGGTTGTGTTATGACAAGAACGTGTGTCGAGACTAGTAGCGAAATTATCTGGGAGTACAGCGATATCCAATTTTCTGTCACAAACCACCTGGAAATATTTGTAAAAAATCTAAAAAAATACGAGGTCAGGATAATCGGCCTCCACAGTCTGAATAAGATTTATGAAGGTGGTGTTCTCGGCCCTGAGGTCGGGTCATGTCTTGACTGTAGGACCCCATCGCGGCTCTCGGCTAGGAGTCGGGTACACGGGTGGTAAATTTGGATTCGTCCCAGCCCTTGTAGACTTGCTTTTTTTAATGTTGATTGTTGTCGTTTTCAATACATTTATCCACAGTCATGACGCAGGACGACGCGTGGCAGTGTGTTGAACCGGCAAGCAGCAAAAGAAGGGTCTTGAGGCAGTCCAAAGACTGGGCCAAGTGGGGGCAGACACGCCTTGCGGCTAACTGTCAATTAGTCTAATCCTTCCATCCGCTCATGACAGCGTGTAGAAGTTCTCGATATGCATGTCAGCATTAAAATGCTTGCGAAGAAATCCAAAACATCACTTACCTATTGCAAACTAAGGGCGGACACTCTTCTTAATACTTGCATGTTCTCTGCCTTTCTATTTTTCCTTTTCTCCCGCCTGGTCCTGATGCTGCTTCCGGTTTGTTGCAAGCATGAAAAGACGAACCTGAAATAATCAGGATAGCATCACGAAAAATGACGCAAGACACTGACTACACTATTGATATATTCATTACATTATTGAAATGTACATATTATTGACTTTATCAAACGTGTAGGGTGGGTTGAGTCATTAGCATTTTGACCATGTCTGACATCTGTGAGTCAGGCACACATTGAGGTCAAAACGTGTATGTTAAAAAAAAATTAGAATTGCATTAATATATATTTCCAAGTGTTGCCTACTATCATAACAAAGCTCTGTCGACTTGCTTGGGTGTTACACCCCGGGCCTTGTTCGACATAGCAAGCCAATAAAACGCTAGGCTTCATGGCTTCCCATATATTCATTCATATTTAGTTGGGGGCGGTCGGTACCAAGCTAGTGATTAAAGCTTTCGCTCGTCACGCCGAGGACCTGTTTTCGATTCCCGACATGGGTACGATGTGTTAAGCCCATTTCTGGTGTCCCCTGCCGTGATATTGCTGGAATATTGCTAAAAGCGGCTTAAAACCATACTCACTCACTATGTCCTAGTTGCCGAACATATGTGACGACGTCTGACAAAATGTAGGGCAAGATGAGATAATTGTTAGACCTATTTCATGGTACATCAGTGTTCCCGAAAAAACTTTTTAAACTTCTGTAATCGTGTCAAGCGTTGGACAGATCTATGTCTGACATTTTGTGTGTACATTTTGTGTTCAAATTTGAGACTCATGTAATACCCGTGTTGGTAAAATTCAATTTAACAAGGCAATGTACGCTGTTAGCAGGTTAGACAACTCTATAAAATATGACCCAAGATATTTTGAGAAGAAAATGTTGTCGGTCACACGGACAGACAAATATTTCAGTCACATTGGACAAATAACTTTACTAAATGTGCGGTAGTCTGTGTTATTTCGGGAAAACTGGTAGATGACATTGTAAGTGATTATTTCACATCGTTAGTACACAATTTGATAATGGTAGTAAGTAATGTATATTTTAGGAACACGTTTTGGTGAAAGACTAAACTACTATCATAAACTTTTGGGAAAATACAGATTATGTAGAAAATAAGAAATATAATAAAAATGTCATTATTTTCTCAGTCACCGTCACTTATGATATACACTAATCTCGATATTTCCATGGCCGACATGGGGTATCACTTCAGTCAGTTTAATTTGCATTGGATGTTGTAAGTTACACGCGTTGCGTCCGGACCCTGGTATGCCCTCCGTTTATAACTTCCCGGGAATGAAGAAGTGATGATTGGGAATTTGGTACTGATGGCAACCAACCAACCCAACCTCACCCCCCCCCCCCCCCCCCCCCCCCCCACACACACACACACACACACACACAAAATAAAAATAAATAAATAATAAAATCAAAACAATGTGGCACAATGGATGTTCATGTGTATACTTGATGTCGCGGATGTTGTTTCAAACCGTAATGCATCCAGGGATATATAGACTATTCTCTGAGAACATTTCATGTTCATTAGCTCAGTGCTGAAGAACCGACAGACACAATGGCGGGACGCATTCCCATGACTTTGTGTCAAGGTGAGGTCAAAATAGAGAGGTATTTATTACCACAGAAAACGGGAATTATGACCGAAAACATATTCTCGTAAACCTGGTACACATATTTAATCTTATGATGTAGTTAATGCTCATTATAGATTCTGGGGAAAAGAGCATACGTGCTACCATGCCCAAAGCTCCCCCCCCCCCCCCCCCCCCCCCAACACACACACATACACACACTTTTCAATATTATATGTTTGTAATGACACCCTGTCTTTTTTCGGATGGAAGCAAAAGTATTTGTTTATCAATGTCTGTCACTGTTTATTTCAGGTATTTTGCAACAAAATATACAATATAAGTGATCAGATTCCAGTAATAATACTTGAATTCAAAATTACAAAGGGTGCTATTAAAGCTTTGTTGACCATTAATGTCAATGGAGTTCTGATTGACCAGACCCAGGTATTTCCAAGACCTTAATGTATTATGTCTTTTCAGATTGAACAAGCAGAGATAGCTTCTCAGAAGAAAACTTCAAAACGGAAGCAGAGTCTATTTGATCGTTTGCGCATCAAACTGAACCGACCATCGACAAGTGATGATCCTCCACATGTAAGTCCACAAAGCCAAAATGATGTTAAGGTGACAAAAATGGTGGGAATTGGCCTGATGAAATTTGACGAAAAGAAAAGCATGTATACTCAAGTCCGAACCGAATCAGGAGGGGGTACTCGGAACATATCGGTTACGAAACAGTCAACTAAACAAGATCTTCTTGTTCAAGCAAAGAATATCTTCTTCCAAGGTGGAGGTTCTGTAAAATTTGGACCCGAAACTGATTATGAATTTAATGTCATGGACTATCAGTTTATCATCCTGAACGAGGATATCACTGTTCAGGAAATGTGTGATCTAACTCGACTGACGAACCTGAGGTTTTACAAGACCCCCCCTCTAGAGATCCTGCTCCTGGTGATGACTCCCAGACAGATGCAGTAACTCGTTCTCATTCAAGACAGCAGTCTTTGGAAGAGGCTAGGCAAGATCAACCAAGACCAACACCCTTTGAACAAGTTCAGCAGGATCAACAACCCTGGCCGAATTTTGAACCACAGGATAATCAAGATGATCGGGCACAGGCTACGGGCAACAGAGCTGAACAAAGTGATGATAATGATGAGTTACCAAATATCTTGCCTCTTCATGCTGAAATTAATCCAGATTCAGTTGATATTGATCTCCTGGATAACTTCATTGCAGATCTTGAACACCAGACAGAACACGTCAATATCAACCACCATACCATCCGCATACACAGAGGACATGTCTTTAAGGAACTAAAAGAAAAATTCAAAGGAAACACATTTAATTTGGATAAGGATATTTTCAATTTCCAGATGATTCTACCAAATGGAGAAATGGAGGTTGCCGAAGACAATGGAGGTGTAATGCGGGATGCTTTGGTAGAATTCTGGGATTCTTTCTTTGAACAGTGTTGTCTTGGAAGGGCTTGTAAGGTGCCTTTAAAAGGCATGACTATGACAATGCTGATTGGCAGGCAATTGCTTCTGTTCTCTATTTCGGTTGGAAGTGGCAGAACTACTTCCCCGTGTGCATAGGAAAATCATTCATGTCATGTTGCATTTATGGCATGGATATATTTTCAACAACAAAAGAATCCCTTATTCAGGAGTATCTTGCCTTTCTTCCGTTGTCGGAGGCAGACATAATCAAGGCGTCCTTGGAAGGTGATTTTGAGGATGATGACATTGTTGATGTCCTCGGTGCCCACGAATGTAGAGTTCTGCCTACAAAGGAAAATCTCAAGAGGTTGGTTGGTGAGATAGCACACAAGGAGATGATTCAACAAGCAATGTGTGTGAAAAGAGCATGGTTCGACAAACTTACTTTGTTGGGGTTCAGTCTTGGAGAAGCATCACTTGAATCACTCTATGAATCACTCAAGCCAAATCCTCGGAAAGTGATGAAGATGCTTTCATTTCCAGGAGACATGTCCACGCAACAGAAAGGTACATCGGATTACCTTAGAAAATATGTTCGTGAACTAGAGAAAGATTCTCTTTCCCGCTTTCCAAGGTTCTGCACAGGAGCCGACTTGTGTATCACAGATGTACATGGTCAAGTGAAGCCAATCTACATTCGTTTCACGACGGTATCAGGTCTGGCAAGGAGGCCTGTTGCTCACACGTGTGGACAAGTACTTGAACTGCCTGAACAGTACGAGAACTTCCTTGACTTTAGAACAGAATTCAACATGATCCTCGAGAGTGGTGTGTGGGTGATGGATTTTGTTTAAGAATCCATGCTACAACAAGTTTGACTTTTGACGTTATATGCTTTGTTTTACTTTACAGTTCAGTAGTTGATTCTGTCAAAAATATTCATCGACAAATGATTAATAAAGATCAAATATTAATGATGAAAACAAAGCTTTGTTTACAATATAATTTGTTGTACAATAGTTACTTAAGTATCCTCCTTTGATGATATGTTTGCTATGACGTTTTACTGATTTGTCAGTTTGAATTATAGTTGGTGGAAGAAGAAAATCTTGTATTCATTGTATGTGTCATTTTATAAAACGTTTATCATAATTACAATCCAAGGGGATTTTCTGTTTTAATGTAGAGAAATTATTGCAAGAGAAATGCAGTAAAGTAGCAATTTATTGATAGCCAATATTGTGACCTCTCCTTGGATTTATGATCTTACACGTTCTATTAAAGGAACAAAAGTGTTTTATAATAAACTGATAGGAAATTCCCTCCCTCTCCCTAAATCTTGTTTGAAATGGGAAAATCAGCTGGGATGTTCTTTTCCATTGAAACAAATATTCAGTGTATATTGCCATGGGTTAAGGGACACAAAACTGTCATGTTTATTTGCCCTACATACGAAAATCTAAGAGACAAGTACTTACCGCAGTGGTCTCTATCTCATTTTAATGCTAAAAGATTGTCTTCATTACTGTCTTGCAAGGATCTTATAACACAACATCAACTGGCTTTGTACATACATAATGCTTTTTTGTTACGAAGTGAATTGTTACATTGACTTTGTATTTTATATAATATGTTATGTAACTCCGTTGTATATGGGCCTGTGGCCTTTCATACAATAAAGAATTGAATTGAATTGAATTGACACAAAACTCAGGGATTTCCAGTTTAGATTTATTCATAAAGTAATATTTACTAAACGTGAGTTATTAGAATGAAACTTATTGATAACGATGAGTGTTCTATGTGTCATACTCACAAAGAAAATGTTTTTCATGTTTATATCGAATGTCATGTTGTTAGGAATTTTTGGTCAGATTTCTGTATTTACTTGACTCATATCTTGTATAGAAAAATCCTAATAACTGACAACGAGCTCCTCTTTGGTACCTCTGATGTATTAATTAACCATTTGATTGTAGCTGCTAAAAGATTTATCTTTGTCCAGTGTATTAACAATGCAAATGTTGACTTTGTT